CGTGTAGGTGTGATTTATAGGCCCCCAGGACAAATTGAAGAGTTAGATAATCTAAAACTAGTTGAGGAAATAGCTAAAATGATTTCAAGAGAAACTGCTATGTTTATGTTAGGGTTAATCCAGCCCTCAAATCCTCTAGTGGCTGTCTCATTGACAGCCGCTAGAGGCGCTTGCGTGCTTCTCACTGTGAAAATCACAGTGAGAAGACGCAAGCGTCCATAGGAAAGCAGCTGAATGCGCACGCATTCAGCCGAAGAGGAGGATCGGAGGCGAAGAGGAGGAGGAGAGCTCCCCGCCCGGTGCTGGAAAAAAGGTAAGTTTAACCCTTTTCCTCTCCCCAGAGCCCAGCGGGAGTGGGACCCTGAGTGTGGGGGCACCCTCAGGGCACTATAGTACCAGGAAAACGAGTATGTTTTCCTGGCACTATAGTGGTCCTTTAAGAAGCATAGATGTTTCACCAGACTTCTTTATAAAAAAGTAACATTTATTGTAACATATACCCTAAAACAATAAAATCAATATACTTAAGTGCTGGTGATGAGTCCAAGACGCGTTTCGCCTGTATAATTCGGCTTTATCAATTGGTAATTAAAAATGCTGCTAGTTGAAATTTAAATACCCCATAGAGGGGGGTTGATTGGTGAATGGCGTCCGTGATACATCCAATCACGGTGGGAGTGTTGGGACTCAACTGTGAATGATGTTTCCTATATTGTGAGGTCATCACACATGACGGCTCGTGCGTGTGACGTCACATGCGGAAGTAGGCAACGTCCAAAATTAGACTGCATGCATATGTCCATCCCACATTGATAGTGCTCCACCCAGATAGTCACGTGTCTGGAATATCCTCACAGACTCCCGGCCGTGAAGTGGGTGTATCATTTCTTGGAATGGCATCCGCCATTTTTCTTAAGGGCAATGTAATGGAAAAACAGTGTTCATAAATAGTCCGATATTCATCAAGTCTCAAGGGATATTCCTGGGTAGTGTTTGTTCTCAGCAGAGCATAATGATAAAATAACAGAAATGGAACATGGATTATACAGTACTCATGAAGGGAGGCTAGAAATAAAGTGACACAGTGCCTCCATATTAAAAATCAGAAGTATGGAGCCATTAAATATAGATATTATATAATGGGCATATACATATATTATTATGGAATATTCTTAAAGGTGCAGTTGGTGTGACTTATAATGATGACTTCATATAAATGTAAAAGAGGACGTAATTGGATTGTCTTTATTCTAAAATTTAGAATTATAAATACTTAATATAACAATGACATATGGCTAAAAATACCTCTATAAAAAATGGCATATTTCGAAGTCATCATTCAGTCCATATGATTGCATCGTGCTCAAATTGAAAATCCATTTCATCTCTGTTTGTCCTATGTTCATAGTTAAATCACCTCCCCTCCAATTTACAGAGACTCTTTGAATTCCCATGAATTCCATAAAACGGGGGGGTCACAATTGTGTTTTTCTTTGAAATGCATAGAGACGCTATGCTTCTCAAAGCCATATTTTATATTTCTTACATGTTCCTGAATTCGTATGTTTAGTGTCCTGATGGTTCTTCCTATGTATGTTAGTTTGCATGGGCAAGTGAGGAAAGTTCAGTGTTTACATGCAGAGGGAGGCGATACTGAATGTTTGGGTGCATTTTAGGTAGCCGTGACCCAGAAAAGATCTCCAACAGCCATCTGAGGAGTGGCCAGTGAAGTTCTCACTAGGCTGTAATGTAAACCCTGCATTTTCTCTGAAAAGACAGTGTTTACAGCAAAAAGCCTGAAGGTAATGATTCTACTCACCAGAACAAATTCAATAAGCTGTAGTTGTTCTGGTGACTATAGTGTCCCTTTAAGCATGATTTACTGTTGAGAGAATTTGTTGTCACAGCTCCAGAGTTCAATGTTCAATTTACAACACTCTAGGATGCTTGCAAGTAAACACTATAAAGATGGCTTTCTGAGACAGTTTGGGCCTTTCTCATGCACTGATTCCATGGCCTTCGACTTTGACCACTTTGATTTCAAGAGTTGTTCAGGGAGAAATCCTCTTCACAGTAACAGCATCTACAATTAACCAGTGAAATTGTAGTGCGTCGGACAATTGATGGCCTGATTTTTAAAAATTAAACCTACATGAATCCATTTGATGGATTCCAATGCCTATGCATGTCTATGAAAATTATGCAAAAAGTATAGTTTTGTACTTTACTTTATACACCTATAATGTTTAATGTCGATTGTGACGAGACCAATCTCGCCACATTGCATTGGAGAAGCCTGGTTGCTCGCCTGTTGCCTTTGGATTATGGCCCCATGTTAAAAGCCTTCTTTTCCCCTGTAGAAAAGGCTTATTCGTGCCTTTCTGCCCGGCGGTCGGTAGATTCAATCTACCGAACTAACGCACGAATGACTGGACCACCTGGGAGCTGGAGTGTGTCGGCAATTAACCTCCCAGAAGCTGCGGTTAACCGCAGCTTAATTGACTAATGCTGGGTGCCTGCCATTCGTATACCGAACACAAGGTCGCGGCCATTTTAAACACGCGAACGCACAGCGGTATTCGATGCCCAACTCATGGAACTGAAAGCGGACACTTATTTACGTGAACACCGCTGAGCCGTCAGCCTCCTTGCTTCTGCATTTAGTCATTTAGATGCCGGTAGTTTAAACCGTATGAACAGCATTACCCCAGATAGCCATCCCGTGGAGTCTATTTGTATGGAGAACAGACTTTGTGAACACTTTAACTCCACGGCTATTGGACTGTGTGCATAGGATCTGAGCAATATGCGCTACTTTTGTGCGCCCAGATCTAAGCTATATGGGGATAGGTAGAATGTATATGTTTTGTGCGACAGTTGTAACTTTATAGATTTTTATGTCTTTTACGGTCTTTTACTGCCATGTGGTTAATGGAGTTTTGCCTCTGTCCTGGAAGATAATTGGATTACTTCCCAATTATCTCCAGGACAGAGGGAGGGAAGTTAGGATGCATTGTGGGGAGGTTTTACCTCTGTGTGTCTGTCACTGGTTCATGTCTGTCCTTTGTCACAGTCTCCCATTTGGTCCCCTAGGGGAGTGTCCAACAGGTGGGAGACCTGCATAAATACTGGGCAGGTAGCCCTCATTAAACCAGACCACTGCTTGAACCGCAACACGGAGCCTTGTCTCGTTTTTGGGGGGATTTACTATATGCTGATAGAAACTGATTGCTAGGAGTGTAAGCCGCTTGGGTGCTTTTCCTATTCGTCTGCTAGCAGCTATTCGTGAGGTTCCAGTTCAGGAGGTTGGAGTGCTATTTTGTATGCAGTTCGGGAGTTTAGAGCATTCCCTTATATGCGGCTCGGGAGTTTGGTGTTCTGCAGTAGCTGTGCCTGTATCTCTGGAACGGGAAGATCTCCTAAACGGCGGTTTAACCCTTTTATTCCTGGGGGTGCCGTTACATCGATAAACAATCTGGCTGAAAGTTGTTGATGCTGAAAAAACTAAATCCACTAATTGGAAGGGGTGGTCCAACACTTTTAGCCATATTGAATATATTAACCGCCTCCTTGTGGGACCAGAACTAGCAGTTATTAGATATTTTATCACTTCAAAGACTGCTTCGAAATTAGAAATGTGAACATTAGCTTCAAGAGCACCACAGATGATAGTTTTATTACTATAGTTGTGAATGTGGAACTTTTCTTTATTTTCTAGTTATTTTTTTGTTTTGAATATTTTTATTGTTGTCATAACACATATGCAGGTAGCATCTCTGTGAGTAATGAGGCATAGGTTGCCCACGCAGGGGCGTAAGTTTTCTGTACTTGCATTTCGTCGCCTACGCAGAGGCTGGTTGGTCATTGCATGCATGATACAGCAGGTATATGCATATTTAGTTGCTCACAGTGTATATCTATAAGACTTGTAGTGTGCCTTTATTACACTTGCATCGGCGTGTATGGTTTTGGGTGTTTCTGCCGTGGGCATATTAATTGTTTGTGCCTGCGGGTCCCGTGACTTTTTGCTAGTGTGTTGCGTTGTGTCTAAACCCGGGATGCCGTAGCAGCGTGCTTATTGTATCTTGCTTCTCTGCTAATGGTATTCGGTCTGTTAGCTTCCTATTTGTGTCCCCTCTATGGGGCCTTTATTTTTGATTTAGTGAGCTAGGGTGCGCCAGTGTGTAATAGAGTACCTCAATGGTTTGTGTGTTCTAAATGTTGAGTGTCCCTCGGTCCTAATGCGTTGTGGCCTTCCTGGAGGTCTGGTTTTCAGTGCATGTGTGTCGATTTTGTTTAGAATTTGTTTATTGGTTTTACAGTATAGATTCTAAAGCATACGTATTTTTGTTTAAGCAGATAGGTGCCTGTGCAGAGGCGTGGTCAGCAGTACATGTGAGGGGATGCGGGTTGTTGCCTTCGTAGAGGCATTTGGAGGTTATTTACTTGTTTTGTAGTCTTTAGTTACGTGTGTTGTCGCTTTTACTGTGCTAGCGTTTAGTTTTTTTGTTGTCTTGTGTGTCAAGGGGTTGGGTGTGGCATGGTGTTAGTTCTAGGATGTGGTCCTGTGTGGTGTTATTTGTCATCCGTTAATGTAGTAGCTATGTGACTAGTTGTCTCTGTTCGTGATTGTGGCCCGGTAGGTGGCTATGGGTGTGGCTCACGAATGTTGTCGTGTCTGTAGGTAGCATGTTCTTCTCAGGTATCGTCGGTTGTCATTGTGGTGTGGTGCTGTCAGGGTGAGGTGGGTCGAGTGGTCGCTGCCCGCCTCCTGTCGCCCGCCCGGCCCGCCGTGTCTCGCTGTCTTCGGTTCGTTTTTTGTATTTCTCTCTTCCTCGTCCTCCAGTCTCCGCTTACGGTGCAGTTAGGTGATGTCTGAAGGAGTCTGACGTAGTTAGCCTCGTCCAGTGGAACCAGTGTTTGGTGTGGCGGTCTCTGAGGTTCGGGGTTTCTGCTTTCATGCCTTCGAATGTCCTTGTGGCTTCCACCTCCTCTATCCACTTTGTTATTGAAGGCGTGTTGGTTTGTTTCCAATAAATGGGGATGGTCACCTTTGCCGCGTTTAGGAGTCTGGGAATAACAGATCTCTTGTATGTTGGTGTCGCCATAGTGGTATAGTGTAGAAGGAAAGTGGCTGGGGACTGTGGCAGGAGCTCATCCGTAACCTCATGTATTATCTTCCGGATTCTTTCCCAGAATGGTCTAATGCGGGCGCATGTCCACCATATGTGTGTGAACGTACCGGTCTCCTCCCTGCATCTCCAGCATGTATCTGGGATTTCTGGGTTCCTGGCGTGAAGTGCCGTCGATGTCAGGTACCATCTGGTAAATATCTTGTACGAGTTTTCTTGTGTGCGCGCTGAGCTCCGTGTTTTTTGTATCAGGGTAATGCTTTTGTCCCAGTCCGCTTCAGTCATAGTTTCCTCAAGGTCTTCCTCCCATTTTCTGATGCACAGTGGCGCTAGTAGGTATCTGCTCGTTATTAAGATAGTATATATTTGTGAGATGGCTCGCGGTGGTTCCTTGTCTTGTGTGCAGAAATTTTCGAATTGGGTTGGTTCTCTTGTAATGGATGGTTGCTGTGGGATGGATCTAGCGTATTGGGTGATTTGTGCTCTTGCTAGGGCGTGAGCGAATGTGTGTAGCTGTCTACCAGTGGTCGAATGTCGAACGGGTGGAGGAGGACATCTTTTATGCGGGGTATTGTTGTATGTCCCGCTAGGCCTGGCGTGGGGCCATAGTCCCCTGCCAGGAAGTCTGGGTTTCCCTTTAGGGGCAGGAGCGGGCCTGGGTCCGTTGTCAGGTAATGTTTTGTGCCTTGTCCATGCCAAACCTGCATGGTCGACGCCACAAATGGGTTGGTGATATGCTGGTCGTGTCTGCTTCTAGTTGTGTCCACGGTTTGGTGCCGCTGGCTACCGACCAACTGACGACTCTGGCGATGTGTGCCGCATGGTAGTATTTTTCAAAGTCGGGGAGCGCTAGGTCCCCCTGAGCTTGGGCAGCATCAGTTGGGTGTGCGCTATGCGCGGAGATTTGCCCTTCTAGATAAAAGTGCGGATCTCCGTCTTGAGTGTCGAGAAGAACGTTTGTGGGGCTCTTATCGGTACTGTTTGAAATATGAAGAGTAGCTTCGGTAGCAGCGTCATTTTTACCGTGTTCACGCTGCCCAGCCAGGATATGTAGTAGGAACCCCATCTATGTAATTCCTCCTTTGCTTTTTTTAATATTGGGAGGTAGTTATGGGAGTATAAATCCCCCGGGTCACGTGTGAGCCAGATCCCCAAATATTTCATGCAGTGATCACACCAGCGATATGGTTGTTGTCTCTGAATCATTTGCTTGAGTGTGTTGCTAATATTTAAGTTCAGTATCTCCGATTTTGTGTAGTTGATTCGGAGGTTCGAGATGCGGCCATATATGTCGAATTCTGTCTGTATCGCTTGCAGTGACTTTTCAGGGTCCTTGACCACGAATAGCATGTCATCCGCATATGCCAGCGTTTTGTGGTGTGTGTTTCCGACTGTCAGTCCCCGGACGTGCGCGTTTTGTCTGATCCTGCTTAGGAAGGGCTCCAGCGTTAGCGCAAAGAGTATGGGCGAAAGCGGGCAGCCCTGTCTGGTTCCGTTGTGAATCTTAAACGGGTCTGTTAGCGCACCATTAATCCGGATTCGCGCCGTTGGGTAGGTGTAGAGCGTCTGTACCCAAGCCATGTAGTGTGGACTGATGCAGGGAGCTGAGTGTTTCAAACATCAGGTCCCAGTCCACCCTATCAAATGCTTTCTCTGCGTCAGTGTACAGGAGTAGGACTGGGGCCTTCTGCCCTCTTGCGTGCGCTATGAGGTTTAGGGCTCTTATGGTGTTGTCTCTCACCTCCCTGCCCGGGATGAAACCCGTTTGATCTGGGTGGATTGTGGCTGGCGGTAAAGGTGCTAGGCGTGCTGCGAGTATGCTTGCCAGAACTTTGAGGTCCGTGTTCAGTACGGATATCGGTCGGTAGCTTGGGCATAGTGTCCGGTCTTTGTCCTCCTTTGGGAGAAGGGTGATGTTCGCCGAGGTGAATTGGGCCGTTGGTGTGGATCCATCTTGGATAGAGTTCAGGGCTTTCAATAGTTTTGGTAATAGGTCATTCGTGAAGGTTTTGTAATATTGCAGGGGCATGCCATCTGGTCCCGGTGCTCTGCCCGTTTTTGCTTTTTTGATGGCGTGCGCCAATTCCTCGGGCGTTATGGGGGCCTCTAGTGCTTCTTGGTCCACCTCCTCTATTCCCTGTATATTTGCCGTGTCCAGGTATCTGTGGATGTCCTTCACTTTTTGGGATCTCTGTGTTTCCGGAATGGTTTGGTGGAGGCAGTATAAATCCTGGTAGTAGTCGTGGGACGCTGTCGAGATCTGATCCGGTTGGTGCCTTGAGTTGTTGGTGTCTTTGATTTTCGGGATATATAGTTGGTTGCAGCGTTGCTTCAGGAGATTCGCTAATAGTCTCCCGCATTTGTCCCCGTGTTCATGGATCATATGTTTGTAGTGTTGGTATGAGCATTGGATTGCGCGGTTCAGGTGTGTGGTGAGTTGGTTCCGTTTGGTCAAGAGTTCTTCATATACCTTCGTGTCCAAGGTGCGTTTGTGTCTAGCCTCTAATATCTCGATTTCTTTGATGAGTTCTAGTATCGTCTGCACCGCCCTCTTCTTGCGGGTTGCGCATATCATGATGAGTCTGCCTCGGATGACCGTTTTGTGCGCTTCCCAGCTTGTCAGTGGGGTTACATTGTCTGTCTCGTTGTCTGTGAAGTAATCCTGTATGTGGTGACTGATCTGGTCCACGACCGTGACGTCTGAGAGAATCTATTCGTTCAGTCGCCATGACATTTGTCTAGGTTTGTATAGTGGTGATCTCATCTGTATGCGAATTGGGCAGTGATCTACCATGTCATTGGTAGGATTTCCGCGGTTGTAGAATATTGCATATTCTATGTTTCTATTGATTATATATAATGGATGTGTGGATTGACATAAGTAACAGATGGTATCAATAAATTACAAGGCTTTCTTTGTCCGAGAGCTCTGGAATGTGGATTCGGGGGTCTTTTCCTTATATGGCTAGAGTTAAACCCTGACGTTAGTATTAGCACTTCTATATAGTAACAGAGGGACACGAGGTCTCTCTTGGCTTGGCTCTTGGCTCTGTACAACGATGTAACTCTCCCATCAGAAGTCCAGCAATTACCATCTGCTGTTGAATGTACATAATCCTGTAACATCATTTATTATGTTTTATTATGTAGCCGTAACAAAGAATAAACCTGAAGAAACCGTAAGTCAGATTGCGTATTACTACTTTTCAATAATATAGACATACATTATTGTGGCGAGCATTTGGCCCAAGAATATATATACAAAAGACGTATATATATCAATCAACTGAAGACAAGAAGAAATTAAGAAGATTCTACATTAACTTCCATTCATCTACATTTTTTACATTGGCTAGCCTGCCAGTCTTCTATTCAACTTTTGTTCCCACTTCAAGGGGGGAGAGAGAAGAATCGAGTTACAAAGCTATTTTGGAACTGGGAAAACAAACTTGAAGAGAAAAAAAAAGAATCTAGACTGACTGTCACAGAAGAACTGTGGTTTGTATGAAAAAGATTTTCAAATCACAAAGACTGTACAAGACTATTATCTACAACTGAGACAAAAAGCACAAGATACAACGTGAATTCTAGAAGCAAGCACGTGGCAGAGATTGGCAAATTTCCAGAATCAAGCGTCAGAACTGCGCAGCTGTGTGGATGAAGCAACGAAATAGACAGAGATAACTGATCTGGTGAGTAACATGGAATTCATAAATGATAATGCAGAGAAAAGTAAATTGCAGTTTGCATTTAATAGCAGCTATTCAGATGCTGTATTGTGGCGATCTTTATACACACAATGTGAAATTGCCAATAGTGAAATTGACAAGAAATTGTTTGTTAATAAGAAAAAACAAAAGATCAGAAATGTTATGAAACTAGTCTGTACTTACAATGCATTGATTTGTAAACGAGATGCAGGTCAAGACAATTTAGAATTAGCAGAAAAAGTAGATTTGAATGGGTTAACAGAAGACAAATCAGATTTAAATGAACAGTGTAACAATGTAACAGAGAGAACATTGTCAGAAAAAGTCTGTGAATTAGAGGATAGAGTTGAACTAAGAAATGATCTTATTTGCCAGTTTAGAAAAGAAGTTAAACTAGTGTGTGTTAATACAAGAAAAACAAAGGCACAGAATCTAATCCCAGAACCAATAGATACTGAAAATGTATCCTCACTGAGTGATTTGCAGAAATGTAAATTTCAAGACAGAGCTGCAAAACTTAATTTGAAAATACATGAACAATTAATGAAAATTGTGAAATGTATTCCAGTTTATGACACGTCAGTGGATACATTTACTAATGCTGAAATGTTTGAGCCAAATGTGGACAAATACAGCCTAAATGACGAACAAAGGAATAGACTATTTAAAACATGGCTGCCGACTCAAATGGCATGTAGGCTGACCACGCTTGTAAAATTTCAGGACAATGATAAAATAATATATGGAAATAAGCAAGACAGATTAACACAATTAATAAAATTAACAACAGGGAATGATTTTGCAGACACTGAAATGTTGGAAAAACTAAAACCACACAAAGGGGAGGATATATTTAGTTTTCTTGTAAAATTTGAAAGTGCATATAGACTTGTTGCTGATTTTTCTGAAGATCAGTTAATTAATGAATTTGTGAAAAAATTTCAAGATTTAGATCCAACTGCAATTGTGTTAGCTAGAGAAAAAAGCACTTTGACAGAAGTAGCTTTGTTCTTGAATAACTTAAGGAGGGAAACCAAGAATGAAGGGGTTAAAACGAATTGTGGATTTAGGCAGAGAAAGAAGAGCAGATTTTACAGCCCTCCTTCTTCTTCTTCTAGGACAGAGTGTAGAGTGATACAGACAGCTGAGCCCCTCCCAATTTATTCAACTAAAAACTGTAGAGTTGATAATATAGGGCAGAATATAACTCCTAAAGTTATTTGTTTTTGGTGCAATAAACAACATTATTTAAGATCTTGCAGATGTTTTATCCGAGATATCAAATCAAAAGCAAATGAGAAATTAAATTTGTTGATTGAAAATTTTGACAGAGAAAATACACGTGGAGATAAATCAATAAAGGCCTTTCCTTGTAAACTTATAATCAGACAAATAAAAGCAATTTTAGCTAAATCGAAATTAGGAGACAGACAAGCAATGCAGTGTAACACAGAAAGTTATAAGAATCAGATAACTTCAAGAGATATGATCAGTTTAGGGAATGAGCATGGACATGTGTGCCAACAGATGTACACAGGCTGATTCCAGAATTAAAAACAGCACAATAATAGAGATCTATGTTAGTTTGTTGTTTTAATGAATTGTTAGTCTGAACTGTTTTTTCATTGTTTTATGTGTGTTATAAGAAAGTATTAGGTTAATTAATTAAAATAAAAATTTACATCAAGATTGCAAATATTGCAGAATGAAATACACTAATGTAGCAGTTAGGAACATGCAATGTATGTTATATTGGGTGTATGCGATTATACAGTAACTCCAATCATTTTACAGAAGAAAAAACAATGGATATATTCCTTGTTGCTTCTGAGGTTGATTTAAAATCTTTGATTTAATTCATGAGAATGAGATTTTAATGTCATGACTGATAATGGATTACTATATTTTGCAAAGCCTGGACATACATATGTTTTGACTACATAGAAGACAAAAGTTTTGATAGAATAAAACCTAGATTTGCAGATACATTTGATGTAGGAAACAATATATGTTTTTTGTAGTTTGTTTCATGTGACAAAATGGTGCCAGTGTTAGGACAAGATGGCTACTATTGCTAAAGTATAGTGGAAAACAATATTTTGTTGTAACATCTGATATGTGATTAGGTTATACCTCCAGATTATTAAACAGTTTAAAGGGGGGTATGATTAATAAGGTGTGATTAATACAAAAATTGAAAAATTAAAATGTGTAGAAACAATATTTTGATATAAAGGAAATTTAAAGATTATACATCACATGACATAAATGTAATGACCACTAGATGGTAGATCTCATGAGAAGAAATGAGAATGTTGTGTAGTCCATGTAATTCAATGTTAAACTGTATAATAATAATGAGATATAAACATTGTAAGCCATTGTATTGATGCTGCACATGGTTTTTGTTTTAATGTAGTTAAAGCGTGACAGATCCTTGTGGCAATTAATCAGGAAAGCATTCCTTCAGACAACTGGACATCGACTGTTGGAAAGAGACTTTTCATCTGATCTGCAAACTGTGATGGAAGATTCTACAGAGTTCATTCGATACAGAAGATTAACAGACTTACAAAGAAATAAAATATTGACACTAACATACATATATATTCCTAAATATTAATGAAGAAGAAAACAGACAATGAAAAGTTATTTAACAGTTATGAATATTAATACCAAAAGAGACTACTTATAGCTATATAACACATGGAGTACAATTATGAAAGGATAGTATTATGAAGAGAACTATTACATTATTACCTATACATAGAATGAGAAGTATCAGAGGTAGATAAAATATGAAGTTGATAAAATAAGGATCATGGTTACTTAATACTGCAAAGAATGAGTGCAATAGTATTTCATAGATTAACTATAATTAATAATTTGTTTATATCGAGGTGAAGTAAAACAAACAATGGTAACATAAGGAAGAAAACTAAGGAAGGATAATTTATATTGATTGATATTAAGTAATTATATACATTAAGAATGCCTTGGATATAAGAGTTCTGAGATCCAAGAGGAATTGAATTGAGTTTAGTTAAGAGTATAGTACACAATTATATTTGACCTAAGTCTATAAAGGTATGGGGAGAATAGGTTTCTGGATATGATGGTATCCAATGAATTGAATATGTTGTTATAAGTTGTTTTAAGATTTCCCTGAGTTTGTTAGACACAGACTAGGAATAAGAGTTTCTGGGCAGTATGACCCCAAGTTTATTTTGTTTATTTTATTTTAGTCAGTTGAAGTGTACTAAGGAATATGGATTGGTCAGAACATTAAGACAATCCTGCTTTTAAGATGTATTACATTAATAAGTCATCACAATTAAGGTCTAACGAGGAGAGTGATGATAATTAATTTAAAGTATTCTTTCCAAGTTCTTTTAAAGTAAACCATTCTCCGATTGAATGAAAAGTTTGTTACTACAAGGTGGAATTTTAGTCAAAATTATAATTATGTAAACAAAAACAAATCTATGATAGAAAGATTTCTGGAACAATAAGTATTGTCAACACCATGAACATTATTTGAAGAATTATTATAGAACTTCATGGTTGCTAACACATCCTTTGAATGAGACTTATAAGTAGTGTTTATATATTTCAGGTAGTGAGAGCCTACTGAATATACAAATTAAATACTATGATTGTAAAGTACTGATACAATCATCACTAGTTGGTATTAATGCTATAGGAATGTAATTCATGAATACAAATGATCTAAAGATTTTAAGGTTGCTAGAAAACATATGATTCATGGAAATCTAATTGGACAGGATATTATAGTAATACATGTATTAGTACTTAAGTGATATCAGGTATTGAGAATGAAAATACTATGCTATATGTGTCTGTAGGAATATGATAGTGATACACAGTTATTATCTAGAAAGTTACGATCTTGATTTTGTTATCTACAAAGATACGACTGTACCTAAGCAGGTAGATCTTTCTGATTGCTTTATTGTTTATTGGATCAACATTTGTAAATATTTTATTCATTTATTGTTATATATATGTATATATTATGTTCAAGTAGTTATGATGTAACATGGATATGGATATCAATACATAGCTGAAACAGAGGGAGTTTTGAAGTAAAGTAAGCAGTATGAGGGATAGAAACTCGACCTTCTAAGAACTCTCATATAATAGAAAGTTGTGACTACATCTTGTTCTATGCTCAATGAATGTGATACAAGTGATGTATGAATGGACAGGTTATTGACATTGTGTTATGGTTTTAAAACAAACCATAAACAGAGGGAATGTAGAATATTGCATATTCTATGTTTCTATTGATTATATATAATGGATGTGTGGATTGACATAAGTAACAGATGGTATCAATAAGTCACAAGGCTTTCTTTGTCCGAGAGCTCTGGAATGTGGATTCGGGGGTCTTTTCCTTATATGGCTAGAGTTAAACGCTGACGTTAGTATTAGCACTTCTATATAGTAACAGAGGGACACGAGGTCTCTCTTGGCTTGGCTCTTGGCTCTGTACAACGATGTAACTCTCCCATCAGAAGTCCAGCAATTACCATCTGCTGTTGAATGTACATAATCCTGTAACATCATTTATTATGTTTTATTATGTAGCCGTAACAAAGAATAAACCTGAAGAAACCGTAAGTCAGATTGCGTATTACTACTTTTCAATAATATAGACATATATTATTGTGGCGAGCATTTGGCCCAAGAATATATATACAAAAGACGTATATATATCAATCAACTGAAGACAAGAAGAAATTAAGAAGATTCTACATTATCACCAATCTCATCTAGATTTTACAGCGGTGTTGAGCAAGGCTAGGTTACAATGAGGTACTAAGAAATAGTCGAGTCTTGTATATGTCGAGTGGGTCATGGAGTAAAATGTGTAGTCCTGGGTAGACTGGTTTAGTGCTCGCCAGCAGTCTGCCAGCTGGTGGAGTGTGTTGGCGTGCCTGTTAAGCGGTGTATTTACGCGTGTAGAGGTGGAATCCTGGTCCAGGTGTATCGCCAGGTTGAGATATCCTCCTATGATCAAGGTGCCTTCCGCGAATATCATCAACGTGTTTAGTGTACTTCGGAGGAAGTGGTGGTGTTTCGTGTTCGGGGCGTACACGTTAGCGGGAGGCGGGGCAGGTGGGTCCAGGGTGCGTGTGTGTGTGTGTGTGTGCGGTTTGGTGCGGTCTGTTTAGAGTCTAGGCTCCGGTTGAAGCTGTATAGGTACTTGCTGTTGGTTGTGTTTTTGAGGGTGCGGAGGATAACAGACTGGTGTCCCGGTTATTTTTCGACCTATAGGTCCCAACCAGTGGTGTGCCTGTGTCGGTGCCGGGAGTGGTATGTCTCCTACTGAGTGAGGACTTTCGTGTCCTATGCCTGCGGGGGTGTCAGGCTATATGTCCTGGTGGGCACGGTCCGCAGCGTGGCGTCCGTCAATGCCGTGAGGGTGTGGGATGTGATACCGTGCTCGGAACGTATTGTGTGGTCACATGTCTCCTTAGTGGCTGTGCTATTGGGGCATCCGCTCCGTCTCTTCAATATTGTGCTTGTATGGGTCATTCTTTGCGTATCGTGTATGTTGCAGTCTACCGCTGTGGTGTCCCTCGACTTGTGTGTGTCTTGTCTCGGGGGTGACCTCGCTTTGTGAGTTCCTATCTAGGTGCGTGTATGCTGCAGCTCTCCGGGTCTTGTGGGGCGGGGGTAATCTCTGCTATCAGGACCTGTGAGTGGTATTGTTCTGGTGGAGTATCGGGTCTGGTGGTGCTACCTTCCTGCCTGTGTCTCGCCTATTATATGGGCGTGTTGTGGGTGGAGGTCATGCGTGCCTAGGGGTTAATCTCTGTATAATCTCACTCTCCATGTCCCCAGTGTGGCTGGCTTTTCTATGTCCTATTCAGCCTCTGACTTCTGTGTGATGTCTATGCCGCCTGCTGTGCCGGGGGCCGCCTTAGGGCTGCGTGCATGTGGTGTGGGACTTGGGTAGTGGGTTGCGCTGTACAGCACTTGCGGTGAGTGGGGCCTCCCTGGGTCCATGTCTTGATGGGTTTCGATTGATCCTTCTTGGGGACCTTCTCTTGGTTCTCATTGCCATTGATTCCCTTAGTGTCTATGCTTAGTGCGTACCCGTGGTTGGGGAATGCGGTGGTTTAATCAAAGACTCTGCCTATATATTTTGCCTCAGGATACCTGTTGTGGGTCCCCTCCTGTCATCTCCTAACTCCCATTACCCTCCCTCTAGTCTGGCATCCCAGTCTCTTTCTCGTTCTTTCCCTCCCCCTCTGTTTCTTTACCTGAATTCCGTGCCCCCCATCTATCCCTTCCTCCCCCATTGTACGCATACCTCTCCCTACCTTCAGCTATTGGGCTTGTGTTTCTATTCTGTCCCCCCTCGTCCCCGGCTCTTGCATGGTTCCATTTTGGCCCTCCCACCCCCATGGTGGTCTTGTTGATTCGGCCCATGTGTGTCCTTGTTGGTGTCTTCCAATATTGTGTCCCGTATCATAGCTCAGCCAAGCTGCACTGTCTGTGCGTCCGCCTGGCCTATGCCATGCCAGTGTAGGAGTGTGATCCCTTATCCCACCCCAAATGTCCTGTTGTACCCTCCCCTTGGCTCTGCCAACACGCAATTGTTTTCTTCAGCTTGGAACCCTTGCGGTTGGTTGTCCCTTAGGTGTTTGCTTCATTCCAGTTCCCCCATGTCGCCATCTCCCACCCAAGCGTTTGCCTGTATGGCTGGTATACTCTCATATGTCCTCCCATATAGTACTCACAGTTTTCCATTTTGTCTTGCTGCGTGTTGGTCCCCGGTCTTTCGGCCCCTTCTCTCTGTGTGGTGTTCAGTTAGTACTCCTGCTCCCGTCGTGCCGGACCTGGGTTCCAGTCTCTGCGGCGCTATTGCTGGGGTCTTTGAGGACCCTGGTCTGGTTTGCGTGGTTGCTGCGGTCCAGGCGGTGTTTGGAGAAACGATCTCGCCAGCCAATCTGGTACTTGGAGCGGTGGTATGCCCATGGCTCGGAGGAATCCTGGGAGGTCACTTGGTCTCCTCACCACCAGTTGATCTGGGCTGTGCCTAGCTGAGAGTGAGAATGGGTAGCCCCAGTGGTACGGTATTCCTGCCTGTTGCAGGGCAGATGTTACCGGGTGTAAGGCCCTCCTGGCTTGCAGGGTATATCTGGATAGATCTTGATAAATCGATATGGTTTGGCTCCCTAGTTATTTTTTTTATTACTACAACATAACTAAATGCAATGTTCCTACACCAGGTAAAAATATTTGTTTGAAGTGCTGTTTAATGGGACTGTGGGTTAGAGGTGCAAGAATATTATTGCCCTGTGTCTTCTATTAAAATACCTGTCATTCAGGTGGCCTATTAAAGGAAGGTTCACAGCTATGTTGCAAAATAAGTGGAAGGCGTTTTAGAAAGGAAAACACTGCCATTTTTCTTTACTTTTTATCTCAACACAATGAGAGTGGAAGGGAGGCATGATGGCAGTGTGAGCCCAGATTGGATCTCCATTCTCTGCCTCATCTTGAATTATAATCTTGAGTGTGGGTGATCAGTATGGAGTTCCAGGAGTGACAATGGACATGTCTTGCATATTATTTGTCAGTGAAGTGTAATATTTTCCCTGGAATTACAAGAAATCGAGTTTTACATTTAGCAACCCATGATCATTTGAACACATGCACAACATGTATTCCATTATTTTAATAATTTCACAAGGTGAGCACTGACAGAGATTCCAAAATCCTGTCTCTGTGTTTGTGAAGGTTTAGAAGAAATATTTACATTTGAACCTTGAAAAGGTTGAAAGGCCACTTGAATGGCCATTGGAGTCATACTAAAAATCTCCAATAATTTAAATGTGCATAGGGATTTAGAATAGTGCACAAGCAACTATTTTCTTTGATTTTTGTTTTTATTGGGGCTGATGTGTGCTATAGTCCGGCCACCCAGGAGTAGTGGGAGTTTGAGCACAGGATTTAGTTTTGTATATTTGTATTTGCTTTTGTATCACACATCCATTTTACCGCCCAGCCCATGTTTTCCCTATTAAGGGTTAATAAGTATGTAGGGCTTCAGAAAAATACCCCTCTGTGTCTCATTAGCGATTTTTTTACCTACAGCTGAAAGAAGCAAGGTGAATTGTTAGCGTAGGACTCACCTAAGAAGTTTGCCTTTACGTGGTAGGTGAGCTTACACTTGAATGGCCAATAGACTGATACTAAAAAAACCAAGTTATTTTAAAAGGCATAGGGATTTGGGAAAGTGTGCAAGTAAATCTTTTCTTTGGCTTTTATTGTATGTATTGGGGCTGAAGTATACTATGGTAATTGCTGCCGCCCGGGAGTAGTGGGAGTTTAAGCGCAGGACTTAATTTTGTATATTTGTATTGGCCTTGAAAAGGTAACGACATATTCTATAAAGTCTGAAATAAATCACAAACAATATCATCAACATAAGTGTTGTGGCAACCATTGTGAATGTATGACACAATTACTGGGAAAGGTTATGACCCTGTGAACTCTTTATAGATGATTGACGGTATGTGTTGTTTACTGCCTATTTTTCCTCTTCCTGTAACTGTAACAGACTGTTCTAATTTGAGAAGCTGGCTGAACCATCTTTAAGCTGCCAGTGGATATTTTCCATTCTCATGTTTGTTGAATGAGTTTCCACCATACATCCAGTAGCCATGTCAAGATGAGGAATAAGTTAAAATAATTGTATTGTTTTTTTTATTTCAAATATTTGTATAGGTAACATAACATATATTCCAAAAATAATTCAAAATAGTAAGAAAAGGCAAATGGGAAGGGGTAGGTAGAGATGGATATTTGAAAGGAGGAGTGATTGGGGTGCTTTCTTAAAACAACACTATTGGTATCACCACAACTTTAGCTTAATGAATTAGTTTAGGTGTTTAGATCATGCCCCCACAGTCTTACTGCTTAATTATTTGCCATTTAGAAATTAAATCACTTGTTTTCTGTTCATGCAACCTAGCCACACGTTCCCTGGCTTTGACTCGTACAGCCTGCATGAAAAAAAAAAGTTACAACAATTGAAGATTATGCTAACTTTAGTGTACTAATAATCTTAAATTCAATAATGACAGGGGGCGAGTATTTAGCATAATATTCCTTTACTACTCCATAGCAGCAAAGACATATAGAGAAAAAAAGGAACCAATCAGGCAGAGAGTATACGCCTTCCACTGAGTCACTTCCTCTTGATAACAGCGACATCACAAGTCACACGATCAACTAAAGAACCATACAGAATAACGAAGACAATTCAAATTCCAGTAACGATGAAGAAAAGTTGGATTCATGTAAAACTGGGAACAACGAATATCCTTGTATGCTTGATGTAGAAGATCTCTTTGTGTCTTTTAAGCTGAAAGAGACCAAGAGCGTTTTAGTGATATGAAATGTAAACTTGAAAAATATGAGTAACCCTCACGTAAAAGGTGCGCAATAATTCGGTACAATCACAATCTATTGTGATCTATAAAATGTAACATACGTACCATAATATAGCTACCTAATATAGAATATCTATACATAAATCACCTATATATGAAAAACTACCCCGACTTTCCATCTAGAGTGAATAGAGTCAATTACGTAGTCACAAGAAAATGACCAGTACCATATTGATTATATACATCACCTACCTGGAGATGCAAACCCACCATGGGAGGGAATTTCAATAGGGGGGAAAATACTTGCCTCCTGTCATTAAGATTATTAGTACACTAAAGCTAGCATAATCTTCATTTTATCACATGACAGGAGGTAATAGAGAGAAAGCAACAATGGAGGACGGGCGAGAGTAAAACGCCCAAAAGGTGGGTTCTCGTCATCAGTCTGCCGAGAGCAATATATTTGATAAGGAGGTCCCCGCTGTGAAGGCTGAAGAGGCAACCACACCACAAACTGAGTGCGCGCCAAAGGAAGGGTCAATCCGGGCAAGAGATAAAAGCCAGCGGGTCAAGGTGGTAACCGAGATTTACCCATGTGACTTCAGGTAGGACACCAATAATTGTCGGGGTGAGGTAATCGTAGTGTGGCCATAGCTGTACGTAGGCGTGCAGTGTCTGGACCACATAAAGTTGGGTTCCAATGGAAAAAATAGGTAAAATAAATACATTTTAAAAAACGACGTTGAGTCCGTCTTGTACATCGAGACACCCGAAGAGTGACATCTTCCAGAGAAAACGAGAAGGCGCCTACGTGGAGTGCTCGACTGTCCGAAATCTGACCAATTGACCCGTGAATTCCAAGCTGAGAGGTAACACTTCCTCATTCTATGGGCCCATGAGTCCCAGAGTATATATCTAGCCATTGAGTCATTGGTGCCTCCAACACCGAAAGACTCCAGGCCACTAAAGAGAGATGTCCTTCTTGTAGCATGGGATGAGGATTCCCCGTGGAATACAGGAATATCATCTGATCATCTGTTAATTGCAGAGGGTCCTGGTATGACAGTGTGAAGAGATCTGGAAACCAAGGTTGACTGTGCCACCGGGGCGTGAACCAGTCTCATGATCATTGCAAAGGGTGGAAATGCATAAGCCCCTTTGGTTGGCCATGCCTGCAGGAATGCGCCTACTGCTGCTCCTTCTGGGTCTGGTAATCAGCTGTAGAAAATCAGTAGTTGGCGGTTGGTGCTTGACGCGAAAAGTCGATCGTGAGCAGACCTTTCAGTGTTGCCAATATGTGTGGAGCTAGGTGCCAATCGTTGTTGTCCCTCCAGTGTCCAGAGATTTCCCCTGGAAGATGTTCCGCCATCAATGTGGTATTGAAGAAATATTTGGCGGTATGGCTGATGTGACGAACTGCGAAGAAATCATCCATGCGTGGCAGGATAGAGAAATTGAATCTCCCTTTCATTAGATTTCAGAAAGCAGAGGCGCCTGCCAACAATTCCAGGCATGCATACCGTCGAGACACCATCGAAGTTCTTGTCAGATTTCTTACGTCATGGGTACCATTGAAAGAAGGTGGTTGCGATTCTGGTCGGAGAGTAGAATGTCATCCAGGAAAGCCAGGCATTGTATGCCTTGAAAAATACAGAAAAAGGGCTGCGCTTAAATAAAAAGTATTGAAAGTCCAGATAAAATAAATAAAGGAGAGAAGGTCTTATCTTGCAATGTCCGTAGTGCTTAGTCCGAAACAATAATCTTGCTTTCTGTCTTTCTTGTGGACCGTCTCGTATGTAAGAGATAAAAACAAATACAGAACCACAATGGTGCAGTATATCTTAATGTGAAAGGAATAAAATATAAAGCTTGATTGCAAACTCACATATCCAAGAGCTAGAACCTGCTCTGGTATAGAAGGCGTACAGCGGTTTAGATCCCCGCTTATGGGATATGGAATGGTTATCCTTCACGTATTTCCTCCTTCCGTGGTGTAAGAAATGCTCAAATAAAAAGAGACAGCCAATAGTGTTCTCTGCGTAAAATTTAAAATTAAATATAAAATAAAAATGGATACTCACAAGACAGGAGCAGGTCAACTGCTCCTGGTATTTCGCACTGGTGGAATAATCCCCACCTAGGATTGCTTATAGTCCAGCGGATGATGCCAGGTAATAATAATAATTATATGTGTATTAACAGATAAGTAGTACAATAAAAGATTATAAAATATACTTTAATTGTAACATTACAAACATGTAATGTTACAATTAAAGTATATTTTATAATCTTTTATTGTACTACTTATCTGTTAATACACATATAATTATTATTATCCACCTAGGATTGCTTGGAGTCCAGCGGATGATGCCAGGTAATAATAATAATTATATGTGTATTAACAGATAAGTAGTACAATAAAAGATTATAAAATATACTTTAATTGTAACATTACAAACATGTAATGTTACAATTAAAGTATATTTTATAATCTTTTATTGTACTACTTATCTGTTAATACACATATAATTATTATTATTACCTGGCATCATCCGCTGGACTCCAAGCAATCCTAGGTGGGGATTATTCCACCAGTGCGAAATACCAGGAGTAGTTGACCTGCTCCTGTCTTGTGAGTATCCATTTTTATTTTATATTTAATTTTAAATTTTACGCAGAGAACACTATTGGCTGTCTTTTTATTTGAGCATTTCTTACACCACGGAAGGAGGAAATACGTGAAGGATAACCATTCCATATCCCATAAGCGGGGATCTAAACCGCTGTACGCCTTCTATACCAGAGCAGGTTCTAGCTCTTGGATATGTGAGTTTGCAATCAAGCTTTATATTTTATTCCTTTCACATTAAGATATACTGCACCATTGTGGTTCTGTATTTGTTTTTATCTCTTACATAGAGACGGTCCACAAGAAAGACAGAAAGCAAGATTATTGTTTTGGACTAAGTACTACGGACATTGCAAGATAAGACCTTCTCTCCTTTATTTATTTATTTTATCTGGATTTTCAATACTTTTTATTTAACGCAGCCCTTTTTCTGTATTTTTTGTGTTTTATCCTAAAGGGTTTTTGAGGGATTCCCTTTTAGGGTTGCTGCTTATTTGTGTTATTTAGCGCTTACTCATTGTTTTGGTTTTATTGTATGCCTTGACCCCATAAGTGAGCCATCACTGGTTTCAGAAACTTCCGTAAAGCACTGTGGTGCTGAACTGAGCCCGAAGGGGAGGCAGGTGTGAATTGCCATGGTGTCCCATTCCAGAAGAACCATAAGGAGGGACGACTGCCATTGTCTACTGGTACAGGCAAGTAGGCGACTTTAAGTCCAGGTGAGTAAACCAGTCTCCTTCTTGCCGGAGGTGCCGCAATAGATGGATACCTTGGTATGTAAAAATGTTTAACCAGGAAAGACACATTCAGATATTTCTGCTTTCTAAGAAACGAACAACCCAAAGGGAAACTACTGAACGCTGATGATGTGCGTTCGGGAGTAGAACAGTCCAAAGGGTCGACCAAGAAGGAATACAAACCACCAAATGTGCATTGGTTTGAATACGCGTTCAGTAGTTTGAAAAACGAAAAGCAGGCGTAGGCGACACATGAACCCGTGCGAATGCCTGATAGAAAATACAAACCGCTGAGTGCACATAGATATACGCGTTTGGTAGATTGAAAATGAGAGAATAGGCGAATGCGGGCATACTTTTAAAGCGTGCAAACGCAGAAGCCCTGAGGAGAGCGTGTGGCGGTGGGAGAGCGCCTGTGGAGTGGTGAGCGTAGCCACAAGAACACTTTATAAGAGGGGCTCACCCTCTAATAACAAAATTATCAATATCAGTATTGGCCTGAGTTTATAAGAGGGGCTAACTCTCTAATAATGAAATCAGTATCATGCACTGACATAAACTGTAAGATAAACCAGAACTGACAGGAAGCAGTATAAATATCAATATTGGGCTGAGTTTATGAGAGGGGCTAATCCTCTAATAATCAGTATTGTGTACTGACAAACTGTAAAATAAACAAAGAACTGACAGGAACCAGTATAAATATCAATATTAGGCTTAGTTTATGAGAGGGTCTCACCCTTTAATAATGAGATCAGTATCATGTACTAACATAAACTGTAAGATAAACAAAAACTGACCGGAAATAAAGTAGGTACACAGACATCCTAAGTCTATACCCTACAAAACAAAACCAGCATTCCCACTATCAGATAACGAATACATACATACATAAACCCTACATAAATACAAATACAGTAAGAAAAGAAAGAAATCAATCAAGTAAGTAAGTAAAATTAAGTAAATATAACAAGAAAAGCCAACAAAGTGTAGATACAATATTCTGACCTGAGTTGTAATGGAGCAGCAATGAAAGAGGAAATGACTCAGTGGAAGGCATATCTTATACTCTCTGCCTGTCTCTGATTGGTTCCTTTTTTTCTCTATATGTCTTTGCTGCTATGGAGTAGTAAAGAAAGATTATGCAAAATATGAAGCCTCCTGTCATGTGATAAAATTATATGTAACTTACTTTAGAAGTTTTTATCTCCTGCTCTGTAAATTTAAATTTAATCACACAAAGGAGTCTCATGCAGGCTCTAGAAGGCTATTAACAAAGCAGGGGATAAGAAATCCTAACGTAAGCAGGAACAAAGGAAGTATAAATATCAGATCTCTCTTTCCCTGACATGTTTAGGCAGGCTGTGCAAGTCACATGCAGAGACAAAGTGAGCCCCCAGATTACAGAGAATTTATCAGTTAGACATGATCTATACACCAGACCACTCCATTAAGCAAAACTTGTTTTGTTGCTTATAGTGTTCCTATAACCCCTTAGTGACTAAGGACGTATCAAGTACGTCCGACAAAAACTGGCCATTAATAACCTTGGACGTACCTGATACGTCCGCGGCACATTTGAGCACTGGAAGCGATCATGATCTCTTCCAGCCACTCTAAGGGTATTGCAGCAATGCCTCGATATCCTGCAATACCCTCATCACTGCTGGGCCGCCAGGTGATCGCTCCCCTGGAGCGATCACTTCCGGGTTCCCCCACGTGCCACCCGGCAGTGAGGCAGAGCATCGGAAGCCATCAGGCAGGCTTTCGATGCTCTGCATGTGTGCTGAGAGGCACTCAGTGAAGAATAAAATAAATAATAAAAAAAAATATTAACCCCCCTCCACCCTCCCTCCATTCCCATCCACTTACCCAATCACTGCCGTTCCCCCACTGGCGATCAGTCTTCTTCTCCACTGGGGGGGACTGTCTGACAGCCCAGACAGTCCCCTCTCTGCAAAATAGGACCCCAAGGGCCATGTGATCGCCCTGAAAGAGCGGTCACATGGCCGCAATAGGCGTCCATAGTGTTGCCTGCAGGAGACTGCCTGAACTGACATAAAAATGTTTTACAAAAAAAGTTTTAAAATAAAAAAAATTAAGTTAATTAAAACAAATATATATATATATATATATATATATATAGGAAAATGTATTCATACCATAATTTTCTTTTCCTGGTCATAGGCCATGGCAGCACAACAATGGGTAGCTCCTCCCCATCCCTAGTTAGACAGGAACTAATTAAAACAAGGGTATAAGAAGGAATACAAACCACTGAACATGCATTGGTTTGAATACGCGTTCAGTAGTTTGAAAAACGAAAAGCAGGCGTAGGCGACACATGAACTGTGCGAATGCCTGATAGAAAATACAAACCGCTGAGTGCACATAGATATATGCGTTTGGTAGATTGAAAATGAGAGAATAGGCGAATGCGGGCATACTTTTAAAGCAAACGCAGAAGCCCTGAGGAGAGCGTGTGGCGGTGGGAGAGCGCCTGTGGAGTGGTGAGCGTACCCTCAGTCTTGTATTCCAGCAAAATCCTTGGACGGGATCTTTGTGCTGCCATGGCCTATGACCAGGAAAAGAAAATAACGGTAAGTATGAATAAATTTTCCTCTTTCCTGGCCATGTCCATGGCAGCACAATAATGGGTAATACCCAAGCAAAACGAAGGGAGGGAAAAAAAATACACGGACTCAAAATATTTCGTAATGCAAGTGTATTAGCACATCTATAAGTGAAATCATACAAAAGAAAGACATTATTTGGATGCTGAAAGGACACTTTTACCAAACTTGTCCCATTGACCCGCTCTGACATCTAGTTGATAATGTCAAATAAAGGTGTTCACCAAAGACCATGTAGCTGCTCTGGAGATATTCTCGCTGCGGCTGCCCTAGAGGAGGAAAGGGACCTGGTCGAGTGAGCCTTTAGACTGCTAGGTACTGGAACCCCACTGGCCCCGTAAGCCTGAATGGTAGCGGAGACAATCCATCTGCTCACGGCCTCTTTAGAAGCTTGGCGACCTTTCCTAGCCCCATTCGGGATGATGAATAGCTGATCCGACGAATGCCAGCCAAGAGATCTGTCAATATAGATTCTTAAACATCTTACCAAATCTAGCAGAGAAGAACCTCCTTCTTGCATCAGGGCTGGAAGCACTATGTCTTCATTCACATGAAAGGCCGTGTTTACCTTAGGGCAAAATTCGGGAATGGTTCTTAGAATCACCCTGTCTCTGTGAAACACCGTGAAAGGCTCCTTGACTGATAAGGCACTGAGCTCCTAAACCCTTCTCCCTGATGCTAACGCCACCAGTAAAACGGCCTTGATGGTAAGGAGATGAGGAGAGATGGACTCCAAGGGTTCGAAGGGAGCTGACTTCATAGCTTGCAATACCCGTGGTAGATACCATAGGGGAGCAAATGGCTTGATCGGAGGTTTAATCTTGAGGACTGCAGCAAGAAACCTGGATACATCTGGATTAAAGGCCCATTTACATAGAAACATAGAATGTGACGGCAGATAAGAACCATTCGGCCCATCTAGTCTGCCCAATTTTCTAAATACTTTCATTAGTCCCTGGCCTTATCTTATAGTTAGGATAGCCTTATGCCTATCCCATGCATGCTTAAACTCCTTTACTGTGTTAAGCTCTACCACTTCACCTGGAAGGCTATTCCATGCATCCACTACCCTCTCGGTAAAATACTTCCTGATATTATTTTTAAACCTTTGACCCTCTAATTTTATGTCCTCTTGTTGTGGTAGCTTTTCTTCTTTTAAATATAGTCTCCTCCTTTACTGTGTTGATTCCCTTTATGTATTTAAATGTTTCTATCATATCCCCCCGTCTCATCTTTCCTCCAAGCTATACATGTTAAGATCCATTAACCTTTCCTGGTAAGTTTTATCCCGCAATCCATGAACCAGTTTAGTAGCCCTTCTCTGAACCCTCTCTAAGGTATCAATACCCTTCTGAAGATACGGTCTCCGGTACTGTGTACAATACTCCAAGTGAGGTCTCACCAGTGTTCTGTACAATGGCATGAGGACTTCCCTCTTCCTACTGCTAATACCTCTCCCTATACAACCAAGCATTCTGCTAGCATTTCCTGCTGCTCTATTACATTGTCTGCCTACCTTTAAGTCATCAGAAATAATCACCCCTAAATCCCTTTCCTCATATGTTGAGGTTAGGACTCTATCAAATATTCTGTACTCTGCCCTTGGGTTTTTACGTCCAAGATGCATTATCTTGCACTTATCCACATTAAATGTCAGTTGCCACAATTCTGACCATTTTTCTAGTTTACCTAAATCATTTGCCATTTGGCTTATCCCTCCTGGAACATCAACCCTGTTACATAACTTAGTATCATCAGCAAAAAGACATACCTTACCATCAAGACCTTCTGCAATATCACTAATAAAAATATTAAAGAGAATGGGTCCAAGTACAGATCCCTGAGGTACCCCACTGGTGACAAGTCCAAGCTTCGAATATATTCCATTAACTACAACCCTCTGTTGCCTGTCACTCAGCCACTGCCTTACCCATTCAGCAATATTGGAATCCAAACTTAAAGATTTCAGTTTATTCATAAGCCTTCTATGTGCAACAGTGTCAAAAGCCTTACTGAAATCTAGGTAAGCAATGTCTACTGCACCACCCTGATCTATAATTTTAGTTACCCAATCAAAAAAATCAATAAGATTAGTTTGGCATGATCTCCCTGAAGTAAACCCATGTTGTCTCTGATCTTGAAATCCATGTGTTTTTAGATGTTCATCAATCCTATCCTTTAACATGGTTTCCATCACTTTCCCCACTACTGAAGTAAGGCTTACTGGCCTATAGTTGCCCAACTCCTCCCTATTACCTTTCTTGTAAATGGGCACAACATTCGCTAACTTCCAATCTTCTGGGACTACTCCTGTTAACAATGATTGGTTAAATAAATCTGTTAATGGTTTTGCTAGTACACCACTAAGCTCTTTTAATAGCTTTGGGTGTATTCAATCAGGTCCCATTGACTTATTTGTCTTTACTTTTGACAGTTGAAATAGAACCTCTTCCTCTGTAAACTAACGTGTAATAAATGACTCATTTATCCTTTTTCTCAACTGATGTCCCTTTCCTTCATTTTCATCTGTAAATACAGAACAAAAATATTCATTGAGGCAGTCAGCTAGACCTTTATCCTCTTCTACATACCTTCCTTCTTTTGTTTTTAATCTAACTAATCCTTGTTTTACTTTTCTTTTCTCATTTATGTATCTAAAAAAAGTTCCCCCCCTTTTTTACTGACTGTGCTATTTTCTCTTCTGTGTGTTATTTGGAAGCTCTTATAACTTGCTTAGCCTCTTTCTGCCTAATCTTATAGATCATTTTGTCTTCCTCGCTCTGGGTTTTTTTATAATTACTAAATACTAACATTTTGTTTTTAACTATTTTGGCCACATCTGCAGAGTACCACAGTGGTTTCTAGAATTTTTTGCTTTTACTGACAAGCCTAAAGCAATTTTCTGTTGCCTTCAATAGTGCAACTTTTAAATAATCCCATTTCTCTTGGACTCCATTTAAATTGCTCCAGTCTGATAATGACTCCTCTACACTTATTCTAATGTTAGAAAAGTCTGTTTTTCTAAAGTCTAAAACTTTTGTTTTTGTGTGGTGTGACTCAGTCACTGTTCTTATATTAAACCACACTGACTGATGATCACTGGATCCTAAACTTTCACCTACAGTAATATTTGATACCAAATCTCCATTTGTTTACACTAAATCTAGTATGACCTCTTTACGAGTTGGCTCCTCAACAACTTGTCTTAGAGACAATCCCAGTAGGGAGTTTAGAATATGTGTGCTCCTGGCACAAGTAGCTAATTTTGTTTTCCAATTTACATCAGGAAGATTAAAGTCACCCATGATGATAACTTCCCCTTCATTGTCATTTTAGCTATTTCCTCAACTAGTAGATTATCTAACTCTTCAATTTGTCCTGGGGGCCTATAAATCACACCTACACGAGTTACTGTGTGATTACCAAATTCTAACGTAACCCAAACAGACTCTATGTTTGCCTCACTAACTTTTATTAGGTTAGATTTTATGCTATCCTTCACATACAAGGCCATCCCTCCCCCTTTCTTGCCTTCCCTATCTTTCCTGTATAAAGAGTACCCTGGTATTGCTATGTCCCAGTCATTTTTCTCATTATACCATGTCTCTGTAACAGCAACTAAATCTACACTATCAGTTGCCATTATTGCCCCAAGTTCATGGATCTTATTCCCTAAACTGCGAGCATTTGTAGACATGACTCTAAGCTTATCATTTTTTAACACACTTGCTACAGTCACCTTCTGTCCTTGTTTTGGGGGACAATTGGATTGATGTTTTATCACCCTTTTGCCCCCCCCTCCTAGTTTAAATACATCCTAGCAAAACCTCTGAACTGCTCACTGAGAACATTTGTTCCCTTTTGAGAAAGATGCAAACCATCTTTTTTGTACAGCTCATCTCCATTCCAAACAGCTACCATGAGAAATAAAGCCAAATCTTTGCTCCTGACACCATTCACCAAGCCACAAATTAAAGTCCCTAATACGCATCCGCCTGTCGTTCTGAGTGTTATGCACAGGAAGAACTTCAGGGAATGACAGTGTGGAAGCAACCTGCCGTATATCATTGGCAAAAACACTAAAAACTTCCTTAACCTCTGAAACCTCATTGCAAGCCAAGTCATTTGTCCCTAGATGGACAAGTACATCCAATTCCCCTTCCTGCTTTGCTTGCTTAACAATATTACAGATACGTCTCCTGTCTCTGTGAGTAGTAGCTCCGGGAAGACACCTCACAAGACCCCCATTGTCTATCTCCACACCTCTTATGATGGAATCCCCCAACAATTGCTTTCTATTAGGCCTCACCATAGTCTCCAAGCCGGTCTTCACAACACCACTAGCCTCAGTGCCCCTCTCCACAACACCACTAGCCTCAGTGCCCCTCTCCACAGCACCACTAGCTTCAGTACCCCTCTCCACAACACCACTAGCCTCAGTGCCTCTCTCCACAACACCATTACGCTCTGAAAGAGCAGAAAATGAATTATGTAGAGCAACAGACCGTGCTATATGCCTTTTATCCACAACTCTAAGTCTACCAGATCCTACAGTAATCCATCTGCCATTCCTAGTATGTCTCTGCGGCAGTGGCTTTGCAGCAGTTCCAGTCTGAGTTTGTTCACCAGATAATTTACATATCTCAGACTTCAAAAATACAATCTCCTGCAGCAAGATAGAGAACTGTCTACAGATTAGACAACAACCAAACCTCCAAAAAGTGGAACATGAAACAAATGCATAGCAACTATTACACTGAACTAAGTCTGCCATTCCAATGAGGAGAATAATTTAAATCAAATTAATCTTAACTTTTTATCTATCCTCCTGAATACCTCAGATTACCTCCAGTTTCTCTCCAGAATATCTCCAACCACACACTTAGAAGCAACACTTAGATGAAGCAACCAAGCTATATTAGCCAAGCTAAAGACAACAACCCTTATATAACTCCTAAAATCACCACCCACTAGGAATGTTTAACACCTGGGTAGGCCTCTGCTTATTTGCAAACAATAGCTAATTTAAACAGCAATCAATAGCAAGTTGCCAACTAATCAAATCAAATGCCTTATAATTACCAACAGGAATTCAAACCTTGTGCAATCAGTAACCTTTTCCTACAGATGAATCTTACCTGTAACAGTAGAAAAGAAAGCTCTTAGCACAACCCCTGTTAGACAGTTGAAGCTTCTGTAAAACTCTCCAGAATATCTCCAACCACACACTTAGAAGCAAAACTTAGATGAAGCAACCAAGCTATATATTTGTGGTCAGTGAGAGCTGAAAGAGCGGAGACATGTACCTTTAAGGTGTTGTAGCTCAAACCCTTATCCAGACCGGTTTGTAGACACTCCAAGATGTCTTTAATAGCAGGATGCTGTATGTTAATCTGCTTAGGAGAGGCCCAGGAAGAAAATGCGTCCTAAATTCTATAGTAGGTAGAGGAAGTGGAACGCTTCCGAGCCTGTAACAAGGTATCTGTGACTGCAGCCGAGAAACCCTTCTCTAGAAGCCTTTCCCTTTCAACCTCCAGGCCTTCAGGTTGAGTGATACTGGGTCTGTGTGTAGGATAGGACCCTGGTGCAGAAGAGAAGGAACTGCTGGAAGGTCCCACGGAGGTTCCGGACAGAGGCTCAGAAGAAGAGGAAACCAAGGCCGGCAAGGCCAGTATGAGGCAATCAGGATCATAAATACTGGTTCCTGCCAAATCCTTCTTAGTAGAGGAAATATGAGGGGAGTGGAAGGAGATGCATACCCGCAAGGTTCTTCTGTACCCAAGACATCAGGGGAATCAACCTTACCATACTGCGTCTTCGGGTACCTCCTTGATGATTGATCTGTGCTACTACTGTAGCATTGTCCGTTCTCACCTTCACTCACTTGTGCTGTAGTGAACGCTGAAAGTGCTTTAGTGCTCTGAAAACTGCCAGACGTTCCAGAAGGTTTGAGTGGGTCTTGTGTGCAGGAAACTCCCACTTCCCCTGGGTGACCTCATTCTGCAGGTAGGCTCCCCAACCCCAGTGAACGGCATCTGTTGTTATAGTTATCCAGGCAATGTTCCCCAGGGGGAACCCTGAGAACAAAGCCTTCTTGTTCATCTACGATGTCAGACTTAGATGGACCGGGGTGGGAATCCTGATGGGCTGGAGTAGATTCTTCCCTCTGTATTGGGAAAGGAAATTCCTCTGGAGTGTTCTCATTCTCCATTGCGCCCATCTTGTCAAGCCTATGGTTGATGACATGGATCCTAGTAGGCTCAAGACTTTCTCTGCCGTGGCGACCTGGACTTGTCGTATATCCTTTACCTTTCTGATGAGCTTTACTTCTCTTTCTCTTGAGAGCTGAACTGTCCCCAGTGCAGTGTTGAACAGGGCTCCTGGATAAAGCATGGACTGTGAAGGAATAAGGTGACTCTTTTTCCAATTTATCTTCCATCCGTGTTCCTGCAGGAACTGAATGCAGATTGAGAGTGTACCTGTCCTCTGATAGCACCAGGATGTCGTCCAGATAATGAAAAATGGCAATGCCCCTCTTTCTTAATTCTGCGATCAGGACCACCAGGATCTTTGAGAAAGTGCGAGGAGCTGTACTGAAGCCAAAGGTAAGGGCTCGGAACTGGAAATGCCCTCCTTCTACTGCGACTCTCAGATATCTTTGATGCAGTTGAGCGATCGGAACATGGAAGCAGGCATCTTGCAGATCTACAGACATTAGCCATTGCCCTGGGAAGACTGCTTTGATGGACTGAAACGACTCCATTTTGAATCTTCTTACGTTCAATCGCTTGTTGAGTGTGAAGATCTAGAATAGGTCTCCATGCTCCTGAGGACTTTCTTGTGATGAATAGGTGAGAATAAAACCCGTGTGTTCTTTCCTCCTTTGGAACTTCCATAATGACGCCTTCCTGCTGCAGGGAAGAAATAAACTCCAGAAGAGCCAATCTCTTGTCTCTGTCTCCCGGCCATCTTGTAAGTTAAAAACTGTGACAAGGTGGGGTATCTCTGAATTCTAAAAGATATCCTCTTTTGATGATGTCCAGCACCCACTTGTCTTTGGTAGAAGACTCCCATCTCTTTCGGAATAGGAGGAGGCGTGCTCCTACCCCTCCAGGCTGGGAGATCAACCCGTCATAAAGCTCTCGTATTCCTGCTGAATGCAGAGCCTCTCGATCTTCCTCCCCTGACTGAAGACTGCCCCCCTCTCCAAGGCTGGGATCTTCTGTATTCTCTACCCAGTCTGTAGGATTTGAAGTCCCGAAAGGAAGATTGATCTGAAGGTCTTTTGGGCCGAAAGGATCTCTTAGGTCTACGATCTTGGGGTAGAAAAGCATTCTTGCCATCTGCCACTTTCTTAATGCAATCATCCAGGTTCTTACCAAAGAGCATATCTCCATAGAACGGTAAAGAGCAGAGGCTGTTCTTAGATGAAGCATCTGCTGACCAGGATCTAAGCCACAAAGCCCGTCTAGCCGAGATGGAAAATGCCATGTTCCTGGCCACTGCTTTGACCATATTTCAGTAGTGAAATCTATGGCCAGTTTAATGTCTTGTAGACTACCCATGAGGTTGGATCTGCTTATGCCCTCTTTGATATCCTGCCCCAGGCCTTCTAGCTAGATCTTCAAAGCTCTGGAGACTGAGGTAAGGGCTACCGCGGGGTGGAGGCCTGTGCCTGCTGCCACATAGGCCCTGGACAGGTTGGAGTCCATCTTCTAATCCATGGAGACTCTTAGAGATTCTGCATTATCCACTGGCAATGTCGTGCGCTTGGCCAGTCTTACCACCGCTGCATCCACTTTAGGGGCTGACTCCCAGTGGCCTGCGTCCTTTTTGTTAAAAGGATAGAGGCGAGAAATTCTCCCTTGATTGGGAAGCTTCCTCTCTGTCTTGAAGTAGTCGGGAGGATCTGGAAATCTAGGCCTTTTGTGGGCTCTGCTCGCCTCTTTAATGCCTTGGGATACAGCATTCTGAATAATTTGCATAAAATCCGGGGTGGATGATGCGGGACATCCTGCGGCCTGTAGGCAATCTGAGCATAGGCGCTTCCCCTCCAGGGCCCTCTTGGCACATGCTTTGCATAGGGACCTTGCGGGAGACTTCCCTTTTGATGTTCCAGCTGTCTTTTTCCCTTTAGTACTACTATAATAAGGGAAAAATATTAGCCCTCACTCTTTTGTTTAGAAGAAAAATTGGCAAAACTAGACCATAGAAGAAAAAATGATATAGGAAATGGCTTACCCCTGAGATTTAGATAGTGACCGTTTACTTTGAACTGATGAGTCTGAGTTAAGCCCATAAAATAAGGCTTAAAAATGAGGTTCAAAAAACATCAACTGACTAAAAAACAAAAAACAGACAAACTGTGCCTTTAAAAGACTTACCTTCAGTCTGCAACACAAAACTGGGTGAAGACCTCACTGTACTGCCTTAAGTTAGCAAGGGAGTGTGTTGAAAAGTTAAATTTCAGTATTGGCGCTTTAAAAAGGGCGCCCAAACTTACTGAATGACGTCATCAGAACCTCGGACATACCGCGCATACACAACCGGTAATTCCACGCATGCGCGAAATCGGCATGGCGCAAACCGGACGCCAAGCCAGCAAGGAGACCCATGGTCTCCCAACCTCTGCAGACCGCCAGAAATACAGCGAAAATGCCGCGAATAGGGACAGGGGGAACCCTAGATCACCAGGGAAACCCTGCACTCCCCCAGAAGGCAGAAATAAATACTAGGCAGAGAACTGCCGAATCAAAGAGGAGGAATGCCTCCAAATCCGAGAGAAGGCAGATAACCAGGAAATTGAAGGTAGAAGGGGGTATATCCATACTGTTTATGCCTTGCCCATACCTTCTACCCCTAGGGTCACTGCAATAATGTCACATATTCATCCGCTTATAGAAATGTGGTTAATGACATTTACTGTCCACACAGGAAAAGTTGTGCCGAGCAGCAACCTAATCCACAGAAGGGTTAATGCTGAGCAGTAATTGTGCAAATGAAACCTGGTGTCATGTATTCATCCACTTAGAGAAAAGTGATTAATGACATTTACTGTCCACACAGGAAAAGTTGTGCCGAGCAGCAACCTAATCCACAGAAGGGTTAATGCTGAGCAGCAATTATGCAAATGAAACCTGGTAACTGACTTTGGGGTCAAAGGCCGGTTACAGCCTATCAGAACTAAAGGAGGGGTATTTAGGCCCAGTTCTCAGCCTGCTCAGTGCCCTGTCGTGGTTTCCCTTGTGGTTGTCCGAGAGCGCGTTCCTGTTTATAGTTTTCTACCTGGTTTTTGACTTTGGCTTTGTTTATTGACTTCTCTATATTCTGGTATCCTGACTCCTGGCTTTCCTCATCGCTGTGTCCCTTTCTGTGTTCCCTGACCTCGGCTAGTATTTTTGACTATTCTTTGTACGTTAAATCCGGCCATTCTAAGGACCGGTAATACGTTACTTATTTGTCATCCGTGCTGTACAGTTCTACGTGCTGGATCAAACAGTAATCCTGACATTACGACATGGCCATAGATCCTGTAGAACTGTGTCAGCACATAGCTGCTTGCGAGAGGAAATTAGAGGAGAATGATCACCGCATGGATCAATTCACTCAGGCTTTAAGTACGCTTCTCGCTAGAACGGAGCATCTGCAGCCTGCAGCATCTCCTCCTATAGCACCTCTACCCTGTGTACCTCCACCCACTGTTAATAGGACTCCTTGCATCTCCTTATCACCATCCCTACAGTTTGATGGCAATATCCAGGAATGCAGGGGTTTTCTTAATCAGGTGGAGTACCATTTTGAGGCCTCACCAGGGTCATTCCCCACGGACAGAGCAAGAATTGGTTATCTAATGAATCAATTAAAGGGCAAGGCCCTTGCCTGGGCTAATCCGTTGTGGGAGAGTAATCGGAGCATAGCTCATAATTACCAGGAATTCCTTGCCGAATTCAAGCTCACGTTTGAGCCATTGGGTAGAGAGGATGACGCCTCCACTGCCCTAATGCACATCAGACAAGGTAACCGGTCTATCTCGGATTATGCTATTGAATTCCGTACCTTAGCTTCCGAGGTAGACTGGACTAACAATGGGTTAATCTCAGCATTCAAAAAGGGTCTCTCAGAGACTATACTAGATGAGATAGCCGCTAAAGAATTACCTAAGAGTCTTAACGAATTTATTACGTTTGTCATGCATATTGATAATAGGTTAAGACTCAGAGAAGTCACCAGAAGCAAGACCAGACGTACGGCTATGTCCCTAGCACCTCAATTCTCTAAACCTGTTTTGTCTAACCTCCCTGTACAGTCCGAACCCGAACCTATGCAGTTGGGGGTCACTAGACTGTCAGAGGCCGAAAAACAGTATAGGAGAAGGGAGGGGTTATGCCTATATTGCGGTAGAAAGGGACATATGATAACTAATTGTCCAGTGCGTCCGGAAAACTTCCGCACCTAAGAACCTTAAGGGGACAGATCTTAGGTGTGATGGAGTTGTTGTCCTCTAACAAAAACAAAAGTAGATTCCTCCTTGAGGTATGATAACTTTCCCTTGATAACAAGAAGTTTTCTTGCAGTGCCCTAATGGACTCAGGTGCTGCTGGAAATGTTATTGATGTCCAGTTTATTAGGGGTAATGAGATACCAGTCAGGGAGAGACCTACGCCGCTAGCTGTAGAGGCTATTGATGGTAGACCACTCACACAACCGCTTATAACCCACGAAACTGTCCCTATTACGATCTCCATTGGGGCCTCCCATAGGGAGGAGATGACGTTTCAGGTTATTACTTCTCCATCATGTCCTATCATATTAGGGTTTCCGTGGCTGAGTAAGCACAATCCCTATATTGACTGGGCTAATGGGGAGATATTAGAATGGGGTAAAGAGTGTATGGGGAGATGTATAAAACTAGTACTAAAGAGATTGGATACTATTGACCTTCCCACTACCACTCCCCAAACTCCTGGAGTTCCCATACAATACCGAGAACTTCAGGAGGTGTTTAACAAGGCTCAATCCGATGTATTGCCTCCCCACAGAGCATATGACTGTGCCATTAACCTGTTTCCAGGCGCTATGCCACCTAAGGGGGCAGTTTATGCCTTATCTCCACAGGAGAGTAAAATAATGGAGGAATACATCAAAGAATCCTTGAGCAAAGGGCACATAAGAAAGTCATCCTCACCAGCTGGTGCAGGATTCTTTTTTGTTGAGAAAAAGGGTGGTGAGTTACGCCCTTGCATAGACTACAGGGCACTTAATAAAATCACTGTAAAAAATGCATACCCTATTCCACTCATTTCCGAATTGTTCGATAGACTTCAGGGAGCTAAAGTATTTACTAAGCTTGACCTTAGGAGCGCTTACAATTTGGTTAGAATTAAAGAGAATCATGAGTGGAAGACGGCATTTAATACCCGTAGTGGACACTATGAATATCTGGTAATGCCATTTGGGTTATGCAACGCCCCGGCCGTATTCCAAGACTTTATAAATGATGTACTCAGGGAATTCATTTACTCATTTGTCTTGGTTTATTTGGACGATATTTTGGTGTATTCCCCTGATCTTCAAACTCACCACTCCCATGTGAAACAGGTTCTGCAGACATTGTTGAAAAATAAACTTTATTGTAAATTAGAAAAGTGCATATTTGACCAGCCTGAAGTCCACTTTTTGGGTTACAACATCTCTGCATCGGGATTTCAAATGGATCCTAAAAAACTAGAGGCTGTACTACACTGGCCATTACCCTCTGGTTTAAAAGCCATTCAAAGGTTTATTGGTTTTGCCAACTATTACAGAAGATTCATCAAGGGATTTTCTTCTGTAATAGCCCCAATCACAAATATGACTCGCAAAGGGGTTAGTAGCACGGTATGGTCCAAAGAGGCTGTGAATGCTTTTGAGACTCTTAAACAAAGATTTGCCTCTGCGGACATACTAAAACATCCTGACACCAGTAAACCTTTTATATTGGAGGTTGATGCATCCGAGACAGGGGTAGGGGCTGTTCTCTCTCAGAGAGAAAGCCAGGGAACACCATTGTATCCTTGTGGCTACTTCTCCAGAAAGATGTCTCCTGCTGAGCGCAACTATGATATTGGCAATAGAGAACTGTTGGCCATTATTCTTGCCCTCAAGGAGTGGCGACATCTTTTGGAGGGTTCCAAGGACCCCCTGTTGATCATAACCGACCACAAAAATCTGGCATATATAGGGGATGCCAAACGTTTGTCTTCCAGACAGGCTAGATGGTCACTGTTCCTTTCACGTTTTAACTTTCTCATTACTTATAGACCTGGTTCTAAAAATACCAAGGCTGATGCCTTGTCCAGGCAATTTGATAATGAGTCAGCTCCGGAACAGATGACATCTCCTATTATTCCAGCAGAGTGTATTATTGCTACTACTGTCCTCTCACTGTCTTCTCCACTGCTTGGCACCATACTGGAGGCCCAGCCTCAGGCGCCCAGTGGTAAACCGTGTGATAAACTGTTCGTTCCCCTATGTGAAAGGGTTAATATCATGAAAGTGTTCCATGACAATATAACTGCTGGACACCCGGGCATCAATAAGTCCACTGCCGCGATCACTAGATCATTTTGGTGGGATTCACTCAGGAAAGATGTAAAGGAGTATGTGCAGGCATGTTCTGTGTGTGCAGTTTCTAAGGTGACTCATGCACTTCCTTGTGGCCTGTTGCAGCCTCTTCCTGTTCCTGAGATTCCATGGTCCCACCTATCCATGGACTTTATTGTTGAGCTTCCTAGCTCTGCTGGGTTCACTACTATTCTCATGGTTGTAGACCGATTTTCTAAGATGGCTCACTTCATTCCTCTCAAGAAGTTGCCATCTTCGCAAGATTTGGTCCTAATTTTCATACGTGAAATTGTCCGTTTGCATGGCATCCCCCACAATATTGTGTCTGATAGGGGCTCTCAGTTTGTGTCCAGGTTCTGGAGGGCGTTCAGTAAACAATTGGGGATTGATCTCTCCTTCTCCTCCTCCTACCATCCACAGACCAATGGTACAGCTGAGAGGGCTAACCAGTCATTAGAAGTTTATTTGCGTTGTTTTATTAATAGCACACAAGACAATTGGTCCAAACTACTCCCGTGGGCCGAGTTCGCTAGAAACAATGCTGTTCATGACTCCTCTGGGCACAGTCCATTTTTTGTCAATAATGGTAGGCATCCTACGGTTCTCCCTGCGGTATTTTCTGATACTGCCATTCCTGCTCTGGATGAGCGTCTGGCCTCCATTTGGGATACCTGGGTTAAGGTTCAAACTGCTCTAGGGGCTGCTGCTGAACGCTTCAAACATTTTGCTGATAAGCGTAGGAGTGCCAACCCGGTGTACCAAGTGGGGGACCGGGTTTGGTTGTCATCTCGCAACATCAAGCTTAAGGTCCCTAGCATGAAGTTTGCCCCCAGATTCCTTGGTCCCTATAGAGTGCTTCGTAGGATCAATCCAGTGTCTTACTCTCTGGCTCTTCCTGCATCTTTAGGGATTCCCAACACTTTTCATGTGTCCTTACTCAAACCTCTTGTCTGCAATAGATATACTGTTCCTTGTGTTCCTCCCCCTCCGGTGGTGGTGGGTGGTCAGGAAGAGTATGAGGTATCTTCTATCGTGGATTCTAGGTTTTCTCGGGGCACTTTACAGTACTTGGTTGTTTGGAAAGGTTACGGTCCTGCTGATCGTTCTTGGGTTTCGGCTCCTGACCTGCATGCGGGCCGTAAGATCCGCGCTTTTCACGCTAAATTTCCTCTCAAGCCTGGTCCTGTCCGCCCGGTGGGCGTTCTTCAGGTGGGGGTAATGTCACATATTCATCCGCTTATAGAAATGTGGTTAATGACATTTACTGTCCACACAGGAAAAGTTGTGCCGAGCAGCAACCTAATCCACAGAAGGGTTAATGCTGAGCAGTAATTGTGCAAATGAAACCTGGTGTCATGTATTCATCCACTTAGAGAAAAGTGATTAATGACATTTACTGTCCACACAGGAAAAGTTGTGCCGAGTAGCAACCTAATCCACAGAAGGGTTAATGCTGAGCAGCAATTATGCAAATGAAACCTGGTAACTGACTTTGGGGTCAAAGGCCGGTTACAGCCTATCAGAACTAAAGGAGGGGTATTTAGGCCAAGTTCTTAGCCTGCTCAGTGCCCTGTCGTGGTTTCCCTTGTGGTTGTCTGAGAGCGCGTTCCTGTTTAGTTTTCTACCTGGTTTTTGACTTTGGCTTTGTTTATTGACTTCTTTATATTCTGGTATCCTGACTCGATCCTTTCCTCATCGCTGTGTCCCTTTCTGTGTTCCCTGACCTCGGCTAGTATTTTTGACTATTCTTTGTACGTTAAATCCGGCCATTCTAAGGACCGGTAATACGTTACTTATTTGTCATCCGTGCTGTACAGTTCTACGTGCTGGATCAAACAGTAATCCTGACAAATAAGTAGGGTAATGGCTCCTTATGCTTGCTACCCCTAGGGTCACTGCAAGCTTTCCCCCGGTCACTGGGGGGTTCTCCAGGGGGACACCTTTGCACAGGCCCGTATACTGGAGCTTCCCAAGGAAGAGAGGCTTAACTCCCCTGGGGCCAAGGGTAAAAACCCTTAAATTAAGCCATAAAAAAATAGTTCTCAGTCTGAAAAGACTAATCTGTCCTAGAGATAGGACAGGAACAAAAAGACTGAGGGTAGGAGGGGGTACTTATACCCTTGTTTTAATTAGTTCCTGTCTAACTAGGGATGGGGAGGAGCTACTCATTGTTGTGCTGCCATGGATATGGCCAGGAAATGTATATATACACCTTATATATAACTTCATACTAAGTGCATTTTTTTTACTAATATATACATATATTAATATAAAAATCACACTTAGAGTAAAATTACACAAGTAATATATATATATATATATATATATATATATATATATATATACACACACACACACACTATTATAACAAATAAATAACTAATTAAAAATAAATGTAAAAATAAAAAACTTTTTTTACATTATATATATATATGTTTCATTTTATTCTAACTGTATTTTGATAATATATATATAAATAAATTTAATTCAAAATACACTTAGAAATTTATCTATGTATATAAAAATAAATAAAAATAAATACAAATTTACATATGTCCATTTGCATAATTACATAAATAATTTCATAAATATACACGTAGACTTCAAATATATAAATATGTATATATATTTAAATTTTATACGTGCATATTTATGTAATATTTTTACATAATTAAGTAATTTAATTGATTGCAATTTGGGGGACCTGCCTGACAACCCAGGCTGAAAGTAAGGAGAATTTAATTTGCTAGCACTATATTTAACCCTGTAACTTGCCAAGACACCCTAAAACCTGTACATGTGGGGTACTGTTTTACTCTGCAGACTTCACTGAACACAAATATTAGTGTTTCAAAACAGTAAAACATATCACAGCGATGATATTTTCAGTGAAAGTGAATTTTTATGCATTTTTCACACACAAACGGCACTTTCACTGATGATATTGTTGTGATACATCTTACTGTTTTGAAACACTAATATTTATGTTCAGAAAAGTCTCCTGAGTATAATCAAACCCCCCATGTACAGGTTTTATAGTGTTTTTAAAAGTTACAGTGTCAAATATAAGGTTTGATTTTCTGTTTTTTCACATTGAATTTGCCAGATTGGTTATGTTGCCTTTGAGAGCGTATGGCAGCCCAGGAATGAGAATTACCCTCATGATGGCATACCATTTGCAAAAGAAAACAACCCAAGGTATTGCATATGGGATATGTTCAGTCTTTTTCAGTAGCCACTTAGTCACAAACACTGGCTAAATTTAGCGTTCATAATTGTTTTTTGCATTTTTAACACACAAACAAATATAATGCTAACTTTGGCCAGTGTTTGTGACCAAATGACTACTTAAAAAGACTGGACACACCCCACATTGAATAACCCTGGGTTATCTACTTAAAAAAAAAAAATTATGTACATGTGAGGTGTAATTCAGATATTTGACAGATATGTGTTACACTGTCACTATTGATGCATTTTAAAAATATATATTTTAAAACAGCAATGTCCTACATGTACTTATAGCCCTATAACTGGCAAAAAAAAGGTAAGAACATGTTAACATTGGGTATTTCTAAACTCAGGACAAAATTAATAAACTATTTAGCACGGGTGTTTTTTGGCGGTTGTAGATGCATAACAGATTTTGGGGGTCAACGTTAGAAAAAGTGGGTTTTTAAAAAAATGTTCATCATATTTTATAATTGTTTTTATAGTTAATTATATGATATGATGATAATAATGGTATCTTTAGAAAGACCATTTAATGGCGAGAGAAACTGTATATAATATGTGTGGGTACAGTAAATGAGTAAGAGAAAAATTACAGCTAAACACAAACACCGCAGAAATGTAAAAACAGCCTTCGTGACGGTCTGGTCACTAAGGGGTTAATATTACTTGTATCCAGGATTGTGCATGCTTTAGTCACACTTTCTAAAGTGGTAAGAAAAGCAGTTGGGCCCACTGAATTAGGTATCATTGGACGCTAATTATGAAGTTGAGAAGATAGAAATGTTTGTGTCTGTCTATTTATTAATCTATGGACTTCACTGTCTAAGCAGTGGGTTGGGGCAAAAAAAAACAGCTTCTAGCCAGAATGTCAACTTATTGCTTCTCCATATAGGTCTCTGTATGTGGATGATTAAAAAGTAATGACCTGAATAACAAAGAGAATGTAGGTGCTTAATGTTGAGTCTACTAAACAGCTCCATTTGTTATCATGTAATATAGGTAAATATATCCCTGACAAATGTACTGCATTTTCTGAGTCATCTTAAGCATTCTTTGCCAACTGTAGCCTTGTTTTTTTTTTTAAATAATTCACTTATGGTCCGGATCATGATCATGAGTTACTCTGAGAGCTGAAAGCTCTCTCTCTTCATTTATAGAAAGAAATAAGAAAAGAGATGTGCCAACAACACCAACAAAAAGGAAAACACTGGAAAGAGAGAGTGAATAGGCAAGTGACGACCACTAACCTGTTTTATCCCTGGTGCAAAGCATACAAATTTCTTATATCCTTGGCATGGGGAGCAGACTTCAAGAGCTTAAACACAGTGTCCGAGCATTAACTGGCTGCACAGGCGTGGTGCCAGGTGTTGTCACACCACAGACAGTCAAATGGGAGAACCTAACCACCACTTTTGAGGACATTTGGAAATCAGGGTAAAAATTAAGGAAATAGAAGAAACAGATAAAAAAAAAAAAAAAAACAACCAAGGAATAAGAAAAGAGATGTGTCACCACCACATACAGAAAAGAATAAAGTGGAAGAAAAAGACCTAGTAGTCTATCCCATGTAGGGCAGAAGCCCTCAGCCCCCCCAACTAACCTACATCTTGTTTATCCTCTAAATAGATTCAAATCAATTTAAACTAAATATAGCTAATTAAAAACAGAGGTAGCAATTAGCAAAAAGAAAGAATATAAAACACATGGATTCAGCAGGCAGGTAGCCATTGTGAGGAAAATGCTGCTCAGCCCAATAGTGCACACAGCACAGAAAATACAGAAAGAAAAAAAAAAAGTCTCAGCCTCTCTAATAGTACTGAGAATGGCTAGCTCACCAGCCAATGAAATGGCAAATAAGTGAATTGCAATGGGGCTAGCACAGCAGTGTACCACCATCAACGCTCAATTAGACTCTAGAAAAAACTAAGCACGTGCTTTCCATATATAGTATTTCCACAACCTGCTTTTAAGAAAAAAAATCAACTCACTTTCCCCTTTATGTGATAATAATAAAGTTTGGCATGCATTAGTTCATTCTGACATTTGAAAGGATAAAAAAAAAATGGCCGATTTTCATCCAAATAGCATCCGGTTTGAAAACTATTGCCTTTGTCTGGTATTTAATCACATTACCTAAAGAGACTTATTTGATAGTATTTTAATACATAAAAATTAAATTGTGCTTTGTGGCTTTTGATACTAGAGTTAAGTGTGGGTGGTGTTAAGAGGGATTACACTCCCAGAACCAATTTGCGGGCACATCTGAAGTAGTGTGCTCTATACACTGATGATTTATAATATATTAATGATCCATGGGGTATCAAAGCCTCCTGACCCAAACGTGGTGCTCCACAATGATTTAAACTGAAATTTGCAGTATTCTGTATATTTTGCAACCATATTTATTATTATTGTAATAGTTTTGAGGCGATAAAATCCTAGGTCTGTAGGCCCATAAAGAAGCTAATGTGAGTGCCAGAAGATCGGGTCAAAGGTCCAGAAGATAAATTAAAAAAGATGAATAATTTTTGTGTATGTAGAGTAGGTTCCAATAAATAAATACATTATTGACATGGACAAAAGATCCAATACTTAAATTCAGGGGAACCCAAATTGATATCAGGCACCTGGAGAAGCAATTAACACACGGCACAAATGGTTGTGAGACCAGAATTACTTCCTGTACGTTTATTCAAAGTAGGGTGTATTTATACACAAAATTGTTGCAGCTTAGCTTAAAGGTTTAAAAATAGAAAAGTAAAAAAAAAAAAAAAAATTTGTTAATGTGGCTACATATTTCATAAGATATAAAATTAGTTTACAAAACAATATGCGTTACATATTTCATAAGATAGGAAGGTCGCAGATAAAATTAGCTAGCAAACCGTCACACAATGTACAGTTTCTCAAAATAAGTACTCCGGTGGGGGCTAGAATACACAGAGAACACAATTTAGGCTGACACGTATACAGCATTTTACAGAGAAAATGTTCATTACATATAAAGAACATCAGATGTAGGCCTTAATCATTGGAACCAAGATAAATTCCCTCCCAATTATATATATATATATATATATATATATATATATATATATATATATATTTGTATAATTCCAGTTGTGACACTAGCTTGATGATATTCAAATGTTGTGTAACCAGCTGTTTTGTTAGATGACGGTCTCTTATTTATCCATAGTTCCCACATATGTTTCGTATAGCCCCTCCCATTGGGTCTGCTGTAGTAGCATTCAATCCATTCTATGTTGTAGTTTTGTGTCCAGGAATGGTTTGTTCCAATTGCCCATTTGTTGTCAGATTACGCTTGTTTCGTTTTAATCTGGTCGACGTCCGAGCCGGCATGTTCGTGTTACTCTCATATTGTTGAGGTGTATGTGTGCTAAGCAGCAATTTCAAGTCTCACAGAATGTAATAGTTTTATTTAAAAACACCTCACCCAGGCAAAAAATAATGGGGGTTTAGTTAAAGGTATTGATCATACATTGCATAAGCCTGCCACAACGTCAATGTACCCCATTCTTGGCAGGTCCTACTCTAGCAGCCTAATGCCTACTCTTATGAGATTAATCCACTTACTTGGGAATTTCTTCCTCCTGTGACTCTGCAGCTCAAGGATAAATAGGGCCATGGAATGAGGCACCTGTGACAGGGAGGAGTGCAAAACCAAGGAGTTGGCCTGGACTCCCAAATATATAAATGGAATCAAGGGGTCTGCACTCACCTGAACATGCATACATTATACGGTAATTCTGGGGTCAATTTATACAACATACAAAATCCAGTGCACTTGCTCATTCACTAAACAGCATGTTCAGGTGAGAACCTACCACTCTCTGACTGGCTCTGGTGGGACTTAGGTCCCTGTCTCCCACTTTCTGCCTCTACACTATGGAGCCTGCTCTTCTGGGAAGATTCCAGAGGCTGGCTTAGTCACATTGTTTGCTTGTTTGCAGAGGACTTGTGGTAAGCACATGTGCTACCTTTCAGTGATGATCACTTCCAGGAAGAAGAATCAATTAATCAGGACCACCCTACTTAAACAGAGCTCTCTAGTTTATCAGCACTTTTGTGGTTCCAGAATCCTTGGAACTATTTTGTTCTCTTTTAATCTCTGTTATTATTGGCCAAGCTCGCCTTGAACACACTTCTGTTCTCCTGACCTTGTAAACTTGACCTATCCCGTTTACTTTCCTGCCTACTTCATGTCTTCTGGCTTGTCTGACTACCCTGCCTGTGTACTAGTACCGGGCTTGTTTACAGACTATTCTCTGTACATATTAAATTAGGCCCTGCGCTCAAACTCCCACTACTCCTAGGGGCAGCAATAATTAAAGTACACATCAGCCGCAATACATACAATAAAAAACAAAGAAAATAGTTACTTGTGCATTATCCTATATCACTATGCACATTTAAATAACTGGAGTTTTTTTAGTAGCACTCCAAAGGCCATTTTAGTATAAACTCACCTGCCACGTCAAGACAAAACTTCTTAGTTGAGTCCTACAACAATAATTCACTTTGCTGTCTTCGGCTAACAGGTAAGAACCTCTGAGACAGAGAGGGGCATTTTTCTAAATCCCTACACATTTATTAACCCTTAATACGGAACACATGGGATAGATGGCAACACTGTAACATGGCTGTGTAATACAAAAGAAGTTCAAACATACAAAAGCCCTGCACTCAAACTCCCACTACTCCTGGACGTCAACAATGACTATAGTACAATATATACAATAAAAAAAAAAAAAAAGTTACTTGTGCACTATGCCAAATCCCTATTCATACAGGGAGTGCAGAATTATTAGGCAAGTTGTATTTTTGAGGATTAATTTTATTATTGAACAACAACCATGTTCTCAATGAACCCAAAAAACTCATTAATATCAAAGCTGAATATTTTTGGAAGTAGTTTTTAGTTTGTTTTTAGTTTTAGCTATGTTAGGGGGATATCTGTGTGTGCAGGTGACTATTACTGTGCATAATTATTAGGCAACTTAACAAAAAACAAATATATACCCATTTCAATTATTTATTATTACCAGTGAAACCAATATAACATCTCAACATTCACAAATATACATTTCTGACATTCAAAAACAAAACAAAAACAAATCAGTGACCAATATAGCCACCTTTCTTTGCAAGGACACTCAAAAGCCTGCCATCCATGGATTCTGTCAGTGTTTTGATCTGTTCACCATCAACATTGCGTGCAGCAGCAACCACAGCCTCCCAGACACTGTTCAGAGAGGTGTACTGTTTTCCCTCCTTGTAAATCTCACATTTGATGATGGACCACAGGTTCTCAATGGGGTTCAGATCAGGTGAACAAGGAGGCCATGTCATTAGATTTTCTTCTTTTATACCCTTTCTTGCCAGCCACGCTGTGGAGTACTTGGACGCGTGTGATGGAGCATTGTCCTGCATGAAAATCATGTTTTTCTTGAAGGATGCAGACTTCTTCCTGTACCACTGCTTGAAGAAGGTGTCTTCCAGGAACTGGCAGTAGGACTGGGAGTTGAGCTTGACTCCATCCTCAACCCGAAAAGGCCCCACAAGCTCATCTTTGATGATACCAGCCCAAACCAGTACTCCACCTCCACCTTGCTGGCGTCTGAGTCGGACTGGAGCTCTCTGCCCTTTACCAATCCAGCCACGGGCCCATCCATCTGGCCCATCAAGACTCACTCTCATTTCATCAGTCCATAAAACCTTAGAAAAATCAGTCTTGAGATATTTCTTGGCCCAGTCTTGACGTTTCAGCTTGTGTGTCTTGTTCAGTGGTGGTCGTCTTTCAGCCTTTCTTACCTTGGCCATGTCTCTGAGTATTGCACACCTTGTGCTTTTGGGCACTCCAGTGATGTTGCAGCTCTGAAATATGGCCAAACTGGTGGCAAGTGGCATCGTGGCAGCTGCACGCTTGACTTTTCTCAGTTCATGGGCAGTTATTTTGCGCCTTGGTTTTTCCACACGCTTCTTGCGACCCTGTTGACTATTTTGAATGAAACGCTTGATTGTTCGATGATCACGCTTCAGAAGCTTTGCAATTTTAAGAGTGCTGCATCCCTCTGCAAGATATCTCACTATTTTTGACTTTTCTGAGCCTGTCAAGTCCTTCTTTTGACCCATTTTGCCAAAGGAAAGGAAGTTGCCTAATAATTATGCACACCTGATATAGGGTGTTGATGTCATTAGACCACACCCCTTCTCATTACAGAGATGCACATCACCTAATATGCTTAATTGGTAGTAGGCTTTCGAGCCTATACAGCTTGGAGTAAGACAACATGCATAAAGAGGATGATGTGGTCAAAATACTCATTTGCCTAATAATTCTGCACTCCCTGTATAAGTGTGAAGATCCACTATAACCTATTGGCACATGGGATACTTCATTTTAAGCCATTAACATGTAAGGATCTATTATTCCATCCCAGGTGAACAACATATGAAAAGTAATCATTCAGCTATTACAATGTATTTCACCTTAAGGGTATAATACCTGTGTTTTAAACTTTACCTTGTGGCAGTAGTCACCAGCACTGGGGGCTGAAGATGGACACTTCATGTAGGTTCCCAGGTTATTCTTATGTCTTAGACACTTTGTTCTCATTATAGGTGCAGACCGTGCAGTGGATGTATAATGCATTACTCATTATTAAAATGTTTGTGTGCTTTCCTGTCCAACTATTGGATTTGCATTTTGAGCCTGTACAACGACATATGTTGGTTACCAGGAACTAGGAACAGCTATATGCACTACGTGAATAGCAAGCCTTGTAAATTTGAATATTTAGGTAGATTTGCATATTAGGATTTCTGCAGGCAGGGGCGATAGTTTGAGTTAGTTATTTTCCCACCTCTTGATAAATATGTTATAGTGTTATTGTTGAGTTTCTGTGTGTTTCCCCATATGATTAACTATAAGTTAATCGTAAGTTAAATGTAATGGGCATATGGGCTAGTACTGAGTTCCAATAAAGCTGAGTTTGGGAGTTCCTTTTGGAACGGCTTGTTCCGCTGGATTTGTTCACAGATCCCAGTAACAAAGTATTCGGACCTGTTGGCTGTCTGCATGGTCTCTGTAGTTTGGGACAATTCAAAAAGAGCTATGCCTGAAATCAGCAAGTGCCTTTATAAAGGCAGAAGCTTGTCTTGATGCAGGCAGAGGTGTAAATACTTGCCTAGGAGTGCTGCAGAGGAATTGGCAGCGGGGATAGTACCTATCTGGAAGAATAGAGCTGGAGCCTGGTTGGGTAGAAGAGCACCCTCTGTTATTGTTATTTTTTGTCACTTTGGACAAGTTTGTTTGTTTTTTCCCTCCGAACCTAATCCAATTACTCATTAAATGGAATTAGATGAATAATGCGTACATGTAGTTGTAAGACGTAATTTATCTGTAATAAAATTCGTAATACAAACGCTCAACCACATATTCGGTCTTGTACACCTAAAAAAGGCATAATTGATGTTTTGCATTGTAACTCAGAAGCTGGTCATTAGCTTCTGAAGTGATATTACAAATGTTGTGCCTTGTTTGTCAACACTATGCTCAACATTTTAAAGCATCAACATTATAGGTATTATAAATAGAACACATTTAAAAAAAAAAAGTATTTCCAACATGCCGATAAGACACTGGTTTGAACTGGCCTGAATAATGTTATCCACACGGAGAGTGTGAAGAAAGGGTCAGCAAAGAGAGGCTAACTTTAGAAACAAGTTTTGGAAAGAGTTTTATCTGTGACAGACATAAAGATGCTACCCTAGTCAAACACAGCTCAACCTGCCAAGAATAAAGGCTTGTTAAGTGTCCTGAATTCAGAAGGATAAAAGCCGCAGTAAATAAGAGACTGCAGAAAGCACAAATTATTTAGCAGACTTCAAGCCGCATTTGAGAGGAAAGGAATATCCCGTTTACTAATTTATTCAAAACAGATTTAATTTGGAAAACATTTTACATCATATATCATTTAAGGTACAGTATTTTTTCAGTATTTCAACTTATTTAATTGAACTTGTTTATGGCACATTCTGATCAGGAACATCTCTCTAAAAACTTTGATTTACCTGTTGATGTTTATAAACTGATATTTAAAGTGTCCCACTATTTCAGAGGCTTGTTGTGTGAGGCCGTATTTCACTGCTAATATGACCTACCGATTGCTTAAACTTTGCATATTAAAACTAAACACAAATCCAAGAGACTGTATAAATGGTTATAAAAATGTGGTGAATAATGCTACAAAATGTAGTTTATGTTATTGAGTCTTTTAAATGAGTGAATAATGTTTTATTGCAATAGGCATTGTTGCAAAGCACTGTACTATACTTTGAACGCTAGATTCTGTTTGCAGAACATGTAGTTCATGCAGTTCATGTAGTATTGAGTGTTTTAAATGAGTGAATAATGTTTTATTACAATAGGCATTGTTGCAAAGCACTGTACTATACGTTAGACGCTAGGATGTTTTTGCTGAAGATTATAGTTCATGAACCAAACAAATTACAAATTCAACATTCTTTGCATGTTATTTTAAATAGTAACGTGATACACTGTTGATTCCAAACATATGATTTTCAATGTGGATATAATACTATGAAGTCTATTCACTAAACAGTGCTATGATGAATAGACAACTAACTTACGAACTTCAGACCAAATTAATAGACTTGTAAGATACATTGGGGAAAAGAAAGTAATATCTTTCATTTTGCAAGATGGTTTTAGTACTCACTGTTTAGTGAATAAACATTGTCCCTCACAAATAAAAAAAAAAATCATGTGATTAGGCACTAACAAATGCTCATAAAGTTTAACTATTGTCTTTTTCAAATTATATCCTTGTTCATGGGTAAGCCTATGGATATTGAGATGTAGGCTAAAAGAGGTGCAACAGATTTTCTTGTTTAAGTAGTAATATGCCCAATTATATCACCATCCTTTAATTCCACTATATTTTTTCATCACTTATTTATATTTTTTCATCACTCCAGGCACAAAGATTGGCCTAAAACAGACTTTAACAAGCTCATTGTAGAGACAATATTTCGGTTCTACTACAGAGCCATTGTCAAGTATTGATAAAAAACGTTGACAAAACAGAGCCGAAAACCCGAGTTGTCATGGGAGCACCTGAAGTTTTGTGGTATTGTGGACATATACAATTCCCTTTTAGTTCACCTAATATATTATAACTTGTTATAATCATAATTTACTTTTCCCACTACAAATTAAACTGAGCAAATTGATTTTGTTAATTCTTAAATATAGAAAATAATTGTAGGCTTGCAAAACGTTCATGTAAACACTCTTATAGAGAAAAATCCTGTGGAAATAGGTCTCAATGAATTTGGCCATATATCAGATTAAAATGTTGTCTCAGTCCCCATGTCAGTTATTTATTTGATCTTACTGTCTCTAAAACAAACATGGCACCATTAAATTAATTTCTGTGATATATGTTACTGATATAATTATGTCTCTGTTTTCTGTCTTCAATGCTGCTAGTAGAGTGGACCAGAAAATGTAAAAACCTACAGTTTGTCACATGTATTCAGGTTTAAATGCAAATTAAAATGTCTCGACAAGAAAACCTGAAATGCAAAAAGCTTGTGTTTTTTGGAGGCGGACCTAGCAGCCGTGCTGACTGGTCGCACTTCTTGTAACTCCGTGCTTAAACGCTTTTATTCAGCTAAATTCACTGCACTTATCCCGGGATTTCAGTTACAGCGGTGCTCCAGAGAAGGGAAATACCTGCTGCAATGGCATCCATAATGATATTGACCGAGATCGACGGCTTTTAACAGGGATAGACCTGCAGCCTACAAGAGGACTACTCAGACAGAGCAAGGCAGGCGGTCGATCCCTCAGCCTGTAACTGCCCGCTTCACTCGAGGTCTCCCGTTCACATGCTTTCCCCCCAGCCGGTGAGGGATATCCCAGCAACCTCCTCCAGGGTTACAGTGGCTACATACCTACCCCAACTTACCTGCAACAACAAGCCTGCTGAAAACAATATGGCGGACGCCTCAAGCAAACCGAGACCCGCAACCTACCCTCGAAAAAAACTGGATCGCCTGTTTGTCAACTTCTGGGCCAAGCTGTCCTGTCCTCTGGGCACTCCTGACACAGCCCCAACTCTCCAGCAGAGTTCACAACACTCTGCATCCCCTCAGCAAGGAACCGACACTGCATTGAGACAGCAGCTTGTGCAGAGAGAAACACGATGGGCGCCCAAGTTTCAGCTCAGCATTCCATGAGATCATTTCCTAAGCGTCTTATTCACCCTCGGAAGGTCACAGTTTATCGGAAGAGGTGACAGCCTGATAGAAGACCCAGAGACCGAGCTTGCCAAAGCCAGGAGACTGCAGCTCTCATATCCCTGCTCGGGCGGAGACCCTCCATGAGACACCAACACCACCACTAGGCATGTATCGCCTGGACACCAGAGTACTTCTCTGGCTGACACTGGAGCTGTGGAGCACATTGGAGGTCAGACCAAGGCGGGGCTGTTAATTAACCCTGCAGGAGTTGGCTGACTAGTGACTTTTGCCGCTACTGCGTATTATGCCCTAACCAAGGTCTTTTAGCATATATGATTTACTTTGATTTTAATGTTTCTCTTTAATTTACATTTTTATCACTAATGGGCATTTTTCACCTTTCACATCTTGCATAATTTAGGGGGTCCTCGGGGCAAAACCTTAACCTTTCACCTGTCAGTTAAGTGGGGTCAGAGCAGAGCTAGCAGTGCCAGTGGTTTCACCCTCTAAAGCTTAAGTAGCATGAAATTCAGCGATTTATTAAATATATGTTACCCTCAGTTTGACCTAGCATGCAATACATAATATGTGCAAACTTGAGCTTCTTTCCTAACTAAAATATATTGCATATTGTCAATATGTTTGCTCTGATTCATCTGTATGCCTAGTAACTCGTCTGACATATTGATCATCTTGTTTACATAAACTAGTGATTAGCCTGACTTCCCTGTAACAAAAATGTGCAGTATTTCGCAGTGCAGACCAATGTATAAAACTAAATATTTGTGCTGCTCCATCGCAATTGTACATAACCTATCTTTGAGTACCATATCTGTCTCCATGCTACCAGTATAATTATGTTACCTACTGTGCCTGCATCTCTTGTTGTGACAGTGCAGGCGATTGTGTACTCTTCAGCACTACAAAAAAAAAACTGGTGGTTTTACTGCACATAAACAGGGTTATTTAAGAAAATAAGGATTGCAAGGAATTCAAAGTAAATTTCAAACTCAAGTTCATAGTAGAGGCAAAGCTGAATTAGAGAATTTTTTCAAACAGAGTAAAAAAATTGGACAGGGGACAGGCGTGCGTGAGCTACATGGGGTTGTAGGAATACTGGAAGCTGGTATTGCTATGAAATCAAGCAATCCGATCATCTGCAGCTGCGACCATAAACAGTAAAACCAGCTAGTAGTAACTTGACTTTGAACACATGAAAACCATAAAACACATGGTGAAAGACTGTTGTTCATACCAAATTATGAGAGTGAGAAGAAATATGCTTTAAGATAATTTGACCATTAATGATTGTTGATGCCAGATGTGGTGGCTAGAAACTGTTAATTGCTTGGAATTTTCACACACAAAGCTGTAGATCTTACAGACAATAGTGTGGGGGGAAAAAAATTCTGATCAGTAAATATGCCTTGCTAAATATATCTGTGATCAGTGTATATACCTAGCTAATGACCGTGGTCAAGAAGAATCTCCAAACTTGTTAAATCTGACGGGAAGGCGATGGTAACTAAAATAACCAAATATTACCACAGTGTTTATGAATACACAACAAACTGTACTTTGAAAAAGATGGGTTGCAAAAGCAGAAACCAACATCAGGTTTTTTCTTGTCAGAACAGGAAGCTGAAATATACCATATTGAATCATACTGGATCAGATTAATTCTAGGCATATGGAATGTCACAAAAGTATAATTTGTCTGCTCTGGACACACCTCCTACCTTGACATTGTCTTGACTATGGTTTGGAGTTAAGGCTTGGACACTAATGACAGATACCTCTCAAGAATAGATTGATCCCCATTCTTATATCTCTGTACAAATGTGGCTTACTTTTGACTTCCTTAAAATATTTTGTTCGGGATAAATGTTTCAGATGACATAATGAACCAATAAAGTAGTAGTAGAGAGACTCTTATCTAATCCTTCCAATTGGGTAAACATCCACTTAAAAAAACATTTTTTTTTGGGGGGGGGGGGCAATGCAGGGGCGGGTATTTCTGTGTGATGGAACGCTGAGAGGCTCTCCCAGCTCTGCATGTATCTCTTCCCACGTTCCCTGAGACGGCTCCACCTTTTCCTGGTGGGCTCCCCCAGTCTGGGGCCACAGCGCTGGGAGAGCGGCTCTTGAGCGCCAGGCCGATCCTCAAGGCGCCCGAGGTTGGACAAAGCCCCTAACAGCTGTGACATCGGCTTCTGCTGATCTCACAGAAGGCTGCATGGGAGAAAATGGAGCTGGGGGAAGAAGGATTCTCTGATTCCTCCTCCGATGCCTATCCGGACCCGGGAGAAGGCACCTCAATGGACAAAGCCAAGTCACCTCCACCCGGAGACCCAGTCACTGCAGTTTATTAAAAAGAATGTTTGCAGAACTCCTGCAGGACTTAACTGCTGACAGGGCATATTTCAAGGAAGCCATTGAGGGTTGCCACTACAAGGCTGACTCTTCTCGAGGCCTCAGCAAGCTCCCAAGACACCCTCCTAGCCACTCATGAGCAGAGAGTCTCAGAGCTCCAAACACAACAACTCGGCACAGCCAAGTGGAGGACCACAGACGGAAACACAACTTAAAGATCAGAGGGGTGCCTGACGCCATATGACTTTCTGATCTGATCTTGGCATTTATTGACCACACTGCTACAGCCTAAGCAGGCATAACTTGTGAAAATGTATGGAATGTTCCGCCTGCCAAAGCCGGCAAACGCACCCCCAACAGCCACAGCAGACCTTTTAGTGAGGTTTCAATCCCTACAGGAACTGGACTCTCATCTGGGTCGATTGGGCCAAGCAGCCTCACAAAAGGAGACCAATGCCATCCTGACCCCTCTACAGTAGCGGAGTTCATACCTAGAATCTTCCAGCTGTCCTTATGGACATACGCTGCACAGACACCTACACCACAGTTTCTGCCACCAAGAACCGTGTTTATGCTTACTATGTTATCATTGTTATTTTGCTTCATGGATGTTCATTAATTCTAAATTCTAACTATTGATTAATTGCATACCTAGAGATGTCTGAGATGTCTGTAGATACATATACCCACTTACTGTTTTAGGTTTAAATTCTAAAAGTTTGCACCCCATGCACATACGTCCGCACATCTTGCAGTCACACGCTTGAGATGTCAAACCTAGTGCTAAAGATAGCTTAGAGACGTCAGTCCCTGGAGGGGGCGACCCCCTGGAGCACCTAAGTTTACACGAGACACGACTTAACCAAATGCAATTTACTACTGTGCCCTAGAGGGTTTACATCATTGTGTTGTACCTGTTGAAAATCTTGTTCTTAATATAAAATTTCACTCTGCATGTACCATTGAACCTGCCAATAACTATGCCTTGATCATTATATGTGTACACCATGGGCGGCAGCCTGCGTATTGTATTCTTCGTATGCTGAATGAACAAAACATTTTTTTTTATATAAAAACATTTTTGTAGATTTCCCCCAAATGAATATGTGCATGCATTTAATTATGCATTTTTTCTTTGGCGTTATATAAAAAATAAATACCAGTAGCTTGCAAAACTGCAGATCTTTCGTGACTGTTCAGTCACAGACTTTCCATTGCAGCTCAATTAAAAGTCTTTGCACAGTAGGTTCTCTGGGCACTTGTTGTCTTGAGTTCAGTGCACCTAAGCTAACCAAACCTAAAAGTAACATTATCCGTGGGTGTAACCATTATTATTTTTAAAAGTGTCAATTTCTGTTGAAATCTTCACAAATGAAGAAGGTAGGACTCACTCTCCACACAAAGCTTTTCAGCAAGCTAACGTGCTTTGGTATCTGGATTATCCCTTTACAGAGACTCTCCAGTGCCAGGAATACATATCAGTTTTTCTGGCAGTGCAGGTTCCTGCAGTGCCCCTCTCCCTTCCACCCCCATCCCATATTGCTGAAGGGGTTAAAACCCCTTCAGTGACTTACCTGAATCCAGCACCAATGTCCCTCGGCACTGGGTCAGGCTCCGCCCAAGCTCCTCCCCCGCAGATGTCACCTGATGGGGGAGACATGCATGGCAATGGATGCGCATTAGACCTCCACATAGGAAAGCATTATTCAATGCTTTCCAATGTGGATTCCCGCGACGCTGGAGGTCCTCATGCATAGCGGGCATGGGGCCAGAGCGAAATGCCCTTTTGGCCAATCAGAACCTCCTCATAGAGATGCATTGAATCAAGCGTCTCCATGCAGAGCGTGGGGATGCTGAACGGCACTGATGCCTACTGTGCTGCCCTGAGCCAGGAAGCACCTCCAGTGGCCATCTGAGGCATGGCCACTTGGAAGTGTCCCTAGGCGCAATGTTAACACTGCCTTTTCTCTGAAAAGGCAGTGTTTGCATGGAAATGCCTGTAGTGAGCTATTATACTCACCAGAACAACTACATTAAGCTGTAGTTGTTCTGGTGACTATAGTGTCACTTTAATGAAAACACTTTATTATGCAAAAAAAAAAAAAAGATAAATATACACATAGATATCTTTCTATATATAAAACTTAATTCTAAGTGTAATTTAAATTTTATATTAATATCAAAATACGCTTACAATAAAATTACATGTATATATATTTTGTTTTTTATTTGTGGTTATGTGATCTTGATGAAATCACGATCGCATGACCCGGAAGGGCCAGATTGGCTGCAGGGTTACTGCTGGGCTTGTCTGGCAGACTCTGATCTGCATTGCTGCCCTAATGGCGTTAAAGCAGGACGGCATTGTACATCATAACGATGTAGAGGGGCCAAGTCCTTGCTTGGATACAGGCACATACATTAAATAAATAGTTGCAATTTACAGACAAATCTCACTTAAAGGACACTCCAGCCTGCCTAAATACTGAAAAGTGTGTTCTCTTTTTGTATTTTTCAAAAAGTGGCGATTTGAATTGAAATATACTTTTATAACTTAACCGGTTTACATCCCTATATTTTGGTGTTTTTTTTAAAGTAAGACAACGGGTCCTGTAACTTCCTGGTTTGGTTAGCTCAGTGGAGCTAAACTCAAGAGGCAGCAATTGCTCAGAGCTCCTGTCTTCCAAATACTTCTCATTGAGCTGAATTGAAAAGTCTGTGATTGGACAGCCACAGATAGCTACAAAGTCTGGGTTGGGGAAGGAGGGGAGCGTTGGCAAAGGCAGCAGACAAGAAAGTGCAGGTTTTGCATGCTGTTTTTAGATATACCCCCAGTGGGAAAAAATACATTAATTTATGCATGCCATTTTTCATTTGTGATATATCTACTAAACAGTAATTTAAAAAAAATATATATATATATATATATATTGGGCAGTGGAGTGTCCCTTTAAATATACACTGTTTGCCCTAACAGCCCTCTGCAGCAGAATGATATGCATGTGTGTATCCATGACATGTCAGCTGCAACAAAAAAGTAAAAATAAACAGATACTTTGCGGCCCTCGAAAATAAATAAAATCAGTCACTATTTATTAGATATACCCCCAATTAAATTATGCATGCTTTTAATAATGCATTTTGCTCGCATTGGAAGTATAGCTAAAACAATCTTGCAAAGTCTGCAGCTCTCCTGCAAGGTATGTGTTCTGGCCAATTGCCTGCCTCTTGAGTTAAAGGGGCAAACATAAAAGGTAAAGGGAGGATGGGAAGGCTTAACTGAAATAGAGAGGGAGTGACAGTAAAGCCCAACATGTATTTTTGCACAGAATTCACATTAGGCAGTCTGGGACAGAGTTCAGCATACAAATGAGAGGAACTACACTCATGGTTTCCTCTCTAACCTCTGCAGTTTATATATTATGTAAATAAGTAGATTTCTTCAGTTTTGCCGTCTATGCTTTTGTAAGGTGCATTTGCAGATTGCTGTCAGCTCTCACCACATTATTTATGAAAGTTACTTTGTGATTACTAGAGGACTTCTATTTATAGAAATCTCCCCTAGGTTTGGTATGCTGGTCTCCATAGCAAAGATGAAAAATAAAAATACCAACCAGGGTAGAAAAAATACCAACTGTGTCTACTGCAGTTATACAACTACTGCAGGTACAGTTACAGTTTTACAGTTATTCAGTTATTCAAGAAACATGCAGGCTTTTTATTAATTTTTTTTTTCCCATACCAAGTGGGTGCACAAAAGAATTAACATAACAGCCTTGCACAGAATTAATTCAAGTCTTAAAACATATCAATAGTGATGCACCGAACGGTTCGCCGGCGAACATAGCGTGTTTGCGTCCGCCGCGGACGGCGAACACATGCGCGGTTTGATCCGCCCCCTATTCGTCATCATTGAGTAAACTTTGACCCTGTACCTCACAGTCAGCAGACACATTCCAGCCAATTAGCAACACACCCTCCCTAGCAGACCCTCCCACCTACTGGACAGCATCCATTTTAGATTCATTCTCAAGCTGCATGCTTAGTGAGAGGAGGGAAAGTGTAGCTGCTGTTGATTAGATAGGGAAATGCATAGCTAGGTTAGGGTATACAGTGTCCACTACAGTCCTGAAGGACTCATCTGATCTCTGCTGTAAGGACAGCACCCCAAAAAGCCCTTTTTAGGGCTAGAACATCAGTCTGCTTTTTTTTTTTTCTGTGTAATGTAATTGCAGTTAGTTGTCTGCCACTGCTGCCAGCTTCTGTGTCAGGCTCACAGTGGATACTGTGCCCATTTGGCCAGTCAGTGCCACCACTCATATCTTGTGTCACAATAGCTTGCATTTAAAAACAAAAAACTTTTTTCACTGTTATAGATTGAATAGCAGTCAGTGTCCTTAAAGCGGGTGTGTCAGGCTCACAGTGGATACTGTGCCCAGTGCTACCACTCACTCACTGGTGTCACAATGGATACTGTGCCCTGTGTCAGGCTCACAGTGGATACTGTGCCCAGTGCCACCACTCACTCACTGGTGTCACAATAGCTTGCATTTAAAAACAAAAAACTTTTTTCACTGTTCTAGATTGAATAGCAGTCAGTGTCCTTACTGGTGTCACCACTCACTCACTGGTGTCACAATAGCTTGCATTTAAAAACAAAAAACTTTTTTCACTGTTATAGATTGAATAGCAGTCAGTGTCCTTAAAGCGGGTGTGTCAGACTCACAGTGGATACTGTGCCCAGTGCCACCACTCACTCACTGGTGTCACAATGGATACTGTGCCCTGTGTCAGGCTCACAGTGGATACTGTGCCCAGTGCCACCACTCACTCACTGGTGTCACAATAGCTTGCATTTAAAAACAAAAAACTTTTTTCACTGTTCTAGATTGAATAGCAGTCAGTGTCCTTAAAGCGGGTGTGTCAGGCTCACAGTGGATACTGTGCCCAGTGCCACCACTCACTCACTGGTGTCACAATAGCTTGCATTTAAAAACAAAAAACTTTTTTCACTATTATAGATTGAATAGCAGTCAGTGTCCTTAAAGCGGGTGTGTCAGGCTCACAGTGGATACTGTGCCCATTTGCCCAGTGCCACGACTCATATCTGGTGTCACAATAGCTTAAGCTTGACATTTAAAAAGAAAAAAAAATTTTTTTCACTGTAATAGATTGAATAGCAGTTAGTTGTCTGCAAGCGTCTGGGTGTCAGGCCTCCTTCAGTGTGTGCTCTGCAGACCTCTGCTCGTGTACTTTGCCACTCATATCTGGTGTCTCTATAGCATGCTTTTACAAAGAAAAAAGTTTTTCAGTGTAAGCTAATAGCAGTCAGTGTCCTTAAAGCGGGTGTCAGGCCTCCTTCAGCGTGTGCTCTGCAGACCTTTGCCCGTGTACTTTGCCACTCATATCTGGTGTCTCTATAGCGTGCTTTTACAAAGAAAAAAAGTTTTTCAGTGTAAGCTAATAGCAGTCAGTGTCCTTAAAGCGGGTGTCAGGCCTCCTTCAGCGTGTGCTCTGCAGACCTTTGCCCGTGTACTTTGCCACTCATATCTGGTGTCTCTATAGCGTGCTTTTACAAAGAAAAAAAGTTTTTCAGTGTAAGCTAATAGCAGTCAGTGTCCTTAAAGTGGGTGTCAGGCCTCCTTCAGCGTGTGCTCTGCAGACCTTGCCCGTGTACTTTGCCACTCATATCTGGTGTCTCTATAGCGTGCTTTTACAAAGAAAAAAGTTTTTCAGTGTAAGCTAATAGCAGTCAGTGTCCTTAAAGCGGGTGTCAGGCCTCCTTCAGCGTGTGCTCTGCAGACCTCTGCCCGTGTACTTTGCCACTCATATCTGGTGTCTCTATAGCATGCTTTTACAAAGAAAAAAAGTTTTTCAGTGTAAGCTAATAGCAGTCAGTGTCCTTAAAGCGGGTGTCAGGCCTCCTTCAGCGTGTGCTCTGCAGACCTCTTGTACTTTGCCACTCATATCTGGTGTCTCTATAGCGTGCTTTTACAAAGAAAAAACGTTTTTCAGTGTAAGCTAATAGCAGTCAGTGTCCTTAAAGCGGGTGTCAGGCCTCCTTCAGCGTGTGCTCTGCAGACCTTGCCGTGTACTTTGCCACTCATATCTGGTGTCTCTATAGCGTGCTTTTACAAAGAAAAAAAGTTTTTCAGTGTAAGCTAATAGCAGTCAGTGTCCTTAAAGCGGGTGTCAGGCCTTCAGCGTGTGCTCTGCAGACCTCTGCCAGTGTACTTTGCCACTCATATCTGGTGTCACAATAGCGTGCATTTAAAACCAAAAAACTTTTTTCACTGTTATAGATTGAATAGCAGTTAGTTGTCTCAAAGCGGGTGTGTCAGGCTCACAGTGGATACTGTGCCCAGTGCCACCACTCACTCACTGGTGTCACAATAGCTTGCATTTAAAAACCAAAAATCTTTTTTCACTGTTATAGATTGAATAGCAGTTAGTTGTCTCAAAGCGGGTGTGTCAGGCTCACAGTGGATACTGTGCCCAGTGCCACCACTCACTCACTGGTGTCACAATAGCTTGCATTTAAAAACCAAAAAACTTTTTTCACTGTTATAGATTGAATAGCAGTTAGTTGTCTCAAAGCGGGTGTGTCAGCCCTACAGCGTGTACTCTGCCAGTTTACAGTGCCACTCATATCTGGTGTCATAATAGCTTGCATTTAAAAACAAAAAACTTTTTTCACTGTTATAGATTGAATAGCAGTTAGTTGTCTGCCAGCAGGTGTGTCAGGCTCACAGTGGATACTGTGCCCAGTGCCACCACTCACTCACTGGTACCCGGACGAAATTTATTTTCACAAAAGGCAATCCCCAACCTGTACTCGATTGTGCAAAAGGAAATAATGGCATGTCTGGCACACAGTGTTGGGGCAAGGGTCCATCTGACCACTGATACCTGGTCTGCAAAGCATGGTCAGGGCAGGTATATCACCTACACTGCGCACTGGGCAAACCTGCTGACGGCTGCCAAGCATGGAATGCGTGGCTCTGCAGAGGAGTTGGTGACACCGCCATGACTTGCAGGCAGGCCTGCTGCCACCTCCTCTACTCCTCCTACTCCATCCTCTTCCATAACCTCCTCGGCTGAGTCCTCTTCTGCTGCTGCGTCTTGCTCCACATCAACGGATAGGGGACGTAACAGGGATTAAACTGATAAGAATAGTACTACATAACACACCACTCCTATCTGGTGGCACATTAGATTGCATGCGCAGTGCCCCAAATTTGTTGTGATCTGTGAGTAAGGTAAACGGTTGTCCATACAAGTAAGGTTGCAGCTTTTTGAGGGCCCACACCACCGCCATGCACTCCTTTTCAATGGCAGTGTATCTACTTCCCTGGGCAAAAGTTTCCAGCTTAGATAAGCCCCGGGTTGCTCGCCGCAATCTGCTCCAACTTGACTCAGTACTGCTCCCAATCCAAACATAGAAGCGTCTGTATGGACGAGAAAGCGTTTAGTTGGATCAGGAGCAGAAAGTACAGATGATTTAATGAGCGCCGTCTTGAGCTGTTGGAAGGCCTGTTCACACTCTGGGGCCCATACTACTATCTTTGGGAGGTTTTTACGCATTCCTATATGGCACTTACTGGGCTTTAGGGTAATTCCGGCCTCCCTAATCCGGTCTAGTACGGCTCCTATGTGGGTCAGGTGTTAGGGCCAGGAGCAGCTAAAAATGGCTATATCATCCAAGTAGGCGCAGACATACTCCTGAAACCCATCCAGTAGCCGATCTACCATCCTCTGAAAGTTAGCCGGGGCATTCTTCATCCCAAATGGCATGGCCTTAAACTGATACAGGCCAAACGAGGTGACAAATGCCGACTTGTGGATGGCGTCCTCGGCTAATGGAATTTGCCAGTACCCCTTACACAGATCTATTGTGGTGAGGTACTGGCCTCTGGCCATTTTGTCTAGGAGCTCGTCTATCCGGGGCATAGATGAGGCGTCTGAGGTTGTTTTATCGTTTTTATCGTGCCGTCCCGTTTCGGTACTAGTACTACCGGGGAGGCCCAGGGGCTGTCAGAGTGTTCTATCACCCCTAACTGCATCATTTCCTCAATTTCTTTCTGAATATTTTCTTTAACTGCTTCGGGTATGCGATAGGCGGTTTGGCGAAGGGGGGTCTGGTCTAGGGTTTCAACTTTGTGAGTGGTTAACGGACTGTACCCAGGTAGGTTGGAAAACGTGGCCCCCTTGTCCTGGATTAGTCTTTGGACCTGGGTTCGCTCCTGGGGGTCTAACCGTTCTCCTAACTGTACTTCTCCCAGGTCTCCGCTCTGGCCCTCTAGGTCTAGGAGATCTGGGAGTGGCAAATTATCATAATCTTCAGTGGCAGGTGCACAGATCGCGGTTACCTCTTCCGTGCGCTCGTGGTATGGCTTGAGCATGTTCACATGGAGCATGCGCTTGCCTCCCGTGCCTGTGACTGCACCGATCACAAAGGTGGTCACATCTCAATGGTGCCAAGTGCACCCTTGTATGGAACAGTCTCTATTCTGCTCTGTGTCAGTGTGTATCATGGTCTCTTGAGGACAGGTGTCAATCCATATCTGCCAAGTGACCCTATGTAGGGGGAACAGTCTCTATTCTGCTCTGTGTCAGTGTGTATCAGGGTCTTTGAGGACAGGTGTCAATCCATATCTGCCAAGTGACCCTATGTAGGGGGAACAGTCTCTATTCTGCTCTGTGTCAGTGTGTATCATGGTCTCTGAGGACAGGTGTCAATCCATACCTGCCAAGTGACCCTATGTAGGGGACCAGTCCCTATTCTGCTCTGTGTCCGTGTGCATCAGGGGCTCTGAGGACAGGTGTCAATCCATATGTCAAGGTGTCAATATGTCATATGTCAGGTGTCAATCCATATTCATTGTGATTTAGGAATGTTAGGTGATTTCTGCCCTTTATGGATTAAAACCAGACTCTGCATCAACTGTGTAATTTTCCATGGGAGTTTTGCCCCCTCCGGCATGCCACAGTCCAGGTGTTAGTCCTCTTGAAACAACTTTTCCATTCCTATTGTGGCCAGAAAGAGTCCCTGTGTGTTTTAAAATTCGCCTGCCCATTGAAGTCTATGGCGGTTCGCGAACATTTGCGGAAGTTCGCGTTCGCCGTTCGCGAACCGAAACTTTTGTGTTCGCGACATCACTACATATCAATATACAGTTAGGTTTGTTGCCTGTGTGTGCGACCCGAGTATATTGTGGTAAGAATGTTTTTTCATTTAGGGGGTAAGAGAATTTATATAGTATGTCAGAATAAGATGTGTGCCCCAATGGGTCATGTTAAGGTGTTTAAATGCAAAGGCTCTATTAAAAATACCTAATCCCTCGGGTGTAGACCACCTATTGTGTGGAATCTAGCATTGGTATCTTAATTATTTCAGTAGGAGGAGGTGTTTTGTGGCGCGTCTGAAGTTAGGGTGTTAGACTTTGCTGTAAGCCCAATGGAGGGATCGTTCTGCCTCGGTAGACTGGTGAAGGTTAACAGAGCAGTGCATTAACACAAAAAAGAAAGGGTTACTTCGCCCCGTGGTCACTTTGAACCTAGGGTGCAATTTAAGGTACACAAAACCACCCCCACCCCCCAAAAATCCTTAAACATGTGGTAGAACCACGGAACACATAAAATAAAAAGACAAGTAAAGTTAACAGTGAACTAAACTAGGAAATTGTGTTTTTGGTGGTATCTGTGGACAGTCTCAAGGCTTGTAGAGACTCCAGCTACTAGAATATGATAATCCCGTTGGGCCGCCGGCTGGTAGTTAGGTCACCTCTCCGGTGGGCACTGGTGGTCTTGCCGCTCGCGCATTTGCTCTTCAAATGTCTGGTATGTTCCCGCATGGTAAGTGGTACCGTCTATGGAGTACCAGATTACCCTTGGTAGGCCCCAGTGTGAGGGTATATTTCTGTCCCGTAGTGGATGTAGCAGAGGTTTGAGGGAGCGGCGCCATAGCAAGGTGGGCCATGTTAGGCCTGGGAAGATTAGTAGCGTGGGCCCCTCACACAGCACAGCCTTATCCTGTAGAGACTGAAAACAGAGGATGAGGTCTGGAGTCACCGCGGGTGGCGCACCTGCGGGCTTTGGAAGGCAGAACATGCCGTCTAGTTTAAGTGTTTTGGCTTGTTTAGGCAGTATATATGCAAAGAAGCGTCTGATAAAAAGAGGTATGTCCTCCATCCCCAGAGACTCCGGGATCCCCCTTAACTTGAGGTTATAATGCTTGTGGTGGTCTTTCAAGGCCTCTATCCAAATATCGGCTTTATGTTGATGTTGAAGCAGTTCTTCCATCCCAAGTTCCCCAGCCGCCAGCCAGGTATCATCATTGCTGTGAGCAGCTTCTATGTGGGTAATCCGAGCTACTGCGCCATCCACAGCTTTCTGGAAGCAGTCCATGTCTCCCGCGATATTCGTACAGAGTTCCACGAGCATTCGTACTGGGCTGCGGTGACTGGCTCCCAGCTGTCTCCTGCCGGAGGGTTTGGTTGCAGCTTCTTGCCTACAGACGCCCCCTCTCCCGGATCGAAGCAGACATCTTCGGAGGAGTAGCATGATCCCTCTTCTAGGGACACCATATTATCCCACGCGGCCTGAGAGTTTTGGAATAAGACTCCGATGTTGCGGCCCAGTGGGCCTTCTGTCCCCCTTAGTTTTTTTTGTTTTCCGACCCATCTCGATCTCGCCCACCAGGTAAGGTAGTATGGCCAGGTTTTTTGTTGATTTCCACCAAAATGTTTTAGTCTACTATTCTGAGGAGCTCAGGTAAAGTTCAACTGCTCTGATGCGCAGCTTTACTCCCCCCACTGCAGGCTTTCTTTTATGAGAGTGAGTTTTATACTATTATTGTCTTTATTTTGACTTTATACTGACTGCTGGATTTACGTCATCACTTCTGACTTCGTCACTATTGATCCCCTGCTTGATTACTTGTGACTTGCAGCATATCTATCCACCTTAGACTACTTGCAGTCAAACCTGGCCTTTGGGAGGTGTGCTAATTGTACCTAATAACCTGTAGATTGCCATTCATATCCCCCTCGGATGGCTCCCTTTTATACTTTGATGTTGGGGGTGGTCTGTTTAACAACATATGCAGAGATTACGTACCATCACATTCCCGGAACAGATCATTTATCCAGCACTATTTCATTACTCAGCTCTGGTTAGCTACTGGATATTTACCCCCTGCCTCTGTTAAGATTAATTTACAGATCTTTATCTTCTTAAAACACACACAAAGGAGGAATCCTGTGTAACTCATTGTAAGTCTATTTTTAATATACATACATACAATGAAAGAATATACTTTCAGGGCATCACTTTAAAAAAAATAGATGTATTTTAACAGTGAGAGACAGAATTTAAAAAAAACAAATCCAAAAAAACACATGTCAAAAAAGTTACACATTTGCATGTCAATGAGTGAAATAAGTATTTGATCCCCCATCAATCAGCAAGATTTCTGGCTCCCAGGTGTCTTTTATACAGGATAACAAGCTGAGATTAAGAGCACTCTCTTAAAGAGACTGCTTCTAATCTCAGCTAGTTACCTGTATAAAAGACACCTGTCCATAGAAGCAATCAATCAGATTCCAAACTCTTCACCATGGCCAAGACCAAAGAGCTGTCAAGGATGTCAGGGAAAAGATTGTAGACCTACACAAGGCTGTAATGAGCTACAAGACCATCGTCAAGCAGCTTGGTGAGAAGGTGACAACAGTTGTTGCGATTATTTGCAAATGGAAGAAACACAAAATAACTGTTAGTCTCCCTTGGTCTGGTGCTCCATGCAAGATTTCACCTCGTGGAGTTTCAATGATCATGAGAATGGTGAGAAATCAGCCCAGAACTACACGGGAGGATCTTGTTAATGATCTCAAGGCAGCTGGGACCATAGTCACCAAGAAAACAATTGGTAACACACTATGCTGTGAAGGACTGAAATCCTGCAGTGCCCGCATGGTACCCCTGCTAAAGAAAGCACATGTACAGGCCCGTCTGAAGTTTGCCAATGAACATCTGAAAGATTCAAAGGAGAACTGGCGGTAAGTGTTGTGGTCAGATGAGACCAAAATCAAGCTCTTTTGCATCAACTCAACTTGCTTTGTTTGGAGGAGGAGGAATGCTGCCTATGACCCCAAGAACACCATCCCGAACGTCAAACATGGAGGTGAAAACATGGAGCTTTGGGGGTGTTTTTCTGCTAAGGGGACAGGACACTTGCACTTTATCAAAGGGACGATGGACAGTGCCATGTACTGTCAAATCTTGGGTGAATACCTCCTTCCCTCAGCCAGGGCATTGAAAATGCGTTGTGGATGGGTATTCCAGCATGACAATGACCTGAAAAACACAGCCAAGACAACAAAGGAGTGGCTCAAGAAGGAGCACATTAAAGTCCTGGAGTGGCCTAGACAGTCTCCAAATGTTAATCCCATAGAAAATCTGTGGAGGGAGCTGAAGGTTCAAGTTGCCAAACGTCAGCCTCGAAACCTTAATGACTTGCAGAGGATCTGCAAAGAAGAGTGGGACAAAATCCCTCCTGAGATGTGTGCAAACATGGTGGCCAACTACAAGAAACGTACTAAGTCAAAGGGGTCAAATACTTATTTCACTAATGCAAATCAATTTATATTTTTTTTGACATGTAGCCCATGGAGCAACAAAGTATGGGGAGTGGGCCTTGAGTAGGCATAGCAACCATGGTAATTAGGTCATTAGCTTGTTGGGGTGGGGTTTTGTGAATCATAGCGGCCATTTTAGGTAGTGACCATCTTAATTAACTTTCACTTACCTGGTAGTTGTCCCACCATCCCCCCCTTTTTGGTTTTGGTTTGGGTGCTTTCCTGTTTGGTCACTGCGGCAGGTTAGGGCCAGGTTAAATTTAAAGGATAGATGGAGTAGGAAGTGGGGAATGGCTACATTAGGATGGATTCGGCAGGTAAGGTTCATTTGCTTGGTAGGTTCGAGCCCGTCGGTGGCTCCGAACCTGGGGGTGTAGGGGTGTCTCGGTACATCCCTACAGTTAATAAGTTTGTTATGGGGCTGATGGAACAGCCATGTGATATGTTATCTGTACTGTTATATATATATAGTTTGTGGGGTCATTGCCAGGGGATATTTAAGTACAGGGAATGGTGGGTTATATATATTTATTTATATATATATATATATATATATATATATATATATATATGTATTTGTTGGCAATGACCTTAGTTTGTTTCATTTTCTTATAAGTTAATAAAGCTGTGGACATATATGTTCCAACAAGAAAGTGTGTGTCTGTGCATTCTTCGGTTATTTGGAAGTGTTTATAACACGACTGTGCGCTTGTCATGCGTTTTTCTGGTTATTTTTTTTGCTATTCAGTCTCTCACTGTTAAAATACACCTACCATTAAAATTATAGACTGATCATTTCTTTGTCAGTGGGCAATTGTTCAAAATCAGCAGGGGATCAAATACTTTCTCCCCTGTATATATATACACATATGTTTGCTCATCTGTCCACTATTGGGATTATTTTTCATAAATTTTCCATAAATTTTTATAATTTATTTATATAAAAAATACACTTCGATAACAAGACACGAAACAGCAGTTCAAAACCCTTGTGTGAGGTTAAAGGACCACTATAGGTATCCAGACCACGTCAGCTCAATGAAGTAGTTTGGATGCCAGGTCACTCTAGTTTTAACCCTGCAGCTAAAAACATAGCAGTTTCAGAGAAACTGCTATGTTTCACTGAGGGTTAATCCAGCCTCTAGTGTCTGTCTCACTAACAGTCGCTAGAGGCGCGTCCGCGATTCTCACTGAAAATCACAGTGAGAGGACCATGGACGTCCATAGTGAAGCATTGAGTAATGCTTTCATATGGACTGTTTGAATGCGCACGCGGCACTTGCCGCGCATGTGCATTCGGATCTGACGTCGGCAGGGCAGGGCCGGTGCAAGGATTTTTGCCGCCCTAGGCAAAAGTAAAGTTTGCCGCCCCCCCCGTGACATCACAATGCCCCACCCATATGACCTGCCTGTTAACTAACGCTAGTGCTGCAGTGCCGCCGTGTTTACATTAAAAGGCCTGCAGGGACAGGCTATAGACACCAGGACCACTACATTAAGCTGCAGTGGTTCTGAGGACTATAGTGTTTCTTTAATGTGAGGTAAATTAGAGATTAGTGCCACAAATAATATACTAGATTACCTACTTACAAGCAGATGAGGATGATGATGGGCTCTAGCTGCAGTCTGGCTCCACTGGTCTGGTGTATAACAGGATCTCTGGAGGCTGTTTGTAACTGTGGTCACAAAAATCAATGTTCTGTGAGAACGAGAAGCAGCTCCATTTTTTGGGGGCACTTTACACAGCTCAAGGTCTGGGTCCCAGGGTCCACCTTCATGTTCCACCAATGAGTTTGTTCACAGGGGGTGGAGTGTGTAGGGGATGTCCTGATTTGTGTGTAAGGAATGCATTGTGTGAATCTGTGTTTGTATGTGTAAGGGCTGCAAGGTGTGTTTCTGTGTATGTAAGGGATGAAGTGTGTGAGTCTGTAAGGGGTGCTTTGAGTGTGTGTAAGGAATGCATTGTGTGTTTCTGTGTGTGTAAGGGATGCATTGTGTGTAAGGCTTGCATTGCGTGTGTGTGTGTGTAATGCATTGTGTGTTTTTCTGTGTGCAAGGGGTTCATTGTCTTTGTGTGTGATTGTGTGTGTGTGTGATGGATGTCAATCTCTCCCCCCTCCCTTGTCACTCTCTTCTCCCCCTCCCTTGTTACTCTCATTCTCCCTCCCTGTCAATTTCTCTCTCCCCGTCAATTCCCCTCCCTGTCAATGTCTTCCCCCCTCCCTGTTTCTTTCTCCCCCCCCTCCCTCTCCTCCTCCTGTTTCTTTCTTTCTCCCCCCTCCCTCCCTGTTTCTTTCTCCTCCTCCCCTCCCTCCCTGTTTCTTTCTCCCCTCCCTCCCTCCTTCTTTCTCCCTCCCTGTTTCTTTCTCCCCCCCTCTTTCTTCTCCCTCCTCCCCTACCTGTGTTGTAGCGTGGCCGAGCTCTGTATAGTCGGCGGGTACAGGGAGCTTTTGTTTCCTGTACCGGGCCGGACTAACAGGAAGTGCACACTCAGTGTGCACTTCCTGTTAGTCCGGCCGGGTACAGGAGACAGATGCTCCCTGTACCCGCCGACTATACAGAGCTCGGCCACGCTACAGAGAGGGAGTGACAGGAGGGAGCGCTGAGCGCTTCCCTCCTGTCAGCCCCTCTCCCCAGGCTGCGCCCGGGCTGTGTGGACCGCCCTCATGGACGCACCGCCCGGGCAAAGCTGCAGCCGCCTGAGGCTCTTTACAGAGCGCTCGGGCGGCTGCAGCATGAGCGGGGCCGGCGCTCCTGGCGGCGCCCCCTCCCAAGGGGCGCCCTAGGCGGCTGCCTAGTCCGCCTTACAGATAGCGCCGGCCCTGCGGCAGGGGGTTCCCCAGCACAGAGGGAGCCCTATGCTGAAGAAAGGTAAGTGGCTGAAGGGGTTTTAACCCCTTCAGCCCAGTGGGAGGGGGCCCTGAGGGTGGGGGGAACCTAATGACCCTATGGTGCCAAGAAAACATAGTGCTCCTTTAACCTTACTCCCCTCGCCAAAAGGATAAATAATGTATAAATAAGTGAAAAAACATTAATATATAGTGGAGCACGTAATATAGGATACCTTACTTTGAGTAAAGGGTAACAATCTATTTTAAGCGATCCACTATATACCAGTTTTTTACACTTATTTATGCATTATTATAATTATTTTTGTTTATGAAAAGTGATGCCCTGAAAGTATATTCCTTTTATTGTGTGAGAACCCTTTAAGATTATTTTATCATTTCTGATTTTTTATTTTGCATTGGTTTTTATCTAATGTTTATTGCATTAGTAGTTTTTCAAGTATTTATATATTCATGCAAATTATTCTAATTATTTATATATGAAACATAATTTAATATGAATAAAATAAAAAAACTGAGAAATTAAGAATTTTTTTTAGTTAAGCATGGTATTTTAACTGTGAATTTCATAATACTATTAGCTTTTACTGTAATAAAACACACATATTTGTATTCAGCGATGTACAGATTTTATAGTGTTTTGGAAATTACAGGGTCAAATAGCACATTCTATTTTTCAGTATAAACACATTGAAATTTGCCAGACTGGTTATGTTGCCTTTGAGACCGTATGGTAGCTCAGGAATAAGAATTACCCTGAGGGCATACCATTTGCAATAGATCCTTGAGAGAGTTGTGGATGTGAGATTGACAGACTTCTTCGTATCCAACTCTCTGCTTGACCCGCTTCAGTCTTGATTCCGTGCTCACTCTGTTGAAACAGCTGTGACCAAAGTATCCAACGATTTAATCGCTGCTAAATCTCGTGGCCATTACTCTATCCTAATTCTCCTTGATCTCTCTGCTGCCTTTGACACTGTTGATCATCAACAGCTTCTTCTCATTCTCCATAATCTCGGTCTACAGGATACCGCTCTCTCCTGGTGCTCCTCTTACCTCTCCCAGTACGTTTTCAGTGTTTCTTTCTCTGGCTCTGCCTCTTCTCTCCAACCCCTCTCTGTCTCCGATCCCCAAGGTTCTTTCCTTAGTCCCCTACTGTTCTCTATCTATACTGCCTCCCTTGGTAAATTCATCAGCTCCTTTGGCTTCCATTATCATTTATATGCAGATGACACACAAGTCTACCTGTCCTCTCCTGATCTCTCCCCGCCCATCTTGACTCCTGTCTCTGACTGCCTCTCCGCAATTTCCAACTGGATGGCTGCTCACTTCCTTAAACTCAACCTGTCCAAAACAGAACTTCTGGTCTTTCCTCCCTCAAGTGTTGTTACTCCCGTGTCTGTCTCCCTCCAAGTCAACGACACCACCATCACCTCTACCTCACAGGCTTGCTGCCTAGGTGTTCTCTTTGACTCTGACCTCTCCTTCACCCCTCATGTCCAGTCAATCGCCAAATCCTGCCGCTTCCATCTCAAAAACATAGCTTGCATCCGCCCTTATTTAACACCAGGTCCGGCTACAGTGCTGGTCCATGTCGTTGTTCTTTCTCGCCTTGACTACTGCAATCCCCTTCTCAGTTGTCTTACGTGTTTCCATATTGCACTGCTGAAATCTATAATAAATACGGCGGCGAGGTTCATTTTCCTGTCCGCCCGCACCTCCCACCTCTGTCGGTCCCTACATTGGCTTCCAGTTAGATATAGAGCTCAATTTAAGAATCTGGTGCTTGTTTACAAGTCCCTACATAATGCTGCTCCAACTTACCTATCCTCCCTAATGCACAAATATGTCACGTCGAGGTCCCTGCGCTCTGCCGAACACCTACGCCTATCATCTCTCAGTACTCCCACATCTGATGCTTGCCTCCAAGACTTCTCCAGGGCTGCACCTCTTCTGTGGAACTCCCTTCCCTTCTCCGTTAGACTTTCACCCAGCTCCACTCTTTCAAAAAAAATCTTTGAAAACACACTTCAGGAAAGCATATCTTTTAAACTGTTAGTGGGTTTTCACTTCCCCCCTCCCCCCACACTCCCTGCCATGACTCCTCTCCTGCAACTCTCAAAAATAACCTACTACGTTCTCAGTGATTACTTTTCTAGCAACCTGTAACGGATCACCTGGCACCCCGACTGGGTACCTCCGTTGAAGGATGCTCCTAGCGCTTCCTGAGGACTCCAAGCACTGCAGCAGACACCACAACCACCGAACCGGAGAAACATACAGCCTCTTTTATTCACAATCCACAAACATAGTACTGCCCACAGGGTTTTGAAATACAACCAATCAATCCTTACAATACACACAGACACTCCCACACAAAATCCTCCCCTCTGCCTGTGATATGATTATTGAACACAATGGTTAATATAATTATGACAGGCAGAGAAATACAATATTATAAAAATATCACAGGGACCCCAAAACATGCATTAACCCCATAAAAAGTATATCCTCGGAACCGGGGGATCTGGGTGAACCACATATCCAAAATTAACCCAGATCCGTTCAGTAGTTTGAAAGATACAGTTTAATGCAGATTCCGCAGAACATATACAGGCTATATGAAAAACAGTTACTGTATAATATGTCCCCTGTTGTATAGTCCAAAACCACTGCACGATGTCTCTGCCGTGCACCAAATACCGGCGAGATGGCCCCGTGTAGAAAAGTCCAAACAGTGTCTGTGAGTTAAAATGGCCGCCATCCATTGTTCTCACCATGTGCTTCATCCATTGTTCTCACCATGTGCTTCATCCATTGTTCTCACCATGTGCTTCTGATACATGAAATGGTGGCCACCCAGTAACCTCACAGTATGTCCCCTGATGGTTCTTAAAGGGCCAGCAGCAGCATAATAAAATACAATATGCCCAAATACTGTATTTAAAGGGCCAAATCTCCCAGCGGCTATAGTCAGCAGGCAGGAGGCGGGCAAACAGGCTTCTCCAATGCCCAGTGGCGAGGTTGGTTTCGCCACATTTCTCCCCTTTCCCAAAAAGACTAACAAGGTATCTGGCCTCCTGTTGGTCAGTGCCCTGGTTAGTCCAGCAACCCACCCACAAAACAGAACTGCAGTATAACCCACCCACGAAAATTGGTTACTACACGTGGAGTAGTGGGTCGCTTGTCCAGGTCCAGGAGCTCCACCTAGGCTCTGGGGGGTACTAGCACTCTGGATTGGTGGGTTGCTGGGTGGGCAGAGACCAGCGGTACTCTGCCCTGGTGCCTGCGCTACCACGGGAGTAGCCTGGTTGGAGCCCAGGTGAGGGAACGGCGTAGTAGGCTCCTCACTCCGGACCTGGGGCTGCTGCTGGAGGGGAAGACAGGCTGTCCCCTATTTGGATATTGAGTGCTTTGTGGTAAAAGAGTTCTGGGATGCCTCAATCACGTGTGCTAGGGGTGCAAATAGCAGCCAATACAAAGGTGCAGATTGCTCTGAAATTGCCCCATTTCATCCAGAAACTCTGTACATACAGACTCCTACCACCATGACCACTTCTAAAACCTGAAGCTGCAGGGGGACAGGACCGACTGTCCCTACACTCTGTGGTTTGGGCACAGAGACCACGGTCCCATATGCACCTGTGTGGGGCTTATCATCTCCCCTTGGTGGGCTAGGCTGCCGCTGGGGAGGGGGAATGAGACTCTCCCCTCCTGGTAGAATACTCTGCCGCTGGGGAGCAGGACCGACTGTCCGTACTCCCTGTAGCTTGGGCGCAGAGACCATGGTCCCATCTGCGCTGATGGGGGCTTAGTGTCTCCCCTTGTTGGGCTACGCTGCTGCTGGGGAGAGGGGGTAACAAGCTCCTCTCCCTTACACACTTTCAGCTGCTGGGGAGAAGGGGTAACAGTCTCCTCTCCCTGACACTCTCTCTGCTGGTGGAGAGGAGGACCGACTGTCTCCCCTTTCAATATATTGTCCTGCTGCTGGGAAATGAGACCGACTGTCTTATCTTCCCCATCTGGGAGAATAAGGTCTACCCTTTGGGAAATACACTGCCGCTGGGGAGGAAGGACGGCACCTTCGGCTCCCTGTGATACATACTGGTGCTGGGGAGGAAGGACAGCACCTTCAGCTCCCTGTGATACATACTGCGGCTGGGGATCTGGGCCGACCCATCTCCACCTGCCATCTGTGGGTCTTCCCAGGACCAGTCTGTGAGGTCCCTCAACATTTGCGAGTAAGGACCACCTGCTTCTGCACCTGGCAACTCAGGCTGCTGCTGGGGATCTGGGCCGGCTGCCCAGCATCCCGGTGGGCCTGGTGGAGAGACCTCGGTCCCATCTCCACCTGCCTGTTGTGTTTCCTCACAGGACCAGTCTATGAGGACCCCTACTTCGGGTTCCTCCGGCCGCCTCAGGGGGAGACGGCTATCCTCCTCGGTTGCAGCCTCTACTCGGCTGCTGTAACACTCCTTCCGCTGAGCATGCTCTCTCTCTTTCGCCAGCCGGAATTCTCGGGCCAGCCTTGTGTTTCGCTTGGCGTGACCTGGTTCCAGATCACCTGGCGTATCTCTATGGGTACATCATCCCCATACTGGGCCACTCGCTGCCTCACCTCGGCCATTCAATCATCTTCAGAGCCAGAGCCTTCCATACCTGTCTGCTCCAAGTCGCTGGATACCACTGCTCCCAGAGGTGCTGCATGAGTGCTAGCGTTGCCCTCAATTTGTAACTCCACGAACGGTGTGTCTGAGCTTCTTTACCTCGCACTAGGATGCCATCCCACCGCTGCCACCAATGTAACGGATCACCTGGCACCCCGACTGGGTACATCCATTGAAGGATGCTCCTAGCGCTTCCTGAGGACTCCAAGCACTGCAGCAGACACCACAACCACCGAACCGGAGAAGCATACGAATGCTCTCAAGCATTAGAATGCTGTAAGCAGCTGAACAGGAAAAGCATACAATCAGCTTACACTCCTGGCAATCAGCATACAATCCAATTCCCCCAATAACGAGGCGACACTTCGTTTTGAGGTCAAGCAGAACTGACTGTACTGGCACATACAGCCTCTTTTATTCACAATCCACAAACATAGTACTGCCCACAGGTTTTTGAAATACAACCAATCAATCCTTACAATACACACAGACACTCCCACACAAAATCCTCCCCTCTGCCTGTGATAAGATTATTGAACACAATGGTTAATATAATTATGACAGGCAGAGAAATACAGTATTATAAAAATATCACAGGGACCCAGAAACATGCAATAACCCCATAAAAAGTATATCCTCGGAACCGGGGGATCTGGGTGAACCACATATCCAAAATTAACCCAGATCATTTCAGTAGTTTGGAAGATACAGTTTAATGCAGATTCCGCAGAACATATACAGGCTATATGAAAAACACTTACTGTATTATGTGTCCCCTGTTGTATAGTCCAAAACCACTGCACGATGGCACCGTGTAGAAAAGTCCAAACAGTGTCTGTGCGTTAAAATGGCCGCCATCCATTGTTCTCACCATGTGCTTCATCCATTGTTCTCACCATGTGCCTCTGATACATGAAATGGTGGCCACCCAGTAACTCCACAGTATGTCCCCAGATGGTTCTTAAAGGGCCAGCAGTAGCATAATAAAATACAATATACCCAAATACTGTATTTAAAGGGCCAAATCTCCCAGGGGCCATAGTCAGCAGGCAGGAGGCGGGCAAACAGGCTTCTCCAATGCCCAGTGGCGAGGTTGGTTTCGCCACACAACCTATTTCATTAATCCTACTTATACCCTTTGTGTCACTATACTCCACTCCCTCTAGCATGTAAGCTCATAAAGCAGGGCCCTCAACCCCTGTGCGTCCAATTGTCTGGTTACAATTACGTGTTAGTCCACCCATTGTACAGCGCTACGCAATTTGCTGGCGCTATTTAAATAAGATAATAATAAATAATAATAGTAGACAACCCAAAGTATTGCAAATGGGGTATGTCCAGTCTTTTTCTAGTAACCACTTATTCACAAACACTGGCCAAAGTTAGAGTTTATATTTGTTTGTTTGTGAAAAATGCAACGCGATCAAATGGCCCAGGAGGGCTGAATTAGCCAGAAGTGGACTGCCTGGGATCTCAGGGACCCAATGAGTATTAAGGACAGTGGGGACGTTGTATGCCACCCGCCAGTGTTTAGGACCAGCTCCTTAAGGACAGCATTAAATTATAAACATTTATACATAAACATAATTCTATATTTATATATAAAATAATGCTTGTTTACTTAAGTTTATGACTTGACAAAGGCCAGTGTAGGTCAAAACATCACCTTTTGCTTGCTGTAAGTCTGTACTTTTAAAGGGGCTATTGAGTGCTTTGTGGTAAAAGAGTTCTGGGCTGCCTCAATCACGTGTGCTAGGGGTGCAAATAGCAGCCATTTCATCCAGAAACTCTGTACATACAGACTCCTACCACCATGACCACTTCTAAAACCTGAATTGATAGTTGAAGTAACTATTTAAGCTCCAGTGAGCTTAACCCTTTAAGGACCGGACTGTTTTTGTGATGTTGTACATTTGCGACCAGGCCTCTTTTTACACTTTTGTGATGTTTGTGTTTAGCTGTCATTTTCTGCTCTCTCATTTACTGTTCCCATACAAATTATATATTGTTTTTTTAGGACAAAAGGGGCTTTCTTTACCTACCATTATTTATATAATCTCATGTAATTTAATTTAAAAAAAATTTTAAAAAAATATGATGAAAAATTGAATAAAAAAATACCAGTTTTTTGACTTTTAATTGAAAAGTCTTTTACTAATCTACAAAAGCTAATGAAAAAAACTGCTAAATAGATTCAAAATGTTGTCCTGAGTTTAAAAATGCCCAGTGTTTACATGCTTTTTTGCTTTTTTTTGCAAGTTATAGGGCTATAAGTACAAGTAGGATATTGGGGTTTCAAAACATACATCAATAGTGACATTGTAGATAGCGAGATCCCAGACATCAAACCCACACACCTTACCACCATGGAACACAAAATGAAAAAGCCCAAACAGGACAGACCTAACCTGGGGATGAACATCTGCGAAAGGTGGCGTCAAGCACATGACGCGAGCGGGCCCAAGATGGCCGCGCTGTCGGGTGGTTGTTCCGATTTCTCGGACGACCTGGCTTCGGAGGAGGAAGAGACACTTTCACTCACACCGGCTAAACCCCCGCCGACAAAGCCCACAACCCCCGGACACATCCCCGGTTACTATATCGGCCTTAAAGGGACTCCTTGCGGAACTACAGATCACCCTGCAAGCCGACATTGCCACAATAAGTGGAGGGCTGCAGGGGCTAACAGGCTGAATCGACACACTAGAAACTACCACTCACCAGGACTCCCAGCGGATACAAGTGCTGGAGAGAGTGGTGCAGGACATCCAGCAGCAAAATCAGGCCAACGAGCGCCGCTTCGCAGCCCAAGAAGACCTACGACGGCGGAACAATTTGAAACTCAGGGGGGTCCCCGACGCGGTCCCCGAAGCAGAGCTGCCGCACTTAATGCGGAGAATGATGGGAGACCTACTACCACCCTAGCAGGCCAAAGCAACACCCCTGGACGGGCTTTTTCAGATCCCCAAACCAGCCAAAGCACAACCAATGGCATCAAGCGACCTGAAAATCCAATTCAGGCACAGAGCAGACAAGATGGCAATCCTGAAGGCAATCAGGGGTAAGCCAAACTACCGCTTTGAAAATATGGCATTGAAATTTTACAGCGACCAGTACAATGGCTTGGCGGAGGTCATTCAAGCCCCTTACATCACTGCTCCAACAGCGCAACATAGGATACCGCTGGCGCCTGCCCCGCATGCTCCAGGTCACCCACGGAGAGACCACATACCAACTCCAGGAGCTACGAGACGCAGGCACACTCCTAAGGGACTTGGGACTACCACAGGACCTTTTATTAAAACCTCAGTCATGACCCGATACCAGGCCCACGCATACCTGGGACGTTACCTCACTGTAGGTGTGTGCGAACAGCTATATTTCATGCTTCCTGCTGTTAACCGCTGACGTACATCCCAACACTCGCTTAACCAATTATTTCAACTTTACATAAGAGCATCACCTAGCATGCAAATTACTCCCAAGTTACCTCCATGAGAGTAGTACTTAGCACTGAGTTTAGCTAAAAATTATTGATACACATAGACAAGCAATCGGACCACTAACATATTGTTTTCTAACCGAGTTTAATCAGCTGTGTACTACAAATGGCAACGTCCGAATAGCTTGTTCATAACTTAACATGTTAAAAATGTGCTGATATTTCCATGTCACTACTGTGTTTATATCTCTTACCTCTGTTGTTGTGGCATGGTCAACCGTTCTGTCAATCTTTGCACAAAGAAAAATAAAGAATAAAAAAAATTAAAAAAAAGTGACATTGTAACACTATTATCTGTCATAAATCTCTGAATAACACCCCCACATGTACATATTTTTTTTTAAAGTAGACAACCCAGGATATTCAATATGGGGTATATCCAGTCTTTTTTAGTAGCCACAAACAATGGCCAAAGTTAGCGTTCATATATGTTTGTGTGTGAAAAAAGTAAAAAACGAAATTGAACGCTAATTTTGGCCAGTGTTTGACTAAGTGGCTGCTAAAAAAGACCTTGCAATACCTTGAGTTGTCTTCTTTTGCAAATGGTATGCCATCATGGGGGAAATTCTCATTCCTGAGCTACCATACGCTCTCAAAGGCAACGTAACCAACCTGGCAATTTTCAATGTAAAAATATTTGACCCATATATTTGACCCTGTAATTTAAAAAAGCGCTATAAAACCTGTACATGCGGGGTACTGTTATACTCGGGAGACTTTGCTGAACACAAATATTAGTGTTTCAAAACAGAATGTATCACAACAATGATATCATCAGTAAAAGTGTTGTTTGTGTGTTAAAAATGCAAAATGTCACTTTCACTGACAATACCATCACTGTGATATGTTTTACTGTTTTGAATCACTAATATCTGTGTTCAGCAAAGTCTCCCGAGTGAAACAGTACCCCCCATGTACAGGTTTTAGGGTGTCATAGAAAGTTACTGGGTAAAATACAGTGCTAGCAAAATAAATTCTCTGGACTTTTGGCCTGGGTTGTCAGGCAGGTCCCTCAAATTGCAATCAATAAAATTACTTAATTACTTACTATTGTGACCATGTGATCCCTCTGTTGAGCGATCACATGGCCCCAGGAGTCCTAATCCGCCATGTGGAGATCCGCCACACCTAATCCACCACACCGGGGGAACGACAGTGATCGGGTAAGTACATTAGACCGTTGTGATGATTCAGGATCGTCAGCAATACAAAAAAAGGACCACTATAGTGCCACGAAAACAAACTTGTTTTCCTGGCACTATAGGATCTTTAGGTTCCCCCCTCCCTCAGGGTCCCACTCCCGCTGGGCTCAAGGAGGCTGAAGGGGTTAAACACTTACCTTTCTCCAGCGCCAGGTTCCCTCGGTGCTGGGGAACTCTCCTCCTCCTCCCGACGTCATTGCTGAATGCGCATGTGCGGCAAGAGCCGCACGCACATTCAGACAGTCCATAGAAAAGCATCTCAATGTCAGTGAGACAGCCACTAGAGGCTGGATTAACCCTAGTGTAAACATAGCAGTTTCTCTATGTTTAAAGCTCCAGGGTTAAAACCTGGGGGACTTGGCACCCAGACCACCTTGAATTGAAGTGATCTGGGTGCCTATAGTGGTCCTTTAACTACCAGGAAAAAAACAGGACTGGTCGTCTAATTGACAGGGGGTGTAAGAAGGTTATTTTATAAAAGTGCAAATTTATATTGTATAAATATTGTAAAGTGGAAAAAAAATTAGATCAGACAAATATTTTTGTGGGTAGCAAATCAAAATGGTTAATAGTATGTGCAGATCATGTGTTAATGGCATTAAGTCAACCACATATTTTATTATCTGTGTTAAAAATATTCTTAACAATGTATCATATTAGAAAATGAATGTAAACAAGTCACAAGCATTAGCTATTGGATTAGACAGAGTAGTTTTAACAGCATTATTAAACAATTTTCAGATTCACTGGGCAGATGACAATGTTATATATTTATTTAGGACTACATATATAGAAAACAAGCCCAGAAAAATATATCTAAAAAATAATGTTAAACTAAATTACATTCCTGAACATATTTTGTATTAAGTAACTGATCCAACTCACCCTTCTCGTAGTTAGATAGAATATCAACTATAAAGATGTTAATATCTACTCTGTAATGTCTGTAAGAGTTTGTTCTGTACACTGTCTATAAAAATAGCAAAACTATGTTTAATAGAACAATGGTTTGTTTGTTTTTTGGTTTTTTATTCTTTATTTTTACGGTGCAGAATTAGGCATACAGGCTTGCATTAACATTGTGAAAGATTGACTGTAGTGGCACAGAGATGTGACATACAATATCAAGAAAATATGCACTGTTTGTTGGTATATAAATGACATGGTAAATCCGTGTGTGTCTAATGATAGACCAAACAATCTAGTAAAAGCTAAGCTGGGTCTCAACACAAATAATAACATGCAATGAAATGCCCACCAGAGTTCTCAGGTATTAAGTTAGGGTAGGTGACTGGCGGCTACTAAAAATATAAAATGAAAGTAGCAGAGACAACACAAATCAAGCAAAAGACAAGCTGCACCAACTGACATTATGATTAAATTAAAATAAAAACAAAAAATAATAAAAACAGAATATAGTACGAATAAACAGGCAGACTTGATCAGCCATGCTGGAATAGAAATCCACTGGATACGCTTCACATTGAGACAAGTCAAGTCTCTGCATTACAAATTAGAAAAATAATAACATGAATTAGGAGAGATTTCCCAGAACGGCAAGCCTATACCCCTTGTAGGCCAACGGTCGTGGGACAGTACGGTGCTGGGATCAGCTCCTACTCCCTTTGCCTTTGCCTCTCGCTGCAGTAATAGATAGACTTGATGCATTAGAAACAGAGACAGTTCCAGATGCCAGACCCCTCCCCCCCTCTTCCCCTTCAACCTAGGCCTTAATAGGAGCCAGTGCCTGGTCTCCTGGAAACCTCTGTCTTGGTAGGAGGATTGTGACCCCGCACAGGCCTCAGGTGTTGTGGTGTCTCTTGGGTCCAGATGATGTGCAGCAAGCTGGAATGGCCTCTGATGTCAGCAGAGCGACAGGCGAGGTAGGTATTCTTGGTCAGCAGGTCACACAATGCCAAATCTCCTGGCACAGCTTCTCAAAAAGAGCCTCAAAGTTCTCCCTCCAGTTTTGGCCCGTGGGCTTGTTTGACTTTGAACATGTACTTGCATGGCTACCATCTCGGACTTGCCTCTTGGTAATTGAGTAAGCAGATGTTAAGTGCTGCAGAGTCACAACTTCTGCAGTGGGGACCAGGATATCCCCCACCAGTCCAAAGAGGGTAGCAGAGGTACCATGCAAGGGAAAATATTGAGCTACCTGAAATCCAACACTCTGTCATTATCAGTACAACACTAGCCATGCCAGTCCTGTGATAGTCTCCTAGCTTCACTTTACTACAAACTAATAGTGGAGCCAGGTAGCTCCCTTTTTCTGTTCCCTGATGGAAACTTGTAGGGGTGAGAACCCCGCAACACCCAAAAAAAAAGTAGTGTAGGCAGACCCAAAGAATGATGAAATGATTATATAGGAAATAAAATAAATAAATAAGTTTGTTGTCTTTGTTATACATTCCAGAACAGAAAAAATATCAATACGTAAGCTACCCTGGCACCAGACAGAGGATTGAATAAGACAGGCAGGGCATTTGAGAGGCATCTCAGCCTGCCAGGAAAGATCTACCTCTATCAACTCCCTCACCTACTCAGTGAGTGATCATTTGTATTATAGCATGGCTCTAGACTCTAAGAGAGCAGGGTCGTCTGTCAGTAGGGCAACGGTTTTATAGACCGTCATCCAAAATGGCACTCTGTTATTGTGCAGCTTCACCAAAATTGCAGAAATTCCCCCTCACTGTGCATATATTGCCAGCAACTAAGCTACCTAAGAGTCCTATACCAGAAAGATAAAATCAGAAGGAGTGTGTGTCTATTTTGTATAAGGTACAAAATAGACACTGGGGCGGGGCCTCAGTGGAGCACATCTCTTCAAAACTAGTAAGTGCTCAAGCCAAATATGATCTCTGCAGGATGGATATAATGTAGTCTCTGATCTGGTAGCATGCAAATATAAACAAAAGAGGGATCCTTTTATCCCCTATCAAAATCTCTTAGGATCTGATCTGTCTATGAGGATCAACAAATATGTCTTGCCTGTGGAATAAACACTTTTTGGGAACAGGATCTGTATTGAGTGTCTTCCACCCAACTCAAAAGATTGATGCGTTGCAATAGCAGGAGTGGTGAGAGTAGAGGCAAATAAACATTTTCTTCTTTGGAAACACCATATACACATTGACAGTCCCATAAAAGGATGTCTCCAGACCATTCGCCCTCCCTTCAGAGGTCAATCCACAGTACACAGCTAATCGCATCCAGAAGAGTGCATACCTCTAGACTTATTCACAATGTGTCATTATGTTGGATACTCTATTCCTTAATCCTTGTTAGTTGTGTCGATCAATAATATTTTCCCAAATACAAAAGTGATAAGCATTCACTGCTCTTGGAGAGCGACATCTGAGAGAAAGACAGGCAAGGTGACTTACTGCACCAAACAAAGGAATGGATTGTGCATATCAGAGTGCCACAGAAGAGAGTCTTCAGTTTTATTCAGACGGTTGGCCAGCTTCCCCCTACTAGTTAATAGCTTTCTATAAGTCTGTTTGTTGCCAGTAGCCCGGTGTGCCACTTCTAGTTTGGCTATCACATAATATAGATCAGGGGTAGGCAACCTACAGCACAAGTGCCATGCACGGCACTCGAGGTGTCTTTCCACGCCACTCAAGGCTGCTAGAGCCAAACAGGGTCTGGCCTATCAGGAGTCTCAGTTAAACTTCAGATATCTGCTAATACAAAGAGGTAGTGAAGGACAATCCTCAATTTATGCATTGCAGCACTTAGAGGAAGTGATCTCAGATCACTTCCTCCCAGCACTTGTGAATGGGAATCCACACTGTAGTAGAGCAGCCCACAGCTGATGTTGCAGCTCTTGTCCTTTTATAGATGTTTATATATTATAGTATAGATGTTTGTTTAATTTGTGTGGAGCATTCCTGCTGTCTCTGAGCACCCTCCACGATATAATGTTCATGTACTACCGTTGTTGCATTCTCAAGGAAATAATACTACAGAACTTTCTGTGTCTGTGTTACATGAATGGAATCAATCAGTAGCTTTCATTTAGCCTTCAGTAAATTCTCATAACTCTGTGCAGTACTGACAACATCATCTGTAATGGACAGTGGTCCGACTATGTCATTTGTCAAATTGTCATGGAGTTACATAGTTACATAGCTGAAAAGAGCTTTGCGTCCATCAAGTTCAGCCTTCCTCACGTATGTTTTTGCTGTTGATCCAAAAGAAGGCAAAAAACCTAGTCTGAAGAGCTTCCAATTTTGCCACAAACTAGGAAAAAATTCCTTCTTGACCCCGAATTAGCTGTCAGATGTCTCCTTGGATCAAGCAGCTATTACCCCACTAATTAGAAATTATATCCCTGTATTATACGAGGAAAACAAAAAGAATTAACCTAGGGCCAAAATTTAGATATCACAAGTAGAGGGCACAAAAAAAGGGGGGTAACCCCTAAATGGTGAATATCATAGAGAATAAAAAAAAAAAGAAAAAAAGGGGCTCTGGACACTTACTGACACATTATTAGTGTCGGCACCTAACTCTCTGCTTATCTATTGCTAAATTCAAGTTCATTCATGTCCAGCATCTCAGGAGTGCATATTGGAGACTCTTAACACTAATTTTGTGTACTCTGTACATACTTTATTTCTTTTTCTTTTTCCTTTATTATGTTTATGGGGGGAGATTGATAAGACCAGGCATTTTACTAAGGGGTGCCCTCGAAGGCACAAGACTCAGGAATCTTTATTCTATATGCCTTTATTCTATATGCCTTCCTCTGTCACTGTCTGTATATTTTCTACCACCTAGGCAACCTGTTCAAAAAACTGTTTGTAAACCCTCTTTTTATACTTTGACCTATTATTTAGATGCAGCCAGCACTTAGGCAACTTGCGTGACTTTTAACCGGTATATTTTCTACTATCTAGGCAACCTGTTTAAAAACTGTTTGTAACCTTTTCTTTATACTTTGACCTATTATTTAGATGCAGCTAGCATTTAGGCAACTTGTGTGATTTTTAACCGGTTAACTGCTGCCTGTCAGCAGTCCTTCACAGGTGAGCTACTACTTGGTGCTCCATTGTGGTCAAGCATAAGTTAACATCATTCAGTGCAGGCAGCTGTTGTTACACTAGAATATACTGCTAGGTATCTTGCATAAAAAACGGAGCCAGGTCAGCAACCCCTTATTTTATACTTTACTGCTTGACAGCAACCTTTAATTTATTATCAAAGTGCTGCTATGATCTAGGCAGCTTTTGTGATATTTAACTGGCTAATCGCCGTCTGTCAGAAATCTGTCTTAGCTGAACCATTATCTTTGATCTTTCCAAGGTTAAGCACCATAGAACATTATCAATTATTGTATGTGGAGTTAACCCATGTCGTTAGTTGTACTATCATGTAGGGATTTACTTATCCATATCTTTTAACTATTGACAGCACTGATTTAGCAGTTGTCTTATCTCCTCCCCTCTTGTTACAGCTATTAGTGATATAGAATATAGTATCACTTCTATTATTTGGGAATACACTGTTATATTGTAGCTAAACAGTATTGCTTCAGCATTAATGTTATTATGTATACACTTTTACAGCTTGTATAAGTAGTCACAGAGTTTTACTCGCTGTATAGTCTCCATTTACTCCTGCTGTTCATATTATATATTTTTTTTCTTTTTTATATTTTTCTTTTAGATTTATTTATTAAAAGTTACTTTTTAACCTACAATCTTCTCAGTAAATCATACACAGGTAGAATGGCACTTTTTTCTTTTTTTCTTTATTCTCTATTATATCCCTGTATGTTATGTTTTTGCAAGTATTTATCCAATTGCAGTTTAAACATCTGTAATGACTCTGACAAAACCACCTCTTCAGGCAGAGAATTCCATATCCTTATTGCTCTTACTGTAAAAAAAACCTTTTCTTTGCCTTAGATTAAATCTCCTTTCTTCCAGCCTAAGTGTGACCCTGTGTCCCATGTATAGCCTGTTTATGAATAGATTTCCAGATAAAGGTTTGGTTCTCCATGAAGAAGTACCGTAATCAATATGTGAGTAACATCCATGGACCAACAAATAGTAGGTAAAATCTCTCACAATGGCAGATAGTATGTGTGGAGTGGTCATTGAAAAGTGGACTCCAGATGGGAGGAGGACTTAGTGCTTGAATCAGCTTTTGGTTCTAGTACTACATTTCCCCATCTACACTTAGGATTTCTTTTCGGAATTTGTATGTATCAAAAATCTACACTGTTTGGTGTTGGGCCCATAGAGGTTTGCGAATGTTTAGTGCTGGGGAAATATAGTCCTCTTAATGAGGAGGAGTCTCCCTTTTCCATCCACCTTAGTCTCTTTCTCATGGAATAGGATTGCTCTGAAGAACATGATCACCACTCCTTTTGATTTAACCTGAATGTTAATGATAAAACAAACAAAAAAAACAAAAAAAAAACGTAATGCTTGGCAGAGCACTCCCAAAAGTGCGTTTCTTGACAAAATGCTATTTCGACACAAGGCTTAAAATCTTGCAGCACCAGTGCTCTTCGAAAATTAACAAACTGAAACTAAATGAAGCTAAATATTTTTATTTGAAAAATTTTCACCCATGTACATCTTTAGTATATGTTTGTCTTGTTAAGAGCAGAAAGGGGCTGCCTGCCAAAATAGAAAACATAGGTGACACCAAGGATCAGTCCATAAGCCAGACATGCACAGCAGTGTTTTACTCAGTGGAGTTGAGGGATTCTGTGAAAGATTCCCGGCAGGCCCCTCGTAAGTTATTCAATTGTTCTTTAACGGTTTTGCTACTTGCTCATAAAGAAGGGCAACAGGGCACTCCTGGCATTATAATCTCTACAGAGGGCTGTAGTGGTTATTCTGCCTATTCCTTTAAATAATCTACTAGTACCCGTCCTAAGATTACTATATATAGGGTGAGGTAGAGGCAAAAAATGCCTACAAAATTCAAAATATAAACAAAGAAAAAATTAGACCTGTGCTACAGATGCTCCACACCAGGGGCGGACTGAGAACCCTCAGGGCCCCCGGGCAAAATAAATCAAGGGCCCCCTTACAGGCCCCTCCCATACTCCGCAGCAAGCGCCACCCTTTTCCCGCCTTCATGCACCGCCTCCAGCCACACCCTACACAATCTTTAGACACAAGGAACAAAAGTGCAATAATCCCTTCGAGGCCCCAGTAGAGACTACAATTGAGGGCTAATGGGCCATGGAGGGGGGTCTTTCTAGCAGAGGCTATCTCAGTGTCCTTTAGAGAGTGTGTTAGAAAGAAGGCCTGTGGGCTGGCTACTGGCCTGGCTGGCTAACTGGTGGCTTGTGGGCTGGCTGGCTGGCTACTGGGGCACTTGTAGATTACTTAAAGAAATAATCCTTGCACAATAACCACTACTGCTCTGTGTAGTGGTTATGGTGCCAGAAGGGCCGGGCCCCCCTCCCATAGTAAGTAGTCAAACCGTTTAAGAACAGTTTGACAACTTACCTGGGGTCTGCTGGGATATGGGGCTGTAGTAGGGTATAGGAGCAGTGGTGCAATGTGTGAGGGGTGCAGTGTGTGTGTTGGGGTGTAGTGTGTTAATGTGTAGGGTGTGTGGGGCAATGTGTGTATGAGGGGGCTGTGTATGTGTGTGGCAATGTTAGTATGGGGGCTGTGTATGGAGCTCTGTGTGTATATGGGTGGGCAGTGTATGTGTGTGTGTGTGTGTGAGGCAATGTGTGTAAATGTGTATGGTGTATGGGGGGCAGTGTGTGAATGTGTATGGTGTGTGGGGGCAGTGTGTTTATGGGGCTAGAGTTCACTCTCACCACTGCGACCACCAGGAATCCCTGGTGGTCACAGTGTTGATAGTGAACTCTAGCCCGTAGCTCCAGGGCTAGAGTTAACTCTCGCAAGAGCGGTAACGTTGCCATGGTAACCGCGGCAACGCTCTGTGCTCGCGCAAGAAGGACCCAGAGGAGCTGCAGGCTGAGCTCCCGGGTCCTCTCTTCCTCCCTCCCCTGCTGGCTGCCCGCATGGTGCCTTCGGACAGGGGAGGGGGCGCAACTGCCCTGTTGCCCCCCTGGATCCACCAGTGATATATACAGCCCTTCTGTGTGCCTTTTTGTCTCCCCCCATCCCTCTGCATGTTTCTTTCTCCCCCTCACTGCTCCTGTGTCTATGTCTCCCCTCTCCTTCCCAGTCTCTTACCCCTCTGCCTCTTTCTCCCCCTCCCCTTGTGTGTCTCTCTCCTTTCTCCCTGTCTCTCTCTTCCACTGTTTCTTTCTCCCCCCTTTCCCTGTGTCTCTCTCTCCCCCACATCTCTCTTCCTCTTTGTCTCATACTCCCCCATCTCTTTCTCCCCCTGTGTCTCATTCTTATCTCCCTTTCTTCCCCCTCCCCCAACTCTCTATTCCACCTCTTTCTCCTCTTTCTCCCCCTCCCATCTTTCTATTCTCCTCTTTCTCCCCTGTGTCTCATTCTTCCCTCTTTTCTCCCCCTCCCATCTCTATTCCCCTCTTTCTCCCCTGTGTCTCATTCTTCCCTCTCTTCTTCCCTCTCTCTCTTTCTCCCCCTGTGTCTCATTCTTCCCTTTCTTTCTCCCCCCTCCCCATCTCGCTATTCCCGCTCTTTCTCCCCCTGTGTCTCAAGTCAGATGGGGCTTGACGCGTTTCATGCTGGAGCCACCGGGCCGGGTGGCAGCCTCGCCGGTCCGGCAGCACTCCTCGCACTAACGCTGAGGGCTGAAGGAAGGAGGAGCATGTTTCTCTCATGCTCCTTTGCGGTTCCCACATCCTGTGCTGGGAATTGTGGGAACCGCAGGGAGCATGATAGAGAGACATGCTCCTCCCTCCTTCAGCCCTCAGCGTTAGTGAGAGGAGTGCCGTCGGACCGGCAAGGCTGCCACCCGGCCCGGCGAGGCTGCCTCCCTGCCTGGCGGCTCCAGCGTGAAACGCGGTCGGCCCCCTCAGAGTGTGCCACCGGACCGGCCACCCGGTGGCACCTTCTTCTGCAGTACCCAGATGCCGCCCTCAATCCAGCCCTGCCCCCTCCTGGCCGTGCCCTTGGACCATGTCCGAAGTGCCCGACCGGTCAGTCCGCCCCTGCTCCACACTGAAGTCCCAACAGTGTATATACAACCAAAAAACAAACAATAGTCCTGCGCATCCAGTATAGGTGTGCACAAAGTTAATGCAGCAAACGTTTTCTCGATGCAGTCCTTTCTCAATGCTAATGTCCTCCTAAGATTACGTTTTGGATCTGCTACTTGTCTATATGTGAATGCATGTCTGTGTATGTGTTCAAGTTAATTTCCTATAACAAGATCTTCTATATTTGCTTGTTCTTACTCCATGTGCAGTCAGTGAATGAGGTAATGCAATTACATGGGATTTATCATAAAGCAAAGTTGTCCTACCAGGGATAGACAACATTCTGCACTCCAAATGTTGTTCACTACATCTCCCACAATGCTCTTACAGCAATAATGCTGGCAAAGCATCATGGAACGTAGAGTCCAAAACTCTGGAGTGCTGAAGGATGCCTATTCTTGTGACGGAATCTAACAATTTTTTGTTTTTTTTTATATAACCTTTAAACACAATCACATTTTGGACTTCAAGCACCCTGGCATGATTTCAGTGTCATGAGCTACACTTGTTTTTGCCAACATCACACCATGACAAATGTACCTTATTAAGCTGCCCAGTACATTGTTTGAAATCACTGAGGATGAAATGTACGTTGTCAAGTGGTTCTCTACAATATTTGAAATCACTGAGGATAAAAAGTACTTGCAAACAACTCCTTTTTCTGAATCTGCTCCCTGCCAAGCCTCACACAGAAGATTCTTATAAGATTACTTTTATATAAAATAGAAGAAAGTAACCCCAAATGGTTTCTAATAAACTATAACAGGTGTATGTAAAGTATGTGTGCAGCAGTGTGTGTTCTTTTTAGAGTGTGGGTTGTAATGTAGTAGTGTGTAGGGTGTAGCATGTGTGTGTTTGTGTGTGTGTAACATGTGTAGTCATTTGTGTAGCTGTGTGTGTATTTGTATAAGAGAGTGGGTAGTATATGTATGTGTACAAGTGTATGTAGTAATGTGCGGGTAGTAATGAGGTTGCCATCCCGCCCCAATGTCAGTGTGGCCAGGGTTGCATTTGCATGTCAGGTGCCTATAGGCACAAAAGTGTAAGGTGCACCCTGCTCCTTAACCCAAAAAAAGTCAGATAAAGCTAGTATAATTAATTTATTAACTAGACATACTTCCAAAATGATAACATACAGGTACATAATTTCTAATTAGTGGGGTAATAGCTGCTTGATCCAAGGAGATATCTGACTCCCATTTTGGGGTCAAGAAGGAATTTTCTCCTGGTTTGTTGCAAAATTGGAAGCGCTGCAAACTTTTTTTTTTTTACTTCTTTTGGATCAACAGCAAAAACATATGTGAGGAAGGCTGAACTTGGACACAAGTCACTGTTAAGCAATGTAACATTACAAGCCTAAAAACATAAAAAAAAAAAAAAAATTCAAGCTATTTCAATTGCTTTTGTTTGATTTGCTTATTGCAAACAGCTCAAAGTCTGAACATTTTGACAATAAACCTGATTTCCAATGTGGGTTGAATAATTTTGATTATATGTATGTGTATGTGTATATATATATATATATATACATATATATATATATATATAATTATATTTGTTATATTTGATTATAGCTATATGTATATAAAATCCAAACAGTCCTGCACTCCTACTTACAACTGCTTTAATCCGGTGCTTGATAGCACAAAATAGCATATAATCGAAAAGGAAGGAATCAGCACTCCAGGGGTTTCCAAAATCCATCATAACTTTAACTTTCATCAGGACAAACCAGAGTGACCAGGGCCGGCCTTAGGCCTTTGGGCGCCCTGTGCGAAAAATCTTCACAGAGCCCACACCACTTCCTGTCCCCCCCTTCCCACACATATGCAGACAGCCACACGCACACACAGACATAGAAACATAGAATGCGACGGCAGATAAGAACCATTCGGCCCATCTAGTCTGCCCAGACAGTCACACACACACAGACAGACAGCCACACACAAACACACAGACAGCCACACAACCACACACAAACACAGAGGCAGACAGCCACACACAAACACACATGCAGACAGCCACACACACAGGCAGACATAGAAACATAGAATGTGACGGCAGATAAGAACCATTCGGCCCATCTAGTCTGCCAAGACAGTCACACACACAGACACAGTCACACATAGACAGTCACACACACAGGCAGACAATCACACATAGTTACCTCTGTTCCTTGTGGAGGCAGACAGGCAGCGCAGCTCCTGGATTCTGATGTTGGGGGAAGCAGGGACTCCTTCCTGCTTCCCCTGCACTTTTAGCCCCACCCCCACCGCAATTTTTTTTTTATCCTGGCCAGCCATATGTGAGCTTAGTCGGCCGCACGGCGCCCCCTGCTCCATAGCGCCGTGTGCGGCCGCACAGCTCGCCTAAACCTAAGGCCGGCCCTGACAGTGACCACCCACCATCTCCATATAGGACCCCCAATTAGTCACCACTTTCCTGTGTGTGGGGCTGGCGTCCCTCCGTACCGGGGAAGTGTGTCTCATCTGTCTCCATCAATCAGCTGATTAACAGTTACGCGTGTCTATGCACCTGCTCCCGACTACCTGTCTAACGTTACCTTGGTTACCAGAACACGAGCAGCTGATACCACACGTAAATGGGGCAAAGATCTATATTTCACCCTGTAACGTTCCAAAATCCCATAAAACCTGTAATTGGGTGGGAATGTTGTACTCCTGAGACATTGCTGAATACAAATATGTGTATTTTATTATAATAAAAGCTAACAGGATTATGACAATCACAGTTAAAATGCCATGCAGAACTTTGAAAATAAAATTTCTTAAGTTCTGACATTTTCTAGATTTTATTCATATTCAGTTTTGTTTCATTTATAAATGTTTGATGTGAAATAAAATCTTATATCTCCTGAACAAAATTATATATATATAATAAGTGTGGGTGCACTTAATATGAAAGAGGTAAATTATGGTTAAACAAACATAGCTAAAATTCTAGGTATTTTTAGTTTTGTTTTTTTTCAGAAGTAGTACAATTGCCTTCTTCCTTAAGGGGTTAAGAAGGTTTATTGAATTTTAAAAAATACCAACCGGGGGGTGGAGCCAGCAGCCGCACGGGACAGATGCAGAAGAGTAGAGCTCCGTGCAAAGCCCGCAGTAAATGGGTAATAGGGACAGTTTTGCCTGGTCACACACACCAATTCCCCTACACACCAACCTTGCTGAAGCTGATGGGGAAACACTGGGCAGATCCGAGCCCTGTGTCCCGCGATATCGGAACGTTCCTGCGGCAATCTGCTAGGCCTCCGTGTCGGAGTCCTTGGATGGGGAGAGCCTCCCTGAACAGCTTTCAGAGTTCGAGAGAGCACCCAAAGCGGCCCAAGGGTCCCAGGGGACTTGAGATACAGCCCCTTCCACCACAGCCGACATAATAGCCCTACTCCAAGAAATAAGGGCAATGTTTCAAGCTGATGTGGCAGTGGTCAGGGAGGAGGTGGCCACACTTGCCACCAGGATTGCTAGCACAGAAGCTGATATGGGGAATGTGAAGATGCACACGGTCCAGAAGAGCAACGCGGCTATACTAAATCGTTTGGCTATCCTGGAGGACAAGACAAGGGCACGAAATGTGAGACTCAGGGGAAGAACTGCCTCATTATCTCAGGTGGCTCCTGACAACACTTCTATCACCAAAACAGCTGAAACAAGTAGCAATAGACTATTATTTTCGCCTGCCTAAAGCTCCTCCAGAGGCGCCCAAAGATGCGCTGATAAAATTTGTCCGGGACTCTGACAGGGGGATCATTATGGGAGCAACCAGGAAGACACCTGCTGTTGATTTCGAGGGCCACCATCCTTTGGAGACAATCACTTCGCTCAATCACCCAGGTACTCCGAGACCACAAGGTACCCTACAAATGGGGGATGCACAGGCTCCTGGTGGAGAAGGGCAGCAAGACCCACTCCCTCACTCACCTCTCAGAGGCTTCTGCTTTACTCGGCGAGCTCGGAATGCCAAACGGAACCCTGTCAGCAACACCCCGACCGAGATGGTTGGTTGACCGGATAACTCCATTTGGACCAAGAGCAACGGTGTCACCACCTTGCAACGCACCGACCTGAATAGTCTCCTTGAAATGGACTAACCCAAACTGCACTCATCCTTTTTCCTCTAATGCAAGAGTTTAATGACTTGGGCTACTCCCAACGGTTTATATTTCAGTTACAATTACCTCTCCATTTAATTAATGATGTTTCATTTGTTTAACTTGATTATCTAATTTTCTGGTTCCACAAGCTGACATAGAATCGGACAGCTACAACAACCTTCCTCCCACAACCAGCTGACAGACAGGTGCCTCCCCATATGTGTAAAAACTTGGCTAGCTACGTAACAACCATTACTAACAACACAGCCAACCTCACTAGACACAGCTGACCGCCATAGTGGCGAATAAACCTGATGACATCCTTACCACTTAGTATCGAGTGTGACAGTCCCTGTTTCCAAAGGCCAAATGGAGACCCTTCAGCTCACATACACTCACGATACGCTAGCTGACGGACTCAGTATTATGCTCTAGCAGTGTTTAGTTTGTTAAAAAAAATACAAAACAGTGCTGTATACCATTGCCATGCTCCTTTTCTCTTTTTGTGAAATACCTCTTGAGACCACAGACATGACGGTCACTATGTACAACTAATGAAGTACAACCAAAATAAAGAATTAAAAAAAAAAAAAAAAAACAACCTATGTTGAATGTTTGAACTCCTACTTAAAAGAGACTTTTAATTAAGTCCAAGTGTGTATAATAACTGTTTTGCAATCACTGTAATTAATTTAGTTAATTGTGATATATAGATCTATATCTCTCTATATATCTATATATATATCTATCTCTATATATCTATATAGTATTATTGCAAAATAAAGACCTGTTTTAGGTCTAAACTGTATTTGTTACACTGATCTTCATTAAATCCTCCATTCACTATCCTTGAGTGCCTATATTAAGTGGGATTATGGACAGTACTGTCTCAAAGGGCAACCCAAGACCAACCACTACATCTATATACGTTTTTTTGAAGATGAAAAACTTGAAAAGTGATTATTTGCTTTGGGAACTGTGAACTGCTTTTCATTATCCTTGCTCTGCAGGAATGTAGACATCTGTTAAAAGAATCAATGATGCCTTTCACAATAATTTTAGACAAAAACAATTTGTCCTACATACGTTATATAAAACTTTGGCATTTAGACAAGCTAGGCGGTCTCTATTTCTTTCTAGGTACATTTATGTTATCACTTATCTTCTTGGTTCCTGGAATATAGAGCCAGATGCAAGTCTAAACCAAGATTCCAAAACACATAAATAACTACCATCATACTGTGATATCCTCTATACTTCTTGAATGCATTTAAGCCAGTCAAGCACAAACTCGTGCAAAAAACACCCAGGAAATTTTTTTTTATTCTTTCTACTGATATTAATAAACATTTCGGGTTATTAATTACCATAACACAGCTAGATATCTTATAGACTGTAACTGCCCTCTCTAACAAGTTTTGGTGACCATCTCTTCACAAAGAAGTTAAACAATACTTTCACACCTCCAATACATGTGTGCAAACAGAAATGTCAACAATTCACCTGTAGCCCTTTCTTTACAAACCATGGACATGTTTTAATGGATTTTATGTTAGTGTTGCCATCATTTATAGCGAATACTGGAAATTGTTATGATCATAGATAGAAAACGATCATATCGGAAACCATTCTTTTGCATACTTTATCTTTTTTGAATTAAGAATTTTTTTGTGAGTGAAATATTCATTGGTTGCATTGGAATTTTCATATTATGATGGATCTGATGAACTGGCTAATCAAGCTTTGGAGCAAAATGTATGCTATTTTGTCCAGTAGTGCAATATGTTTTTCTTGGTTGAATTTGTCCAAATCTATGGTAATTAAACTTTTGGGCCAAGTCGGTTCTGTATTTATTTATTTTTGTCGATGAAAATATTTATTGAGGCATAAAGCTTAGATACATAACAGTACAGTAGTAATAAAAATATATGCAGACATGCAATGAGGAGGTAAGATTCACAATATGAGTCGGGAGCAAAGCTATGTTAACACAAAGAATTTGACGCATCTAGAAATACTAGGAAACAAAAACAAATAGCATGTAGCTTTCGATGTGTAATAACGGTTTCTAAGGCCATCCTATAAAATTGGCCTTTCATATATAGACCATAGAATATGATTGGAGAAAGCAGGAAGAGAAAATCAGCGCTAAATTGCCACAAAAGAATATAATAAAAAGGCTGCACTCCTCAAAGGGGAAAACAGACAATAAAATAAGGGTGCGCCTAAAATATATAATAAAACATAAAATATATTAAAATATTAAAATAATAATATTGTTAAAATATTAAAATAAAATAAGTGATTAGCAATAGTCCAAAAAATTTATCAAAATCTGTAATGGTAGGTCCCACGTGTGGAAAGGGAATTCTTAGGATGTAAAATGGGATCAAGTCTTCACGGTTATATGCTTGAAATTCAGTGGAGCATATGTAGAGAAAGGAAAGATAAAAACAGGACTCCAATGGCACAGTATATAGATATATAAAATAATAAAATTGGTCTTACTCACACTTTTCAGAGCTAAAATCCAGCTCTGATATTGCGCACGTGAAGTGGAATAATCCCCACTCAAGGATATGCGGAGTAAAATTTGATTGGCGAATATCTGGCACAAGTTCGGCGTCCAAATTGGTGTTGTTAGACCCAGAAGAAGAGGATAAAATATATAGTGCTTTCTGTATTATAATTAAAAGTATAAAAGAGTATAAAATATACTACTCACATTATTTAGAGCAGGCTTGTACTGCTCAGTGTAAGCGCTTGGGTGGTATAATCCCCACCTGTGGATTCTTTGAGCTTCTTATAGAATATACAATATATGTATAGTCAGGTGAAAAGAAAGAAAATGGCAATAAAGTATTTTATGCCAAAATAATTTCTTTATTATAAAGTAGTAAAATCAATATCTAAACGCATTTCGCCTCAAGGGCTTCTTCAAGTAGATAATAATAAAAAGGGGGGCATACCTGACATACAAGAGTTTATATAGGGTATAATAGAATTTTGAAATTCCTGCCAAAATGACGTCATCAAAACCATCTTAATTTAGTACAATTAAAAACAGTGATTTTCACGTAGATTTATATAAATACAATTAACATGAGGTAGATACAATGGTTAAAAATGTAAAACGAAGGTTGTAAATGTATAAAATATCTTTTAAAAGAGTGATCACGTGACGCGCGATTAGAAACACTTCCGCGTCACGTGATGCTCGGTGGAACGCATGCGTTCCGTTTGTGGGCTGTCCCAACAGACCGGGGAACAGAAGAAGCAGAGATAAGGCTGTCTGCCTGCAAGAGCAGGCAGACAGCCACAGCAGCAGCATTTGAGACTTGCTGTCTGCCTGCACAAGCAGGCAGACAGCTGTCCCAACCCTGCACAAGTTCAAACACTGTGAGAGATACTTAGAATCTGTCTTAACATTGCACCCATCATAACAGTGTGAGAGATACATAAAAAGGGGGAAACTAAGACAAATAACATAAAAAACAGCTAGTTTTGTAAACTTATGGTAAATAGAATAATATAACCATTAAATGCTGAAGATAATAATATAAGATGCATCTAAAAAATAATATTGTATATATACAAGCACTTTACAATATATTAAAATAGCAATAAAAAGTAATAAAAATATAAAGATAAATAATGTGAGTAGTATATTTTATACTCTTTTATACTTTTAATTATAATACAGAGAGCACTATATATTTTATCCTCTTCTTCTGGGTCTAACAAAACCAATTTGGACGCCGAACTTGTGCCAGATATTCGCCAATCAAATTTTACTCCGCATATCCTTGAGTGGAGATTATTCCACTTCACGTGCGCAATATCAGAGCTGGATTTTAGCTCTGGAAAGTGTGAGTAAGACCAAGTGTATTATTTTATATTTTATTCATCTCTATACTGTGCCATTGGAGTCCTGTTTTTATCTTTCTCCTTTCTCTACATATGCTCCACTGAATTTCAAGAATATAACCGTGAAGACTTGATCCCATTTTACATCCCAAGAATTCCCTTTCCACACGTGGGACCTACCATTACGGATTTTGATAAGTTTTTTGGACTATTGCTAATCACTTATTTTATTTTAATATTTAAAAAATATTATTATTTTAATATTTTAATATATTTTATAAGTTTTATTATATATTTTAGGCGCACCCTTATTTTATTGTCTGTTTTGTGTTCCTTCTTACCACTAAGGGATTAGACGGGATTCCCCTTTGAGGAGTGCAGCCTTTTTATTATCTTCTTTTGTGGCAATTTAGCGCTGATTTTCTCTTCCTGCTTTCTCCAGTTTTCTCTTTAAAACCCCTATAAATTAGCTGCTATACTCTAAGACCACATTTTTCTTAAAAATAATGTCTATCTTTGATTTTAGAAATAATTTCATTATAGATATTAATCATGCTTTTAACACAGAAGAAAACCTCCCTACATACACAAGAATTGATAATTATAATCAAAAAGAGCTCTTTGTTAAACTAGAAAAAGCACTCACAATGGAAATTAAATTAAAATGGGAATTAGCCACCTTAAAGAAATATCTAGAAGAAAGAATAACCCCTAGAGGGTTAAGACTTTTTAAAGAACCTACATCAGATAGAGATGACGAAGAATTTATGAGAGACTGGTATAATAAGTTAGAAGTATGCACTTTTGGTCTTATGGATACATTAATCATTAAAAAAACTAAAAAACTCTCAACGCTTGAAATGGAGATAAATGATCTAAAAGAAAAGATGTCGATATTTACAGAGACACAAGTTTTTAAACAAAATTCTATTCTTATCCAGAACAAAATAGAAAAAGTGGAAATGGATACTAAACATATTAAGGTAAAAAAATATATCCGTGACAAACAAGATTATTCTAACAATCAGGTCCGTTCTTACCATAAAATAAATATTTCAGACAATACCACTTATCCATCCTCTAACACCTATCAAAACGATCACATACCCAAAACACACCATAACCATCTACTTAGAAGAGAACCACAATATCAACCTCATCCTCCTGTGAGGAAACAATCCTTCACTTCATCACGAAATTATCACTCCAACCGGTCCCACACTACCCATAAATATCAACACTATCAAACTCAACCTAGGCACTTACATTTATCCCATCAATATCACAATTCACTCCCATCGATACAGAAACCCACCAATCACACCAGCAACACCAATCATTCTCCTGGTATGTACCAAAATGAGAAAGGTATAACACCCAAAATCCAAAGATCAAGATATGCACAAAGACACTTTGAAGGTAAATGATCTCCTCCGAACTATGTCCACAATAATAGATATCAACTGTTATCTGTAGATTCCGAAACAGATAATAATGATTATTTTTTTAGAGCTTGGACACAAAACAACGCACATGCATTAACGCCACACCCTATAAAAACCAGAAAGCGAAGTCTGAATTTAGAGGAAGGAGAAGTGGTAGAAGAATCCAAAGGAGAAAGGTTAGAAAGACAATAAATCAGACAAATGATAAAGATCTTGGTATTTTTAACTTATCCCAAAAGGCATTAACATCTACCCAAATATCAGTCCTAACTAAAGGTCTCAAATTTGCTCCTACAAATCCTTTTAAAGCTTTTATAGATATTAACAAATTTGTCAGAAAAGCCACTCTTAAAAGAGTTTTTGCTTGTAAGAATGCAGAAATTTCTACCTCACAACCCCTAGCTACCTCACCATCAGAATCACCTAGAATCATCTCTACCCCGTTAAAGAAAAATTCGACTTTCTTTCCTTGTAGCTTCAAATCAGGCCCCTTAGAAGTCTTTGAAAAACTAGTTACAAAAGATCTAGAAAAAAATTCATTAAAAAAAATCTGATCAAGACAATCTTACACATCTAGAGCGGAAAGCATTGCAACAATTACAAAAAGACGGCAATATTATCATAAAACCTGCAGACAAGGGGGGGAGGTATACAGGGAAATATTAGGCAAATGAGTATTTTGACCACATCATCCTCTTTATGCATGTTGTCTTACTCCAAGCTGTATAGGCTCGAAAGCCTACTACCAATTAAGCATATTAGGTGATGTGCATCTCTGTAATGAGAAAGGGTGTGGTCTAATGACATCAACACCCTATATCAGGTGTGCATAATTATTAGGCAACTTCCTTTCCTTTGGCAAAATGGGTCAAAAGAAGGACTTGACAGGCTCAGAAAAGTCAAAAATAGTGAGATATCTTGCAGAGGGATGCAGCACTCTTAAAATTGCAAAGCTTCTGAAGCGTGATCATCGAACAATCAAGCGTTTCATTCAAAATAGTCAACAGGGTCGCAAGAAGCGTGTGGAAAAACCAAGGCGCAAAATAACTGCCCATGAACTGAGAAAAGTCAAGCGTGCAGCTGCCACGATGCCACTTGCCACCAGTTTGGCCATATTTCAGAGCTGCAACATCACTGGAGTGCCCAAAAGCACAAGGTGTGCAATACTCAGAGACATGGCCAAGGTAAGAAAGGCTGAAAGACGACCACCACTGAACAAGACACACAAGCTGAAACGTCAAGACTGGGCCAAGAAATATCTCAAGACTGATTTTTCTAAGGTTTTATGGACTGATGAAATGAGAGTGAGTCTTGATGGGCCAGATGGATGGGCCCGTGGCTGGATTGGTAAAGGGCAGAGAGCTCCAGTCCGACTCAGACGCCAGCCAGGTGGAGGTGGAGTACTGGTTTGGGCTGGTATCATCAAAGATGAGCTTGTGGGGCCTTTTCGGGTTGAGGATGGAGTCAAGCTCAACTCCCAGTCCTACTGCCAGTTCCTGGAAGACACCTTCTTCAAGCAGTGGTACAGGAAGAAGTCTGCATCCTTCAAGAAAAACATGATTTTCATGCAGGACAATGCTCCATCACACGCGTCCAAGTACTCCACAGCGTGGCTGGCAAGAAAGGGTATAAAAGAAGAAAATCTAATGACATGGCCTCCTTGTTCACCTGATCTGAACCCCATTGAGAACCTGTGGTCCATCATCAAATGTGAGATTTACAAGGAGGGAAAACAGTACACCTCTCTGAACAGTGTCTGGGAGGCTGTGGTTGCTGCTGCACGCAATGTTGATGGTGAACAGATCAAAACACTGACAGAATCCATGGATGGCAGGCTTTTGAGTGTCCTTGCAAAGAAAGGTGGCTATATTGGTCACTGATTTGTTTTTGTTTTGTTTTTGAATGTCAGAAATGTATATTTGTGAATGTTGAGATGTTATATTGGTTTCACTGGTAATAATAAATAATTGAAATGGGTATATATTTGTTTTTTGTTAAGTTGCCTAATAATTATGCACAGTAATAGTCACCTGCACACACAGATATCCCCTAACATAGCTATAACTAAAAACAAACTAAAAACTACTTCCAAAAATATTCAGCTTTGATATTAATGAGTTTTTTGGGTTCATTGAGAACATGGTTGTTGTTCAATAATAAAATTATCCTCAAAAATACAACTTGCCTAATAATTCTGCACTCCCTGTAGTTATCTTAACTAAAGATATGTATATAAAAGAAGCCATGAGACAATTAAATGACCCCATTGTCTATGAAAAATTAATACAAGATCCCACATCTAAAATCCAACAAATTTTTACTTCCTTTTTAATCAATAGTCGTGAACAGAACATTTTAAACAAACAGGAATTTGAATACTTAAATGTGTCCCACCCCATTATCCCTGTTATCTACTTTTTACCGAAAATCCATAGACATTTCTAACCCTCCAGGTAGGCCTATTGTATCAGGGATCAGCTCTATTTTATCCAATTTATCTGAGTACCTGGACATTCTTTTACAGCCTTCAGTGAAGCGTATGAAGTCATACCTAAAAGACTCTATGACCTTACTTCGTTTTTTAAATAATTTTAAATGGAAAAATATATATGTTTTAGTGACCTGTGATGTACAATCTTTATATACCATCATCCCTCACGATAAAGGCTGTTTAGCAGTTGAAAAAATGTTAAAAGCCGAAAAGAATATTCCAGACCAACAAGTAGATTTTATTATCCAGGGTATCAAAATTATTTTAAATAACAACTACTTTTGGTTTTTAGACTCTTTTTATTTACAAAAACAGGGCACTGCTATGAGGACCAGGTTTGCCCCTAGCTACGCCAACCTTTTAATGGCAGATTGGGAATCCACTGCCATTCTGGGAGGGCATGGCTGGCAGGCAAACCTGGTCACATATTTTAGATACATAGATGATTTGTTTTTTATCTGGGATGGCCCAGAAGACTCTCTCAATCAGTTTTTACAGTTTTTAAATTATAATGACAAAGGTATTGTTTTAACCTGGGATTATAGTAAATCCTCTATCCACTTTTTATACCTAGAAATTGTTATTAAGTATGTACCAACAACGTTATTGATGTGTCCAGTTGCCATCATAAACCATGGCTTCAAGGAATACCCAAGAGCCAGTTCCTCCGTTTACATAGAAACTGCTCCCTCACACAAGATTTTGAGGAACAGTCTCAATTACTGTCCAACAAATTCCCCCCCAAAAATTACCCCAGAAATAATTTAGACCAGACGCTAAAAAACATCAGTGAAACTAACAGATCCAAATTATTAGAATATAAGACAAACAAAGAAGCTAAAACCGCTCCAGTATTGCCAATTATTTTCGACTTCAATAACAAAAGTAATGTTATGAAGAAGATTATAAAGAAACATTGGCATATATTAAAACAGGATGAGACTTTGGCTGGAATTATCCCTGAGAAACCACAAGTTATATTTAGAGGGGCACCCAGCTTTAAGTCTATCCTCACAAGTAATTACACTAAATATAAACATAGCACTTTACCCCCTAGCCCCTCCACCTTCTTAACTAAACCTAGCGGTTTCTTTAAATGCAATAGATGCATAGTTTGCAAACGTACTAGTGATATTATCAAATCTAAAACTACATCGTTTATATCAACAATTACCCAGAAAACATATCAAATAAAACATTTTATTCACTTTAATACGAGAAATGTAATCTCTCTTCTGGAATGTCCATGTGGGCTACAATATGTGGGTATGACCACCAGAGACCTAAAAACGAGATTAGCTGAACATTGTAGAAATATTTTAAAAGGCTACGAGAATCATTCAGTCTCAAAACATTTTCTACAACATGGAAAGAATCCAAAACACCTTAAATGTATCGGTATAGACATTTGTAATGTCCCATGGAGAGGTGGAGACATTAAAAAAGTTTTAGGTAAAAAAGAAATGGAATGGGCATATAATCTAAAAACCCTTGCCCCCACAGGTCTAAATATTGACTTTGATCTTTTTAACTTTTTATAACTAACAATTTTTTATAACAAACAATTAATCTCTGACTCTCTTCATTTTATCTTTATATTTTTATTACTTTTTATTGCTATTTTAATATATTGTAAAGTGCTTGTATGTATACAATATTATTTTTTAGATGCATCTTATATTATTATCTTCAGCATTTAATGGTTATATTATTCTATTTACCATAAGTTTACAAAACTAGCTGTTTTTTATGTTATTTGTCTTAGTTTCCCCCTTTTTATGTATCTCTCACACTGTTATGATGGGTGCAATGTTAAGACAGATTCTAAGTATCTCTCACAGTGTTTGAACTTGTGCAGGGTTGGGACAGCTGTCTGCCTGCTTGTGCAGGCAGACAGCAAGCCTCAAGTGCTGCTGCTGTGGCTGTCTGCCTGCTCTTGCAGGCAGACAGCCTTATCTCTGCTTCTTCTGTTCCCCGGTCTGTTGGGACAGCCCACCCCCCTCACATCATCTTTCGATGACGCATGCGTTCCACACAAACGGAACGCATGCGTTCCACCGAGCATCACGTGACGCGGAAGTGTTTCTAATCGCGCGTCACGTGAACGCTCTTTTAAAAGATATTTTATACATTTACAACCTTCGTTTTACATTTTTAACCATTATATCTACCTCATGTTAATTGTATTTATATAAATCTATGTGAAAATCACTGTTTTTAATTGTACTAAATTAACCCCTTAAGGACTGGACTGTTTTTGCGATGTTGTACATTTGCGACCAGGCATATTTTTATACTTTTGTGGTGTTTGTGTTTGGCTGTAATTTTCCGCTCTCTCATTTACTGTTACCATACAAATTATATATTGTTTTTTTTCAGGACAAAAGGGGCTTTCTTTACATACCATTATTTATATAATCTCATGTATTTTAATTTTAAAAAAATAAAAAAATATGATGAAAAATTGAAAAAAATACATGTTTTTTTACTTTTACTTGAAAAATCTTTTACTCATCTACAAAAGCGAATGAAAAAAACTGCTAAATAGATTAAAAATTTTGTCCTGAGTTTAAAAATACCCAGTGTTTACGTGCTTTTTCTGCTTTTTTTGCATGTTATAGGGCTATAGGTACAAGTAGGATATTGAGGTTTCAAAACATACATTTTTAAAGTTTATCAATAGTGACATTGTAACACTATTATCTGTCATAAATCTCTGAATAACACCCCACATGTACATATTTTTTTTAAACTAGACAACCCAGGGTATTCAATATGGGGTATGTCCAGTCTTTTTTAGTAGCCACTTAGTCGAAAACACTGGCCAAAGTAAGCATTCATATTTGTTTGTGTGTGAAAAAAGTAAAAAAACTAAATTGAATGCTAATTTTGGCCAGTGTTTGTGACCAAGTGGTTACTAAAAAAGACTGGACATACCCCATTTGCAATACCTTGGGTTGTCTTCTTTTGCAAATGGTATGCCATCATGGGGGTAATTCTCATTCCTGGGCTACCATACGCTCTCAAAGGCAACGTAACCAACCTGGCCATTTTCAATGTAAAAATATTTGACCCATATATTTGACCTTGTAACTTTCAAAAATGCTATAAAACCTGTACATGGGGGGTACTGTTTTACTCGGGAGACATCGCTGAACACAAATATTAGTGTTTAAAAACTGGAAAACGTATCACAATAATTATATCATCAGTAAAAGTGCTGTTTGTGTGTGAAAAATGCAAAAAAAGTAACTTTCACTGACAATATCATCGCTGTGATATGTTTTACTGTTTTGAATCACTAATATTTGTGTTCAGCGAAGTCTCCCGAGTAAAACAGTACCCCCCATGTACAGGTTTTAGGGTGTCGTAGAACGTTACAGGGTAAAATACAGTGCTAGCAAATTAAATTCTCTGGAATTTCGGCCTGGGTTGGCAGGCAGGTCCCTCAAATTGCAATCAATAAAATTACTGAATTATGTAAAAATATTACATAAATACGCACGTAGAATTTAAATATATATGCATATTTATATATTTGAAGTCTATGTGTATATTTATATAATTATTTATGTAGTTTTGTATATGGACATATGTATATTTTGTATTATTTTTATTTATTTATATATACATAGATATATATACAAATTCATTCTAAGTGTATTTTGATATAAATATATATATATTAATTTTAAAATACAGTTAGAATAAAATTTCATATAGATATATAATTTTTTAAAATTTTTATTATTATTTAAAAACTTTTTAATTTAATTTAAATTACGTATTATTTATATTTTATAATAATATATATAGACAATATATATAGTTATTATATATATATTATATATATGTGTGTAATTTAATTATAAGTGTATTTTTATATTAATATAAGTACATATTAATATAAAAATACACTTAGTATGGCATTATATATATATGATATATAGACATATATTATATAAATATAATATATGTCTTATATCATATATACACATATATAATTTATTTTTTATTTTTTATTAACACTAACTTTATTTTATTTTTTTGATTTTACACTAGCAGTGAGACTGCCTGTCAGCACAGGCAGTCCCCCTGCAGGCAGACACATGGACACCCATTGTGACCATGTGATCGCTGTGTTAAGCGATCACATGGCCACAGGGGTCCTAATTCAGTGTGGGGAGACTGTCTGGGCTGCAGGCAGTCTCCCCACAATGGGAGCACCGCTGATTGCCGCCAGGGGAACGACGGCGATCAGGTAAGTAACTCAGACCGTTAGGACGGTTCAGGACCGTCATCGGTTGGCAACGCAAAAATGTCGGTCATTAAGGGGTTAAGATGGTTTTGATGACGTCATTTTGACGGGAATTTCAAAATTCATAGTACTATTATACCCTATATAAACTCTTGTATGTCAGGTGTGCCCCCCTTTTTATTATTATCTACTTGAAGAAGCCCTTGAGGCGAAACGCGTTTAGATATTGTTTTTACTACTTTATAATAAAGAAATTATTTTGGCGTAAAATACTTTATTGCCATTTTCTTTCTTTTCACCTGACTATACATATATTGTATATTCTATAAGAAGCTCAAAGAATCCACAGGTGGGGATTATACCACCCAAGCGCTTACACCGAGCAGTACAAGCTTGCTCTAAATAATGTGAGTAGTATATTTTATACTCTTTTATACTTTTAATTATAATACAGAGAGCACTATATATTTTATCCTCTTTTTCTGGGTCTAACAACACCAATTTGGACGCCGAACTTGTGCCAGATATTCGCCAATCAAATTTTACTTCGCATATCCTTGAGTGGGGATTATTCCACTTCACGTGCGCAATATCAGAGCTGGATTTTAGCTCTGAAAAGTGTGAGTAAGACCAATTTTATTATTTTATATTTTATTCATCTATATACTGTGCCATTGGAGTCCTGTTTTTATCTTTCCTTTCTCTACATATGCTCCACTGAATTTCAAGCATATAACCGTGAAGACTTGATCCCATTTTACATCCCTTTCCACACGTGAGACCTACCCTTACGGATTTTGATAAATTTTTTGGACTATTGCTAATCACTTATTTTATTTTAATATTTGAAAAATATTATTATTTTAATATTTTAATATATTTTATATGTTTTATTATATATTTTAGGCGCACCCTTATTTTATTGTCTGTTTTGTGCTCATAGAATATAATTAGTAAAACCAAACTTTATTTCTTAAGTAGCAGCACACCTGTAAACCACTATATTTGAAAGTAACACTCCTACATACAAGAAGAACCTCAGCCACCCGACTAAACCTTAATGTGGCAGGCTCTCCATGGGTGAAGATTAATTATTTTTTATTGCTGTGAAGTTTCTTTCTTTCTGGATTTTTTGTGGTCAGGCCTTTTTAAAATGTGATTAGTGGTATTGGTTCTTATGAATTTTAATTTGGCCTATTTTAGGGCTGAGGAACAGAAGAATAAAAAGAAATAAGACTTCTCATGGTTTGAATATTTTTTAACAGGTTTTAGATTTATTGCCCCCCTCGCTATTTTTAGGGTGAGAGGGTTACTGATGGACTTTCATTTCTTGTAGTTGTGGTGGCTATGAGATTGGGGACCCGTAGCCACCTGAGCTATTATTCAGAGGATGGACATTTTTATAATTAAATAAGTTCCACACCCCAACCCCCAAGGGTGGGGGTGGGGGTTGGGGTGGACACTAGGATCCCCCTTTATTATTATTATTAGTGCCCCACCTGTCACCCATGGCCCCTGCTGCATGGAGGTACAGTATCTCCATTGTAGTAATATGGGGGTCTTTTATTGACCCCCATAGGATTTGTATTTATTAAAGGACCACTATAGTGCCAGGAAAATAAACTTGTTTTCCCTTCACTATAGGGTTATTAGCCCCCCCACCCTCATGGCCCCCCCTCCTGCTTGGCTAAAGGGGTTAAAACACCTTCAGCCACTTACCTTTCTCCAGCGCCGGTAACCTCTCCTCCTCCTGGCGACGTCAGCACCGAATGCGCATGCGCAGCAAGAGCCGCACATGCATTCAAACTGCCCATAGGAAAGCATTATCAATGCTTTCCTATGGACATCAGCGTCTTCTCACTGTGATTTTCACAGTGAGAATCGCGAAAGCGGCCTCTAGTGGCTGTCATGGAGGCTGGATTTACCCTCAATGTAAACATAGCAGTTTCTCTGAACTTCTCTGAAACTTCTCTAAACAAAAAAAACTGTTTTCAGCTGCAGGGTAAAACTAGAGGGACCTGGCATCCAGACCACTTTATTGAGCTGAAGTGGTGTGGGTGCCTATATTGGTCCTTTAATTATTTTAAAATGTTTAAAACATTTTTAATCTGGCAAGCACTGGCTAGCTACCACATAATTAACCCTCTCGCTGCTGAGGTTTTTTTACCTTGAATCATCAATTCACTTTCAAAAAGCAAGTGAATGATGATTTGAGAATGTACATCCTGCCATATGCATTGAGGTATCTTCGTTTGCCAAGCGACCGTTGATAAATCTATATTTCCTTTGCTTTAATTTGGTTCTTATATTAGAGATTTTTTAAACACTTCTGAACCAACTGAATCCTGACTACATTTAACTTTGATAAATCCCCATATATGATTCAGGCCTTGTGAGAGAAGTGGAAGTGATGGGCGATAAAGCCTTGCTAAATTGAAGCAGTGCAGCAGATAGACCTGCAAAAACCTTGATATGGCGATACAGCTTAGGCAGGTCTGCGGCATGGACAATATTCTCCCTGGCATGGAAAAAGTGGACCCTTGCGTTGACATCTCATGCCGTAGCGGCAGGTAGATGTTTAGGCCTCCTGAGCCTGTGTGCCCTATACACATGCAGCTGGTTAGAACAAATTTCGGGCGGATGTGTCTGGAACATGTCCAGGAGCTATGCTTATAGGTCAGCATTAGACACCGATTTTGGAATGTCTCTTATGCATAGATTGTGCCTTCGAGATCTATCTTCGATGTCAGCGAGTTTGAGCTTATGAGCCTCCAAGATGTTGTCGAGCTCTTGCAGTTTATCTACTAAGCTATTATGAGCTCCTGCAAAATCATCCATCTTCTGTTCAATGTGCAAAGTGTGCAAACCAATATCTTTCATTTCTTTCTGTAAATCAGTAGCCAAGGTTTTTAGTTGTCTTTTTATGTTAGTTTTAGTAGAGTCCAAGAATTCTGAAATCATAGCCAATATCATGGCTATTGTCAAGGGCCAGTCATCAGATCGAGAGCATGGAGAGGCTGGAGGTGAGAACGAGCTCTCTCTTGATCGGGCGCCTCTGCCATTTTGATTAAGAGCGAGGTATAAGCACACTTTTAAAGTGGAGGCTCTTATTAGGAAAAGTGAAAGACCTGTTTATGCTTGAGTTAGGTCAGTATTGACATATAGTTCAAATTATCCCCTAAATGCATGCCATTTGCAAAAGTAGACATGGAGTATGTCATATGGTATATTTTGAGCCTTATTGTACAGCCATGTTTGCACCAATTTCTTTTATAGTTTAAGGCAGGGTCGGCCTGTCCATAGGAACAGGTGGGACCATGACCCAGGTGGCACTTTAACTGTGCAGAGCCAACATTTGCGAGCTGTGTGGGCGCCACTCAGTGGCCATTGGCCACCTGAGCGCACCTTGGCAGGTGGGCGACAGTATCCAATGATACTGCTCCCCCCCCCAGGAAAAGTGCAATTTACTTTTATTAAATATATTGCTGGATGCACAATATTTCCAATAAAAAGTATTCCTTGGTGATCTAGTAGGCGATATCTGATGCTAGGTACCTCCTCTTGATCCACTCGATAATAAGCTCTCCCTCGCTCTCCGGCGCTCAGTGATGACTCAGAGTGCAGCCGAGGAGATTCCCAGCCTGCTCTGAGTCATCACTGACCGCCAGAGCCGCAAGGAAGAGCTTATTATTGAGTGGATCAACAAGCTCCAAGAGGATTAGCTCGGGATGCAGACACGATGTGGCTGCCTGGTGTGTGCCAGTAATCTGCCTTTTTACTATGTGGGTTCTAGTGTACTGAGCTTGTGTGTATGTGTGTCAGTGAGCATGTGTGTATGCATGTCTGTGTGTATGTCTGTCAGTGAGCATGTGTGTATGTATGTGTGTGTGTATGTGTCAGTGAGCTTGTGTGTATGCGTGCATGTATGTCTGTGTATGTGTGTCAGTGAGCTTGTGTGTATGTGTCTGTATGTGTGCATGTAAGTCTGTGTATGTGTGTCACTGAGCTTGTGTGTATGTGTGTCAGTAAGCTTGTGTGTATGTGTGTCAGTGAGATTGTGTGTAGTAACCTTGTGTGTCAGTGAGCTTGTATATAGTGACCTTGTCTCTGTGTGTCGGAGCTTGTGTATGTGTGTGTGTGTCAGTGAGCTTGTGTGTAGTGTCCCCGTGTCTGTGAGCTTGTGTGTAGTGACCTTGTGTCTGTGTGTGCATGTGTCACTGAGATTGTGTGTAGTAACCTTGTGTGCTAGTGAGCTTGTGTATAGTAACCTTGTGTCTGTGTGTATGTGTGTCACTGAGCTTGTGTGTAGAGACTTTGTGTGTAGCCTGTCCCCCAGACTGGCACATTTCATCCTTGGACCCAGGCAGCACAATGTCTTCAAATACAAAAAAAACAAGTCCTGCGCGTTTGATGGCTATAAGATGGCTACAAGATAAGGCCAGGGACTAATGAGAGTATCTAGAAAATTGGGCAGACTAGATGGGTTCTTACCTGCTGTCACATTCTATGTTTCTACGAATTGGTAAGACAAAAAAAATGTATTCTGCCTTCATTATAGTTCTAGCGGGGACCTTATTTTTAGTGGTGCACTGCTCGAAAATGGTTTAAAAGCGGATGGAGGGACAGAACCAGGGGAATCCATTCTCTATAATCATTTCACTGTTATAGCACCTACAATGTCCCATTTGGGTGTTTTGCCGTAAATATGTACACACAGTATTGTTCCCTCTCATAGCACAACTCCTGCTAGTGAAGGAGAGTGACTGAAAATTGTGATATTGGACCTTATAGCAATGTCCTGATTGTCAGATAAAAAATTTTGCTGAGACATTCTGTGAATTGGCAATCAAATAAACACAAATCATCGTGAATCTGTAATTGTGATTTAGTTACTTGTAGATCAGTTAATTTTTTGAGTCTTTAGTTTGCTTATTTTTTGCATGTACATTTTTATTTGTAGATAGCTGCAAACATGAATCTTAACGACAAACAAAGGAACCGCCATTTTCTGGAGGAGATGCTGCTTTTAACATCGCGAAACCTACCTATGATTACAGTTAAGGATAATTACACAATTGTCAAGGAACTGGGAAGTGGTTCTTATGGACATGTGCTTCTTGCAATGAATCAAGCTCAAGGTAATTAATATGCTGTTTGTATGAGTATCAGCACAAAATATTTTTTTTCCCTGTTATAAAATGAGCAAATAATGGATAATGGGAAAGTAGAAAAATATGCTATCCAGAAAAGAATGATGATTAAATTGAAATTGAATTGTCAAATTCTAAGAGGGATGACTAAGGTAAAGACAAAGTAAACAGTCGCTTTCACTCTTGACTATTGGGGTAAACACAGTGTAAGGAAATGAGTAGGCAGAGTCAGGAAGGAAGTAGAGGTCAGTTCAGAATTTATTGAGGATTCAGATAAAGGAATATCCAGGGATCACATATATTAGGGAATAGTTCTAAAGAGCAATGCAGAAGATTGGTTGATCTTTTCATATGAAACATTTACACGTTTTAGCAGTAATCCAAGAGAGTGAGTATAATGGTCCACTTCAGTTCTTCGCTAAACACAAGTAACAAGTAACAGTTCTTCGCTAAACACAAACGGTGCATATCCTGTGAATACAGTTGCTGTTTAAATATCATGTACAGACTCTAATAAAAACCCCTTCTACAGTTAGAGAAGTCCACATCCTTCTTGCTGTAAAAATCCCTTTCCTTTGCCTTAGACTAAAACTATTTTCTTCCAGTCTAAATGTGGGACCTTATGTCCTATGTATAATTCTATGCTCCATGTAAACAATGGATTTCCAGACAATGATATGTATTGCAGAAATAAACAAAAAAAAGTGCTAACTATAATAACAAGGACAGACAGCAGTGACCCAGGTAAGGATTTCCAAACATTTCCAAGAAAAATATGAGTGAGCAAAAAAAACAGGACCTATTAGAAATAATTATTTAGCAATCTTTTTTTACTGTGCATAGTGAAATACTGTGGAAGAATTCTTGGGTCAGAGATGATGCAAGGACACTCCAAACACAGGTCATTGAAGAACAAAGGTTATTTATTATTTTTGCAGCTGCAAAGTCTCAGTCAGACAATAGTCTTGGAATAACCGACTGAGCAAGCGTTTAAAAGAGAATATATACCACAAATAACATATTCCATACGTATACATAGAATACCAAAATTACAACTACATTACTATAGTTACATCCAATTATTAAAGGACCACTATAGGCACCCAGACCACTTCAGCTCAATTAAGTGGTCTGGGTGCCAGGTCCATCTAGGGTTAACCCTGAAGCTGTAAACATAGCAGTTTCACAGAAACTGCTATGTTTACAATATGGTTAATCCAGCCTCTAGTGGCTGTCTCATTGACAGCCGCTAGAGGCGCTTCTCACTGTGATTTTCATAGTGAGAAGACGCCAGCGTCCATATGAAAGCATTGAGAAATGCTTTCCTATGGACTGATTGAATGCGCGCGCGGCTCTTGCCACACATGCGCATTCAGTGGAAGAGGGAGGAGAGTCCCCAGCGCAGAGGGAGCCTGGCGCTGGAGAAAGGTAAGCGTTTAACCTCTTCCTCCCCCTAGAGCCTGGCGGGAGGGGGGGCCATGAGGGTGGGGGGGACCTATTAACACTATAGTGCCAGGAAAATTAGTTTGTTTTCCTGGCACTATAGTGGTCCTTAAGCTTATCTCTTACATATGTTATCTAATAGTGGGCATTCCACACATGCACCCTGGTTCAAGAGAGTTGCACAGTAGTTTTAACCATGTGAGTACTGAACTTTACTTAAACATCCTGTAGCTTCTACCACAATACATATATTTTTGCAAGTATTCATCCTGAGCGACCATAGGTGCGACAGTTAATCTAAGATGTCCCTTCAGGCCACAATATAGGCAGGGCCCCTCCTTTCTCTTACACTATATCTCAGCCTCAGACAATTTAGTGACCCCTAGATGAATCTAACACGAGTCCTCTCTTAGGCTCTTTCCCTTAGTCGATTCGATAATCGATAAGGTCTTCTAGAAGGACTGGAAGATCTCTGGCTGCCACCTCATCCAGGATGTTATCATTAACCCCTTCCATGAACGCAGAAGCCAAACCACTATTGGCCCAATCCACCTCAGAGGCAAGAGTGTGGAAACTAATCGCATAATCCGCGATGGATATTTAGCTGCACTCTTCTCTCTGCCAGGTGGATCAAACACTTTACGGAAGGCTCTTACAAAAGGTCTTGTAATCATAAACCAAGTCCTTGTTTGCCTCCCATAAAGGATTAGCCCATTCCAAGGCCTTGTCGGTTAACTGGTGCATAAAGAACCCGACCTTGGACCTTTCAGTGGGAACGTTTCAAAATGAAACTATCTAGTTTATGAACCCTTGACAGGTCTTGGGATCGCCACTTTATCTAAGAGGTGGTAACAGGCTGGTGGTCATACTGTTCTGACCACAGGCACAGGCTGGTGGAGGGTTTTCAGGAGAGAGGTGGGCTGTCCTGGCTAACAAGGCCTGAAGGAATTGATCCATTTCCACAAATTTAGCCTTGCAAGGATTCTGTGGAGCTCCCATTCCTGCAGGGATCCATGGCCCTATCATAATGTCACTGGAGTTGTACCCCAACATGAAGGAAAGAAGAAACCCACAAAATATGGAATCCGAAAGACGTATTACAGAGCCTTAGACTGGCCGGACTTAACGTATAATACAACAAGAAACAGGGTCAAGATAAATCAAGGACAGGAATAACAAATACTTAGAGTCAAGACAAAGCCAGGTCAGGATACCAGAAATCACAAAGTCAAATACGAAGCCGAGGTCAGAATACCAGAAATCACAAAGTCAAATACGAAGCCGAGGTCAGGATTCCAGAAGTCACAAGTCAAATACGAAGACGAGGTCAGGATTCCAGAAAGCACAAGTCAAATACGAAGACGAGGTCAGGATTCCAGAAAGCACAAGTCAAATACGATACATGAGGATCACAGTTCAAATCCCCTTTTGGGCACTTCTGGGGCGACCACATCTGGATGTCACCATGAGTACCGTGACATAGTGTAAGAAATTATGACCCTCTTACAAGGATATTCTTTTAGGGAATGTGTGACAAATAAGACATAAACACAAGTGTATAATAAAATGTATTGTAAATATTCATTTAAGGATACTGTTAGATTTTAAAAGGATATACACAATATACATTATACATTATATCCGGTACATAATCAAAAGCTACATAATAAAAGGGCAATACTTAAACATTTAAATGCAGGTCTTCCCCTTGCGCCTTCATCTTGGGTAATCTGGGACAGCCTCTCTTAGTTCACCATGGCCCTGCTTGCTGCGTTGTCCTCTCCAAAGAGAGAGAGAAAGAGGAGAGCCTTCCTTGGTTGTTGTCCTTTTAAAGACTGATTCTTGGAGTAATAAACTACAAGTCCCAGAATCCCTTTTCCTTCCCAAAAGTGGTTTATCCCGCCCTCTTTCTCCAGAGAGTTTTGTCTTTACACAAGTCTTTCCCTTTGATCTCTTCCCTCCAGCCATACTGTAACATTGTGAAAGACCAGTTGATTAGGTTTCTTGGTAGATTGGACTGCTTGGGAAAACACACACTTTCATGGTTACACCTAGATGTCTATTACTCTGATCTCCTGATAACATGCAAGGAATACTGGAGGGATGTAAGCTTTTGTTTTAGCTGGGTGTTGTAAAATGCAACTGAAAGCTTTGATCCTTATCACACTGTTATCAAGGAAATGACCCCCACTTGTGAAACCAGTCACATACACAGAAAGTTATATACAATATTGCAGTTTGGAATATCAATTTCTTACAGTCCCCACCTAGAGGGCGAATGACTCAACAAGAAAATGAGCCCTCTCAAAGAAATACAGTATTTGAATTATGTGTGTTTTAAATGATTATGTGTTTTACTGAGACACAAATGACTTGACAACCACATATATTTATAATTTAGGGTACTGCAATGCATAATTTAGCCAAATCATTGAGGCACTTACAGTTATCATTTTTCACCATTAATTTGAACTCCTTCAGCCATATTCGTAACCTTTCATTACCCTCATAGGCTCAGCATCACTGCAACCATTAGATTTCACTCCCATCACGCTCAGTTACCTGTGCCACCAGCACTGCTTCCACCACACTGTTCCTTTAACCCTGGCCTTGCTTACTTTGGGCAAATAGGCCTCTGACCTCTGCCCACCATGACACCTGGTGTATTTTCACACCAACAGCAGTTAATTTGCTGTTCACTTACATAGTGTATTAAAGAGACCACACAAGGGAGAAACATAGTTTATTGTTTGGAGTGGGGATCTGAGTGAAGGTGTTTGTGCACGTTTGTAAAGGTGGAGTGGGTTTGTGTTTGAGCCCTTGAGGATGTTTAATAAGTTTTCGATAGGCCCTTGGCTTCCGGAAATTAAAAGATTCTTAGCACAGAAAGTGCGCAGTGTTACATTATGCAAATCACTAGTGGTTTAATTATCATCCTTGTCTCAGTACTACCGTCTGGATTCACAAGTGGTCATCTAAAACATTGTAAACACAAATGTGAGCAAAATGCAACCAATATTAATGTATACTAAGGGATACGTCCTCATAACAGTATGAAATAATTTACTATAACTTTACTAAAACCATAAATATTTAACCCCTTGTGGAAAACCAAATAGAGCAAATAGAAAATGCTAAATCATATATTGTCGCTCACCCCACCTTGACTCAAAAACAATATAAAATATACAAACTGGTCTAATTTGTCTATACGCTATACCCCACCTTGAGAGTATAAATTAAAACAAAAACAAACAAAGAATAACCATTATCATTCTATTGTTCACCCAACCTTGACCCAAGGAAATGTAAATATATGCAATTATCTGTTTTCCCTATATTCCCTTTAGAGTGTGAAATACAATAAAAAGCATAAGAAAACAACAAAATCAAAGAAGATGGAGAGAGAAAAAAGTAGATTGAATGCTACCATTACCTTCAGTCATTGAACTGTATACAAAGTTTGGCAGCGTGCAATCTAAAGAAAACTGACAATGGTCTGTTGCCTTTCAAAGATTAAAATCAAAAATCGGCTTGAGGCTATTTGTGTTGGTAACCAAATGAAAAAAAGACAAAAACTAAAATATTTACTGTTGTAAACCAACAGACAGTTACACTATCACATCTCTCCAGTGTGATCAACGTATAAGCCTCACCTTGGCAACAATTCATCTAATCTAGAAATATATAAAATTAGTAATCCAGTATCAAAATACAAAAATAAAACATAGCTGGAAGTGCAGGTGTGCTAAACTAATAAAAACAAAAATAATTTGGAATTTGGACCACCTGACTGTAATGAATGAGTTTAGAGGCTTATCCTTAATATGAAATAAAATATCATAAAACTACATATTAAGGTCCTCTATAAACTGGAACTGTATTTTTCCTGAAATAAATAAACATGTTAAATGGTTGGTCTTCTCACAGATATTTGTCTTCCTTCTCAATTGGCATCATCTCCGTAGTTTTCTAAAAAACAAACTTCAAGAGAAAGTTAATAACACACAACTAGAATAGGTCATTCAAGAAAAACTGTATCTATTATCAGATTCTTTGTGTTAACCATATCCTCTAATCTACTTAATTGTGCCTTGAGACAATCCAGTTTTTCAAGGAACTCATTACGTTCACATGTAAGAGAAAGATTTTCTGCCTTTAGTTGTGTATTCTGTGCTTTAAGCACATGGTAGGGAATCCAAGGTCTTGTGAGGGAGATACCATTATTATCTTTTCTCTGGGATCTCCACCTAGGCTGATTATCTTTATTTCCCAGAGTCCATCTATCACACATGGGCCTTTCATGATGAATATGCACATCTGATTTACAAAATTTTTCAATATGTCCCATCCTACCACACCTAAAACATGTAATGGATTTTATATGTGGGGACTTTCTCTGATTGATATATCCGTGAGGTTGGGGACTTTGTATCAATGACACTTGTCTTTTATTTACTTTTTCTTGATTTAGTAAAATTGCTTCAGCCCTTTTTAAGCAATTCCGTATATTTACAAAGGTGTCCTGTGGGGACACAGTTAAACCAATTAACTCTCGAATATCTGGCAGTGTCCTATTAAGTAATGCTTTCTTATATGCATATTCATTCTGATCAGCATGTGCTCCAGGTGGAACAGTCAGTTTGAATAAAACAAATAACCTATTTACAAACCCTTGAACAGACTCCCCTCTCTTCTGAGCACAATTACCAAAAGCAAAATGATGATTTACTTCCTCTAGACCAAGTGCGTTTAATAACTCTTTGATAAGCTGTTGCTTGGTTCTAGGTTCTATAAATATCTCATGTGGCAGACTTGCTCTTAGTGAATGGTCTGTACTAGCAATTATAACATCAAAAATATCCAATTCATTTAAGTTTCTGTGTATTATTTCAAATTGATCAATTTTTAACATTATATCTATTGGATCATCATCCAAGCTTATACATCCCAGTTCTTTGCTCAGTGCAATAACCTCTGTATGTTTTAAGGAATGGGTCACAGTAGTTTTATGTAGTACATTTCCCTGTGCATCCACCATGTGCTCTGTAGAGACTGGTGCCATTTTAGCAGGAATACTGCACTCACAATTACTATAATTATTATGAAACACCTCCATTTTTGTTGTACACAAACCTCCACAATTGGTTTTCAGCCCATATTTAGTAGCAGCAAAACCATTTCTTTTTGTTAGTTTACATTTTAAATCATCAATTTCTTTAAGGCACACAGAATGACCAGCCTACTTCTGGCTGCTGGAAGCAAAGATTCTAATAGCACCCTCTGCATCCTTCAGCCTTTCTACAAGCTGCTCATTACAACTGTGCAATTCCTCATTTTCAAGACTCATTTGCTGACTACCTACACACAAAGCAGCAGCATTTTGCGCAGACAGTTTAAAACCTTCCACTTCATTCTTTAAACTCAAAATGTCTGCCTCTAATTTCTCTTTTTGCCTATTTAAAGATTTATACTTCTCCGCAATCCAACGGGCAGCATAAATCAAGGCAATTTTACCACGAGATTTGCACAATTTCTTTTCAATAATTGCCCTGGCCACATAATCCTGAGCATTAAGCCACGGATCTAATGCACCATCCATACATTTAATTATTGCTTCTGGATTAGACACCTTAGCAATCTTTTTCAATAAACTCTCCATCATTGACAGCGCACAATTCACTGAAATTTCTATACACAATATCTGAACAGTATCCAAAAGTAAATATACAATCTATACAATTATGAATATGCTCATAAATCACACTAAATCCCTCCTACCTCGGCTCGCCAATTTGTAAGAAATTATGACCCTCTTACAAGGATATTCTTTTAGGGAATGTGTGACAAATAAGACATAAACACAAGTGTATAATAAAATGTATTGTAAATATTCATTTAAGGATACTGTTAGATTTTAAAAGGATATACACAATATACATTATACATTATATCCGGTACATAATCAAAAGCTACATAATAAAAGGGCAATACTTAAACATTTAAATGCAGGTCTTCCCCTTGCGCCTTCATCTTGGGTAATCTGGGACAGCCTCTCTTAGTTCACCATGGCCCTGCTTGCTGCGTTGTCCTCTCCAAAGAGAGAGAGAAAGAGGAGAGCCTTCCTTGGTTGTTGTCCTTTTAAAGACTGATTCTTGGAGTAATAAACTACAAGTCCCAGAATCCCTTTTCCTTCCCAAAAGTGGTTTATCCCGCCCTCTTTCTCCAGAGAGTTTTGTCTTTACACAAGTCTTTCCCTTTGATCTCTTCCCTCCAGCCATACTGTAACATTGTGAAAGACCAGTTGATTAGGTTTCTTGGTAGATTGGACTGCTTGGGAAAACACACACTTTCATGGTTACACCTAGATGTCTATTACTCTGATCTCCTGATAACATGCAAGGAATACTGGAGGGATGTAAGCTTTTGTTTTAGCTGGGTGTTGTAAAATGCAACTGAAAGCTTTGATCCTTATCACACTGTTATCAAGGAAATGACCCCCACTTGTGAAACCAGTCACATACACAGAAAGTTATATACAATATTGCAGTTTGGAATATCAATTTCTTACAATAGGCCATCCCCAACCTCTTCCAATAATCCATCCACTCTGTCTGCAACATGCCAGACCTGAGCACCCTGAAGACATCTCTCCTTTTGACATGATCAGAGCAGCAGATTACCATATCTGCTCTCTTAATATATAATATATAGTCCCCTACCACCACAACCTGTCTAGCCTTTATCACGTTCTCAACCCCACCCATACTTGAGATATTCTCTTGGTTGTTAGAAGGAACAGCTTTCTTCAGTACAGTTACTCCTGCCAACATCTTCACTTAAATCTGTTTGAGAACTAGATAAACCTTTCCTCTTCCATCCCCTCTGCTACCACGTGAATATCTTACCCAGTTGTTTTATCTCCTCCTACTCCACTACCAGTCCCACTAAACTTTGCTCAATGAGTATTAAAGTTTATTGACTGTCATTACTTAGTTACATTATGTGAAACTATAGCACATTAGGTAACAGGAAATTATTTTGTAGTTGATTAACATAGGATCTTCTCTACTAAACAATGTATGTCAAATGTATCCTTTCACATATCAATCATGAGTTTCATGATTTATTATTATTATATGTGGTTATTAGCAATTTGTTTTTATTATTTAAGTTTGGTATTTTTAGGGAATGTGGTATGTCTCTTTAATTTTGCTTCTATTCATTTTTTTGTGATTTTAATTTTTACACTTTTTTGTTGTTTGTTCATTTTATTTCTTTGTGTTCTTCGTTTAATATGTTACTGTGTGGGGTCATTATGCCATTTGAAAATTGGTGTGTTAGACATCTTATGTTGTCACACTTTTTCCATTTTGATAAATATTGATTACTTCGATTAGCATTGTAACACCCTTTTACAAGGGAGCAGTCTCCCTTGGCAACCTTTGGCACTCCAGATGTTTAGGACTACATCTCCCTTGATGCTTTGCCAATATTATGGTTGTAAGAGCATTATGGGAGATGTAGTGTTTTAGTATGAAACATTATAGTTGGTGTTGGTGTCTTCCTTTATTTATTCCTTTCTTATACTGGAATAAATTATCGTATCTACCTTGGTCTTTTTTTTGCTTAATTGCTTGTCATAAAACTGTAGAGTTGTTGCATATGAGAATTGTACCAAATTAAGGAGCTATCTACTAAACAGCATTCTATAGGGAATAATGGATGCCCGAATTTCGAATGTTTCTGAAATTAGCGGCTGAATTTCTCTCGAAATTGATAATTACCAAATGTCAGTCAAACTGAATTTCGGAATTAACAAACGAAACAAATCGAAAACAAACCAACTTTTCTCTCGTACACATGTCTAATAATCTCCAATCTTAAATAGTAACATCTGTAAATGGCATTCCCATTCTGATGTGTAAATGTTTTGCCTTATATGTCTAATGGCATAGATTTCTGATTGAAATAACTATACCTATTTTTTTTTCTGTTTTCCCTTTAGGAAACATAATGGCTCTGAAGTTTATACGGAAAAGTACTACAGATCTCCAGGTTTTCCTTATTGAGTATTGTGTTTCGCTTAGCTTGGCGGCTCACCCTTGCATTATTGGTACATTTGGAATTGCCTTTCAGACTGATAGCCATTATGTTTTTGCCCAGGAACTGGCTGTAGACAACCTCTTCTCCCTAATGAAACCTCAGGTGAGATTATTTAATGTAACCGTAATTTACAATGTATTTCCATGTATACATTGTGTAAGTAGAACTGCCAATTTTTTAGTTTGGCTATTGTAAATTTTAATTTAAAATTCACTTTGAATTTGCACTTCAGTAAATAAACCTGTAAATTTTATTAGAATAAACTAGGATATATATATATAATATTAAAAAATAAGCTTCCATTTAGCCAGACAGTTAGCACTTACAGATTAACCACTTGAATTCCCATATATTTTTAACTATATGTTCAGTTTTGTTAAAGAATAAGATGTGTGATTATTTTAATGTGTACATACATATTCTATGAAAAAAAAGTTATATTCTCTCATTTATTTTCATTTACAGTAAAGTGAAATGTCTTTTCTGTGAAACCCCAATATAATCATAACACTCTGTGTGTTTCTTCTTCTGCTTAGGTTGGAGTACCTGAGATATTGGTCAAACGTTGTGCTATACAACTTTCGAGTGCATTGGAATATATGCACATGAAAGAACTAGTTCACCGTGATATAAAACCTGAAAATGTTTTAATTTTTGATCATGAGTGTCGACAAATTAAACTGACAGACTTTGGGCTTTCTTGTACTAAAGGTACCTCTGTAGAATCCATGCCTGAGAATTTGCCATATACAGCACCAGAAATGTGTATTTTGGGTACATCAGATAAACTGATTGCACAAACAAGCTTAGATATTTGGGCCTTTGGAGTACTTATTTTTTCCATCCTAACTGGATACTTTCCTTGGAACTCTGCTGTGACATCAGATAAAGATTATGTGGACTATTCTAAATGGCACAGAAGCAGTAGAATATTCCAGATTCCAAATCAGTGGAAGTTGTTCAGCACAGAAGCACTGGAAATGTTAAAAAAGTTGATTGCTCCAGAACCAGGAAAGAGATGTTCTTCAAAAGAAGTGATGAACTATCTGAAATCACCTTGGAAAGCAATCCCTGAAAACAAAAACTTAAATCCCAGAGGGAGATTAAATGATTTAAGTTATTTACATGGCCATCTGGATAACAGGAATATGAATAAGAACAGGGGGAAATGAAACAGGAGGCTATAGCAGTTAAACAGAATTCTGCAACAATTACAAATTATAATCTATTACATGTTTAAATAAAATTATCCTAATATATATAGATAGATAGATGGATGGATAGATATATAGATGAATAGATAGATGATAGAGATATATATTTTTCTATTTTTTTTTATCTGTAAAAAAATATCCTAGTACTAGTTAAATAGTCTGACTGCATTATTTTACTAGGTATATATTTTATAAGAATGCCCTTTTGTCCCTCAGCTGCCATACCTAGCAAATCATTTCACTGGTGCAAATCCGCAGTGTACCAACCACTGCATGCTTATTGACACTATATAGGAACATATAGATCACATTTTCCTTAGGGTTAATTGAATGTATATAAATTATACAAAATTGGGAAATTTACCAAACAATGAACTGAATTATGCTACTGAATTGGGGGTGGGTTTGGGCAAATTTAAAATGTTACTTTGTCTGCTGTTAGACAATTAATTGAAATACAATATTGGGGGTCTAGGCCTTGGCCTAACTGTGCAGATATCTCAATATTGTGAGATATTAGATCTTGAGCCAGCTTGGACCGGTGGGAATGTTGCCATTGATACAACTTGTGTCATTGGCTTTAATCACAATCAGTGGATCTGCCCACTGAAGGGACATGTCTGCACACTAGGCTGAATGACAGACTTTCTGAGTGGCGCCCAATGTAGAACACCATGCAGAAAGTTCTGCTGTAGAATTCTCTGCATGGTCTACTGTCCATAGGACAGTGCGAACGCATCTAATGATACAGTCATGCCGTGCTGCCCAGAGACAGTTACTTGGTATCCCTGGATGTAAGACTTTGGAAAATAAAGGCTTCGATTAAATTGTGAGTTTATCGGCTCCCAATAAACATTTTAACAGTTTGGCTTGATACAATTACATCCGTTTGAATACTGAGTCAAATTTTACATTGGAAATGTCAGGTTCGGTAATTCAATACTCATCATATTTGACAACTGAAAGTTGTAAATAAATATTTTTTTTCACTATTTGCCCACATATTAGTACAAGGTTGCCCCCCCACTTGCCACTTGCTATGATTATAGTTGGGGTAATGACCACTAAGCAGTGATCAGGCAATGCCTTCTCACTGTCCTTAAAAACTAGTGACTGGGCAGCTATTACTTCTCAGTCACTAAAATAAAAGCAAGGGCTGGTCTGGCACAGGTCTCCCTTTTGCTGACATCTATGGGCATTGGGTGGGGGCTGTAAATCTGATAATGGAGGGTGGACACCAATCCACACCAAACCCCCGACCTTGGCCAGTGGGTAGTTGCTATTAAATATTAAAAAAAAGTTGGACATCTAGTATTGTCCTCTGCCCCAATTGGTCAGCAGGTGGGAGCTCTAATTAAACAATAAATGGGGGGACATAGTGTCCTCCACCAGCCCTCACTCAAATTACAACCCAGCAAAATAAACAAATTAAACTAAACTAAATATTTAAATTTACAAATAAAATGTTATTGTTAAACTAATTTTACTAATTTAAAAAGCTGCTAATATCAAAATGTTCTTCATACAATAACAAAAAACACACAAGAGAGCAAATGACAGTGCTAAAATATTCAAACCTTACAAATGTCAGTAAATAGTAAATTAATAAATGAGTGTCTCCATGGTATTCAAAGTCAAGGGTAGTGCACAGAACAACTGAATCCCTTTATTACACTGTCCTAGGTAACTGCAACAGAGTTACACAGTTACCAATCCAATTATCCAGCTGTAACAATCCATGTATTGTGAGGATCCTTTATATCACACACTGCTTTGCTTGCAGACCACAGACCTAAAAGGAAACAAAAAGAAATTCATGGAATGGTACTGCAAAATGTGTTAAGCATATACATGTGATTAAAAAATAGACCCTTAAACTAATTCAATCTGGGCTTATTGCTAAAACCCACAGAAATCTCTTTAAAACAGAAACAGTGCAGGCAGGGTTACCAGTTGGATACTCACCTCCTATGGAAAACAGTATCAGTCTAAGGTGCTTAAATCCCGCTAAACGCAACTCACTTCCCATGTATAGGCTCCACCAGTTCAAAAACAAAGGCAATCTAGATCTGGTTCTAGTAGTATTTTTTTTAAAAATTTGAAAAACAATTCAGAGTTTAGTGTATAATAACTTGTATGAGCACACTAACTTGTATGAGCACACTAATTTCATTGTTTTCTGGAGTTGGCAATCATGCTAATTATATTATTTCAATTTTGTTGAGCATGTGTATATATAACTAGGATCAAATTGAGTGCCGATTCTGGGTGAAAATAAAAATGGTGGAAACATGGCAGCCGACAGTTTCTTGGCCGTCCCCTAAATTGCATTGTCTCTGGATGTGGTACACTTGGGAACATAATCGGACCCCAAAATGCACATAGAGTGAACTGTACACACAAAAATAAAATACAGTGTATTACAAGGCTACTTAAAATCATTGTATATATAGGTATTTAGAAACACCTTATGACCATACTATATTTAAGTCTACCACTGCTTACAAAGTACCTCAATACACATTTAGTCTATGCATTTTGGTGACAGATTACTTATGGATGACAAGATATGCCTACCTCAAGATTGATTTGCTTCCCATACACAATGAAACTAATCATGGACTGGGCATCATGGCTGTGAGAGAGCACTAGGACCATGCAGAGTGCAATTCAGCAGTACTTTTTGTAAGGTCTGCCCTGAGTGGAAAATAGAGGAATGCTGTCAGACATGCATGACCAGCACGCCCCTTTTCTTGACAGCCTCCTTTTTTAGTTGTGTCTTCCCATCTTCTCACCAGTGACACAAGTGGCATCACAGGAATGCCACTTTAGGACTATCCATGCCCATTTCCAATGTTGGGAGGTATGCACGACAGACCTAGTTTTTACCTCTATAATTATAGTACACTAGAAAGTCAAAATATTAATGTTAAATATTTCTTAATCTGTTCATATGATAGCAATTTGACTAGTATAATGTTAGATGAAATCTTATACTGTTAACCATAAGTGCCACCAAGCAATTTTACTAATGATATGTGCAAATTAACAATTAACCAGATAGTTTGCAACACTCCTCAATTCAATAAAAATGTGTAACTTTCCAAAATTCCCACACCCATTGGACAACAGTGATTTTCTATTAAAGTTAAAAGTATGTTTGAATACTTGCCATGTTTTTTGCTGAACAAAAAAAAAAAAAATATATATATATATATATATATATATATGACTGAATGATGTATTGAGAGGTAATGTTCAGCAGTAAGATATCTAAAGGGAACTGTCACTTTTTGGTAAAGAAAATAAAAATGTATTTGAAAATCACATATTGTTTAAAGAAAGCATTAAAAAAAATCTTTATTTTGGTTCAAATCACGTAATTACAGCAGTGTAATGGCACCAAATAGCCTTAAGCAGGCATAATGTAATAGAAGCGACATGTATATCAGAATATTAGCCATAAGTGCAACTAAAATATCAGGTATGTAACCTAAGGTTAAAATCACCAGGTCCTTCAAAAAAATCTTAAATACTTTCTAAATGACATCAAGAACCTGCCATGGCACAGATTAAACCTAATCTCAGATCTAGACTGTGCAGCTGAATTGCACAGTCCGAACTCCTGCAAGTTTGGAACTTGCATGCCCCGCTGCGTAAGGTTAGAGTAAAAGGGGCACATATGACTTGGACCACAGCTGACCTCATTCAAATGTACCAGTTTCGGGATTCATTGTGGTCAAAGTTCAAGCATACTGGCTCTATGAACGATCACTGTGCATATAGACAATGGCATAATATATGCACAAAACAAACTAAATTGGCCTAGGCCCAATATTTCAGTGAAAATCTGAACAATAACATCTCAAACCCTAGAAACCTTTGGAAAATCATAGATAACTTACAAACTCCCCCAATCCACTCCCAACCCTCCACTGTCAAAGTGGGCAACCAAACCCTGCAACTGCCCTTAGATGTAGCAAATGCCTTTAATAATTATTTTGTCAGATGCTCCACCACCCTAATTGCCAAGCTAATACATGACTCACATCCTGAAACCACAAATATGGGTCAAATCCCACTAAGTCTGTAAAGACCTAATATAGAGAAATTAAATTTTAGACCTGTACCTATTAGTGTCATTAAGAAACACCTTAATATTCTACAAATGAAAAACCAGTCTGGACCTGATCAAATCTTAGCAATGCAGTTGAAGCTCAGTGTGCCAGCAATTGTTAAACCTGTCACAACCCTAATTAATGAATCTTTGGTGTCTGGATACATACCCAAACTTTGGAAGACTGCGAGAGTAGTGCCTATCCATATAAGTGGTGACACTACTTTGGTTTCTAACTATCGCCCAATATCATTGCTCCCAGTATTCTCAAAAATCTTAGAAAAATGCATCCATACATAACTATGTGAGTATTACCAACAATCAAACTATCTGACCCCTGTTCAATCAGACTTTCGCCCGAATCACTCAACTACAACGGCCTCTTTTTTTATTTTAATATTATTTAAATATTTATTGACTTTTTGGATATAAAAAAACACGAACAATTACACGTCATCAAAAATGCAATATTTGACATCCCAACCACCCTATGGATCTCTGTACTCTTGTTATTCAAGTCAAACATTGATCTATCTACTTTAAAACTCAATAGTCCCAAGATATTGACAAACTTCAAGAAAAAAGAACAACACCAAACATGATGGTCTCTAGTCATTGGTAAATACAAGAAAAGCTTCAATTTACAGATCTTCATAATACATACAATACATATAAACCATATTTTATAATTTGAACTTTTAACACGAGATCTTATATAGGAGAGAGGTGAGAGGTTTCCCAAGGTATGAAGAGATTCAGGTTTGAAATTATTCAGGAAGTTCTCTCAAATTTCATTTTTAAAATGATATTTAGTGAGTCTGAAGGGTTATACTTTATACTT